AGAATGAAAATGAATAAAGTTTTACCCTATTTTTCTCCTGGCATCGAGAACGGAAAACGGAATGTTTTTGAAGATTTTAGATTAACTGTCCTTTGTTCCACGGACCAACGGGAAATGATGACTCAATTTATTTGCGCTATATCTATACAGTTTGTATCAAGAAATATTTATTGTTCAGTAGATATTGTTATTAAAAGTGTAGAGTATATTAGAAATGATCGAAATAAGTCAAATTTTAAGCTGTAAAATCAAAAAAAAATACTCTATTGAAACCACTATTTTTTATTAAAGATTACACCTAATTGCTAGTGTTAGAATAAGCTTATAATTCCTCCACAACAACAGCGCATTTTACCAACTAATTTTCCATATACAGCCGTAACATATACATCACAGTATAGAATTCCAAACCCTCATTGAACGTACATCTTCGATCCATTAACCAACGACCATCAACAGAGTAAAATACAACCCTTGCGAATTCGTCTATATCTAAACGCATCGGGACCCCTGCGGCGCCGTAAATGGGCCAAAGCTCGGTGATTTATGCGGTGCGTGCCCATCAGTCCAGGTGATGTCCGTCCGGAAGAAAAGGGCCGAAGACCGCGATATGGGCGCAGCCCAATTTGCAGTGTCCGAACCAAACGCGGCGCCCCGCTGGTCGCTCGGACGGATTGTGCGGACAGCTCATCTGCTATCCCGCGTCAAAATTAAAATGCCCCGGGAAAGGTGGAAGTGACTCGTGGGCGGTCGAGCAATTTTCGTTCGCAGAACGCAATCGTAATCGCGTAAAAACGCGATAATTAGGCGTCGGAAGGGAGCGCGTCCCCCTTCGGGGAAATCCGGACGCAAATAAATTTATGGCCTGCGCCCATTGAGTTAATTCCATCGTATGTAAATGTTTTTGTCCGGCCCGCAGTGAGTACATGGGGTGGAAAACATATTTTCAATTCGATAAATATCATCCGAGAACACGGACTTCCAAGTACATGGATTACACGCGGGCGGGAAAGCGTCGTTTGGTTTATAACTTTATCTATAGCACAACGCTTTGTTACCAAAAAAAAAACAATCATGAACCGCACGGCGCAGCGCTAACCCTTGGTAATAATAGCTAATAAACACATCGCGGAGAGATCTGGATGGTTCGGTAAAAAGGGAGGCCGGCTAAAAAGGAGCTTATCTGCATCCTGGACGGCTCAATCCTATCTATCCCGACGGGTTGATAAGGGCCGTTCTTTGTGATGCGCCGAGGTCCCGCGGACCGGATTCGGAATCAATGGTGTGGACATGACGGTGCAGTAAACGGACTTTACGCCACACCCGTGTCCATCCATCATAGTTGCTCGTATTTAGTCGAGCCGAAACTCCCTGATAAGTACGCTTGTTTTATGAGAATATAGCGAAAGACCAGAGATATCCCACTACCAAAACACTTATTAGGAACCGTATACATGCAACATATTGTTGAAAATATTAATGGTTTGTTCGACTTTGGAAAGAAAATGTTGTTCTAACGAAGGGTCTCATATTCTGTGTGACCAACATTTGTGTAAATTTTAACAAAACTTTTCTACTGAAAATTATCGCAAAAATTGCCTTTTAAAATAAGTTCTTTATAACATTAATCGATTTGAATTAATAATTAATATTATGTTGGAAAATGTTGTTCTAACGAAGGGTCTTATATTCTGTGTCACCAACATTTGTGTAAGTTTTAACAAAAGCTTTCTCTTTAACAAAACTTTTCCACTCAAAATCAACGCAAGAATCGCCCTTTGAACTAAGTACTTTATAACATTAATCAACCTCCTGTATATTATACATTTTTCTTAATAAATTTGGAGTATATACACTTTAGTAGTTAGAAAAGACTTTTCAATAGATACAATCGATGCAACAGCAAAATGCACCGATATTTTCGAAAAATAGATACTTTTGCGACAGATAAATAGTTCTCAAAAATTCCTTTATCAGCCCATTCGAGGGTGTTCATTGAAAATTTCACGTGGGTGGCATTATAGTGTCCAGTACAATAAATATTAGCCTTTTTCACTAAATACAAACCGAACGGACCTCGGGCGACAAAAGAACAGTGAATTGTGAGTAAACATTTTTAGTAGTAGGCGTGATTGGCTACTTTTCGATTTTCATTCATTTTTCGGTGCGAAATTCGCATTTTTTCCGATTCAAACTCGAGTGGGTGTGGAATCCTCGACGGCAATAATTCTTCACTTTAGCTGTAAATTGTAAATCGCCAAACCGTTCAACGAAAAAGATATACCTACGGTCGATTAACTGATATACATCGTGTAGATATCGCACGCTTTGTATCTTATCTAAATATTTGCTCAATTTTTATTAGATAATTATTAAATCTCGCTTCGATTTTTCCTCTATCTCTATCAGAATTCGTTGCCCAACGTTAACCCACTCGCATATCATTCGAATTTAAGTATCTACAATATTCTTCGACAACAATTTAAATTCGCTCAATAAAAAAATTCTAAAAGTACGCTCACTTATAATGTATAGAGTGGTAGAAACGAGAGAGCGTTGTTTTCGTTTCGAACCGAAGCAACGCAAACAGAGAACGAAAGGTCAGAGATCCTTTTCACTCCTTATTTATTTTTCCGGTTCCCCGTCTTTACGGGCTCTAATCCGACTTAATTTTCATCCGGTTCAGTTTTTTTTGTGTGCGCTTCAATCCCCACGGTCCGCGAGGCATTAAATGGGGGGCGTGAAATGGACCAGCAGGACTCCAAAAGACCTCATTCCGATACCATTCTTTCTTTTTTTGTTACTTTTATTTTTACCAGTTTTCCACAGTAGCGCACCCGTTTAGTTTCCTGCTGGAATATACAATCATTTTTACAATCACGATATGATTCCTGTTTGATTGATTACTTTTACCGTTGCGCATGAAACCTTCGCGTCTCCAGCTATTGTTCTCGGTCTGTGAGCGAGTAAATAAATCAAACGCGAATTTTTACTGGACGCTTTATATAAAAAAAAAATGGGCAAGGGGAGTACGCCTCTGCAACGATACTTCAGAGACGATATGTCTTTGTGTATGTCCGATAATAATATGTTGAATAAATCAAGATCAAGGCCGTTTGTTGTCGTTTTTTACGTAACATTTCCCGTTTTGGACATCTTCCTTTTATGCGTGTTTACCCCTCCGGTCCGTTCGGAAGCCAATTCAACGATATGTAAAGGGATGATTGCATTTATTTTGATTAGAGTGCTTTTCTAAAAGTTATTTTCATCATCTTCTGTCGTTACAACCGAACGAGAGAAGAACATTTTAGGAGTGAACTATTCATAACACGTTTATAATGAAGGATGTTGTTTAGATTTATTGTGGTAGGTCTATTGAAGTAAGTCGATTAATTTTGAACAGTACTCGATTAGTAATTACTACAGTCCTTATATTAAGTAGTACCTACATGCTCCACTCAAAGTGATCCGATTATTTATTATTAGCTGTAATAAACTCTTCATTATAATCCGGCACTTCATCGTACCCGCGTGGGTAGAATTGGGAGTTGTGATTTTCATTCGGTAGTTTTAGTTGGTTTAATACCTATCGTAAAAACGATTAAATATTGGTCCCCCTAGCAATAAATTAATTTTAGAAGCAACCTATCTAATAAGAGATATGGTTTTATAAACGACAAAATTTAATTTAATTGATGTTGTTAGATCAATCTGATACGATTGTGACACTTTTATTTGGGATATTATATCGGCGTATCGTTGACGATAAACAAAAATTCCTTATCTCTATTAATGTTTGCGCAATTTATCGATTGCTGTAACCTACCTTCGTCTTTCTCTACGCCATATATTTTTCTTTTTCATTGAAATAACGCCCGCTTGAATAGATTTCGAACATCACTAATGACCAGCCGAGATGTGTGTGGTCACTTTGTAAAGCTCCAGCTCCAGCTCCAGCCAAAATTACCGATAATTTTTTAGGCATTAAGGACGCGAAGTCATTCAACATATTTGACGCGCATCAAAGAAGGCTTAAGGATACGTTTACACCGTGGTTTAGAAACCATAATTTAGTTTCCAGATTTAGTAGTAAACAGCTTATGTTATTCGCCATATATACTTTTATTAATTTAAATAAGGATTAATTTAATCATTGGTGTAAGTGAGGCGAATTTAGGTACAACGATAACAATGTTAATTAACCTAATCTTGCGTTGTAATAAACCTCGTAAACGTACTCCAATTCGAAATCCTCATTGTACAGAGGCTCTTTATAGAAGTAGGTACGTAAGAATTATAGTGGCTGCATCTCGAAGTCCTTAATGACTCAAACAGCTTAAATGATGATAGATGTAATTGCGTTTTGATTAATTAGACTCTTTTGAATGGGTATAGCGGACGAGTGCTGAGTAATTAACGAGGTTTCTCGTATTATTGAAAGTACAATTAGGTAGCCGGTTCGCCGTAAATCGATCTTAATCTACTTACTTCTTATGATTCCATCAAAATGATTTCTTATATACGTTGAATAAATAAATGATTAACAGTTCGAAACATCTGTAAGAGTATCGTTCATTCTAAAAAAAAGACTCACCAGAATCGAGTTGCATGATTTTTTTCAACTGATTTCATTGCAAACGAAATTATTAAAGCTCGGGTAAATACCCCACCATGGCATCTATCATAGATTTCCTGGTTGAAATTGAAATAAACGCTCCGCTTGTGCCGTTATAGCGAAATTGATATCATTTCCTGCGATCCGGCTTCGGTTTCCTGTTGGCATTTGCGATGTAATCTCTGTTGTCTATTATCGAATCGACCGCAGCGCGATAGGGAGGAAAGTGATTTAAACCGCCGACGGTAACGAAATAATCCGCGGCGACCGCTAACCGCCCCGTTAAACGGTTCGTTTAGAACGGGCAATTAATCCATTTAGCCGGTCGATTTGGCGTGATTCGCGCGAGGTGGTATGGGATTGGTAACGAAGAGAGAAAGGCGTTTTGTAATAGAATGTTATTTATTTGTATTTAATAAATTATTTCTTTTTGTACAGCAGGAGAAAACAAATATAGTGCGATAACACAGTCGATTTTTATGTAAGTTGTATTTGTGTTTTTTTTCCTCTTATCTATTCTATAAACAAATCTACCTGAAACTATTTACACATGTACACGTTCTCTTTATTACTTATTTACACAACATTTATTTTAAAACACATCGATTCCTTTCGATAGCAAAGACACGAATTATTGTTAAATTGCTTACACAATCCTGTGGATAATATTGCGATTGAGGAAACAATTGACTAGAATAATAGAATTACTACAGAAGTGCTAAAGTTCAGTAAATTTTTTTTTTGTATATGCTCCCTTTACATAGATTTACAATTACGCAATGTTTATACGTTAAAAATCTCAACAATATATTTTTCGTCACGTCATTAAAATTAATAATAAAACTGTTTGCACGTAGGTATGTTAAAAAATTATCTACTTATCAATTAAAAGAATCTGTATAATTAAAACATTATACGTCAATCAACGAAAAATCAATTGTCTCAATTTATATAGAAACTAAGATACGCATCAGAATCTCAAATTAAAAGTATTATAATAATCACGTGAGCGGCCCAAAAATCATTTATACAGACATTATTTCTATCTAATAGTATACTAATAAAAGAGTTTTCGATTGGATTTAATAAGGTTCGAAAAATTTGCGAAGATTATTTTGGCCCACCTCGTATTATTTACCAATCGATATTCGTACGATTTTGTCACGTATACATACGATCCGAAATAAGTCTTATCACGTTACAATGCAAAAATTGATTACCTTATTGAAAATATCTAAATTTTTGATAACGCTCTAAATTGTATGTATTTCGAAAAAAAAAATTGATAAACCCAAACAGCAGCAGCTTGTTCATCTAATATATCCACCAAAATTTATTAACAATTAACACCTTCACTGCCTCATGAGGCCGCAAATCACTGGAAATAGCCCCGTCAATAACCGCGCTATTATAATTTCATCATTAACCCGACCCACGGCAGTGAACGTGTTAAAGCCGCGCGCTCGAATTCCGGCCGCAAATCAAAAAAATCGTAACTACTTATACCTAAAATTTGATATGTCCTACCACCAGACTCCCCTGGGCTGGCCGTAGAGCAGATGCGCGCCCGGATTGCCCATCATCATGGAACTAGCCAGGTTAATATTCTCCGGTTTCTGGCTACCGGACAAGCACGGCTTGCCGTCCCTTACCAGAACCGGCACGGCCACTCTCCTTGGCGAGGGCATGGGGTTGTTCTGCTGGTCGTGCATCCCTTTTTCGTGCTGCGCCCGCTTCGTTTTGTATCTGCAACAACACCGAAACCACCCTTATACACCATCGAAATGATTCTTGTAGATCCAGTTTTTTTGTAGACTAATATGTGAAGGCCACAGGGATTTTATAGCATTTTGCTGTTACTAGCAGATTATGAAATGGTAAAAATTGCTGAAGTCCGCAAAACAACAGCTAAAATAATTCTTTAATAGTTTTTAATAGTTCTTCCCTGTAGCCTTTACATGAAGTAGTTAATTCTATTGAGTATATCGAGTTTTTTATACCAAGATTTATACCAATTCTGTTGAAATCTATATAGAAATCACGAATGATATAATTTTTTATTACCTAGTCATTATCTGAACGTTATAAGCTACGGTAAATAACTGTATTATTAAAATTTAAGTGGTACTCGAATAGGTGTTTATCCAGCTACTGGTTTCGTTTTAAGCGAGTATTAGCTTCGATTTATTTTGGAACGTACCTGTGATTTTGGAACCAAATCTTCACCTGCGTCGGCGTCAGCCTGATGATCGAGGCCAAGTGCTCCCGCTCGGGCGCCGACAGGTACCGCTGTTGCCGGAACCGCCGCTCCAGCTCGTAGGTTTGCGCCTTCGAGAACAGCACGCGACGCTTGCGCTTCTTCTGGCCGGCGACCTGCTGGTCGGCCTCCTCCTTGGCGTCGTCGTGCTCCTCCAGCTCGCCCTCCGACGCCGTGCCCATCGACGACGCCGCCTGGCTGACGGCGCCCGCCTGGTGCAGCGCCGCCTCCGGCAGCGAGCTCTCCGGCGGGATGCTCGAGCGCTCGCTGATCGCCGGCGAGGTGCTGTCGGGGCTCAGTTGCGACGGGTGCGGCGGCAGCGACAGGTGCGGTTGGGTCGATGCCAGACCTGGAAGAAAAACCAAATATGCTTTTCACAAAATTATAACTTTTTTTGTAACTTTTACTGCAACTTTTACTGCAAAATATGCTGCAACTTTTAATGCTGACTTTTAATGCTTTTATGCTGAAAATTTATCTTTATTATACAACCTTTACTGTAACATTTACTGCAAAATATTTTGCACTTTTACTGCAAAGTATGCTGCCACTTTTACTGCAACTTTTATTGAAACTTTTGCTGAAATTTTACTCGTTCTCTTTGGCTTTCGAATTGGCTTAGCATGAGCTGGTGGAGATAATTAGAGAATTGGTTTTTGTTTGTATTTAGGAGATTCGGTATAGGGATATGGAAAATTTATCTTTATTATACAACCTTTACTGTAACATTTACTGCAAAATATGTTGCACTTTTACTGTAACTTTTACTGCAAAATATGCTGCCACTTTTACTGAAACTTTTGCTGAAATTTTACTCGTTCTCTTTGGCTTTCGAATTGGCTTAGCATGAGCTGGTGGAGATAATTAGAGAATTGGTTTTTGTTTGTATTTAGGCGATTCGGTAGGGATATTGGAAAATGTATCGACGGCTATTGTGGAAATCGGATCGCAATTACAACTCCATAAAGCCGGTGTATCGTCGAAAATTAGATCAAAGATTACTTTGTTGATACAACGCTCACTTTGTTTAACGTTCGTAGACAGTCTGTTTAGAAAAAAATCAATATTTGATCGAAAGTATTTAGTTTAGAGATAAATAATCGGTGTCAAGAAAATATTTTGAGCGATTCCTTCTGTATTATACGGTTTTTTTTTATTTTAAATCGAACGATTTTCCGCGCGGATGGGTCGCCCTTTGCCGTCGACAATTACGCAACCATTAGCAGTAATATATGTGACGGGAAAAGGGGGATGGTGGTTGAAATGCGAATCTGAATCAACTGCCGACATTGGAGGTACAATAGAGACGAAGTCACGCCTCGTGAAAAGCAGATGCTTATCTTCGGCACAAGCAGATGTGTTTTGGGTTTGTCACCATTTTGAATGATTTGTCATTCGAGGGTTGCTAATAAAATTTGAGTGGAATAAAATAATGTATACCTATTTTATCTCTCCCCATGTACGTTATTATACTCGCCACTACCCTATATAGAACGAGGAATTTATCTAACACCACTAGGTTTTTGTACAATAGCAATTTTTTTACTAATTTACTATTGATGTGTATCTAATTAGAGTTGGTTGTGAGGTAAGATTGATAGTTTAAATAACGTTAAACTTACCGGAATCTGGCATATGGAGCCATTGATGCCTGGTGGAGTAAGATATATCCTGGTGCGTGGAGTATACAGATGTGTTTGGTGATATGGTATCCGTTTCTACGTTATTTTGTCTATCTAATTCTAAAATATCACTTATTGCAAAACTGGCTGGTTGTCGTTGATTCACCATTGTTGTCCCGGTCATTTTCATCGTATCCAATAGACTGTAATAAAAAAATAATATGATACAATCATCGTTATAAATTTCCAAACCATGTAGTAGATGAGGAGAAGTTTGATAGAAGTTTCTTATTAATAATTATATCGATTTATAGGTGCTAAAGTTTTGCATGGTATTTGACAAAAATTACCTGAAAACATGGGCAATTTATTTGGTTTTTGAACGACCGACATTTCGTTGGAAAGTTCGAAAAAAAAAGACCTCTCTAAAGCACCTATTGGGCGCCTTTATGGTCCGATTTACAGGTGACAATCATGCCGAATCGCCGAATCCCTCAGAAATACGGGAAGTCACGTTTCGGTAATTGAAAAAACCATAAACAGGTGTCCTTTGGCACTTGTTGGGACAAAACGTACTTGTAGATCCACGATATCCCGAGATGAGCGCCGAGGAACTTGTTATTTCTTGTATTTATGCGGGTTTTCTTTTTTGTGAGAAAATTTTTGGTATATAGGTATAATCCGGGCAGGTATAACATTGCAATATAAAACGTGAATAAGCTTTAAAAAAAGTTTTACGATGCCTTTATATTTAGGATAAATTATTAGATTCTTTTCACCATTTTTAAAAGGTTTATTCCACGCGTTTATGGTACTGGTAATTTTCTTTTTTACTGATTTTCCTCTCATCAGGGGTTCAGAATGTCAATATCACCATGAATTTTTCTTGGATTCTTATATGAATCTTTCATTTCTTTAATAAACACTTTAACATAAACTATAATTTCATCGTGTTTGGTTTCAATTGATTCAAAATTCATGTAGTTAGTTCTTAATGGAACTAACATATTATTACATTTGGGTAAGTTTGAATATAAAATAGAGTCTAATACATGAAGAGTCCTACTAAATAGAGTGTAGATTCTACTAACCCTGGCAGAGCGGATTTGAAAACGGGCGAGCACCAGGCCCCAGGAAGCAGAGCAGGAGCCCAAGGGTGCAGCAGCAGCGGCGGCCACGCCAAGAACGCCGCCGCGGCCGTCGACGCCACCGACGCCGATGACGTCGTGACCGCCGTCGACGTCTCCGCCGGTCCGGCCGCCGGCATTTTCTCCTTTTCCTTGTCTTCCGCCACTTTTAATTAATAACGCGCGGCCGCTTCTTTCCGATTACCGATTACCCGAGTAGCTGTTTGTTTATATTGTTTTTTTTTTGTTCGTTGTATTTTGCAGAAACGAAAGCGCGGTTCGTAGCGGACACTCTCACGCACTTAAACGCGACACGCGAACGATGAAGAGGACTGAAGAGTGTTCAAGAGCTACCCTCAACTTGAGGGTCATCCAAAGCTCTCAGATTCCGGCCAATGGGCCGGCTGGCCCGATAGGAGGAGACTCCTTCGGCCAATCGCCGGGCCGAGGGTGGCTCCTGAGTGATATGTACGAGTGGCGATGTTCTTGATGGCATCGAATGTATAAAAGTAATGTTTGGTATGATTTTTGTGCAACAAAAGGTCGGATAAATGCAGCCGGGCCGGCGGCCGATTTTTTGGAGGATTTCGACGAGTTTTTTTTATTATTATTATAATTTTTAACGGAGGGTGAGGGTGGTGAACGTGTTTGTGTTGTATCATTGGAGTGCCTTTATCGAGTGGTATGTACGATTTATGATCGTACTTTTTTTTCTAAACTTTTTATTGATTATTTATCAATTTTTATTAACACAAAAAGAATAAAAGCGATTTTATATGGTATTTTTTACTATATAAAACCTCAATTTTTTAGAAATAAAATTCGACAATACATACATTATTCGTAGAATATACTTGAGATTTTCCATTTTCACCTTCTACCACCCCCAGTACTCGAAATAATAACGGTAATTACGTTATAATCTCCAGATAAGTTGGTGGCTATTTGTCTGGATTCCTTTAAGTTGTATTAACTCCTATTTCTATTAGGCAATATCTCCAAACGACTGGGAAAACCCGGCTATTTATTCGGTACAGGTATTTTATCCAAAACAGATGGTTTTCTCGTTAAGTGGCGACAATAAGGCAATGTAGAACTTAGAAGGTTCGTTCTCCAACAGTTAAGTTTAGGTAGACAATTGAGTTTTACCTGTTGTTGAAATTTGTTTAATTTTGATTTTTCAAAAGCCATTTATATATGCAGAAAAATGCAATCAAAATGACATACCTTCAGTGCGTTTAAAAAACTTATTAAATCACTTTAAAATGAATGATTTTTGAGTAATATCATGAATGGAAATTTCTTATGTGAGTTGATAATTTAAATTTATCTGATTTGTAATCACTATTTTAATTGTAGATAAATTTTTCATCTATCGAAATTACTCGGTAAAGATATTTCTATGACATCAATACTGATATCTAGTTGAAGCACATTTCTCTGGTAATTCGAATAAATTTTCCTTCAACGCTGCCACTGGCTCGGGGCAATATCGGAAATAAAACCCACGTCCGTTACCTCAATTTAAAGCCGTTTTTAACACCTTACAATTCGTCGCATTCGGCCGAACAATATATCGAAATGGTCCCGAAAGTCATTTTTTAAACACCAGGTAAACAGGAAGTTGCTCGGTTGGTACCTTTTGTGCAATATTAGTTCGGAATACAATGGCTATTAGTATATTTTACACATTTTTGATGAATCTCACACTCGAGCATTATGATGGAGCGACGGCGATTTTAAAATGGTAAACGGAAAAGGTGCTAGAAGCTCCGTTTCTTTTCAACTAAACTCAACTAATATCCACAAAAAAAATATAAAATAAAACGTTTTCATGCAGTGCATGGGGTACCTACCTACTCATTTATTTGCAAGGAAATAAATTGTTAATAGAAATAGTTGTTATTTTTCTTCCAACTTAACATACAATCTTGTATTATGTTTGATGAAATTAGTTTATTTTTAAGCTACTAATTCAGCATTTCTAGATCTATTCTAGCCTAATCTAGGTAGGTATACGTTGGAGGTCTTATTCCACCTTTTTTCCCTTATTATACCGAAACAATATCTAAATTTCTCAAAGCCTACCGGCAAATAATCCCGTACGAAGTACGTGCTAGCTGGACATTGCGAGAATACGAAAGCGTTCACCATAATACAAAATATATCCTTCCGGCGGTGCTTTTTCCCATTTTTCGATCGTTCCGAATGGAATTTCGATCTTGAGTGCACGTCAAGTACCTGAAAGGATTCCCAGAAATATTCCACAAAAGTTAAACTCGAGAGCAGCGAATGAATGAACCGGAATTACTATAATTTTACTACGACGAGGCTGGGTGGTCCACCGAGAGTTTGGAATTATCATAGACGTAGAAATAGATATACTCATTATAGTCCATCAATTGCACATATTTCACTCGTTAAATAAACGTATATTTTACTAAGAAATCGATAGATTTAAATGCCCATCAGAAGATAGTTAGTTCTTCACTAGTTTTCTGTGGTGATTTTTGTACATTTCAGGATGAAAATTTGATTTTGTGGCGCTACTGCGGCATTTATTTGGCGACAGCCAGTCTAGTTGGTTTACCTGAGACTGGAAGGTTTCGAGAGCGGTCATTTTTTCCGCCGGTAGAATCAGAAAAGTACTGATGACCGGGCCGAGCACAGGTGTTGGCTGGTTCCTTTTATTTACAGGAACCAAAGGAAGCCGTAAAGCAATAAAATTCGTGACCTATTCTCGCCGTGGGCGCGTCCAGGGTGGTTCTCGCACACGAATTAAACTAGCTAAATTGATCGATACCGTGCAAAACTTATTTTCTCTTATTATAGTTGGAAAAAATGGATATAAATTAGGCGCTAGAGGGAATAATAATTTGAAAAAATAAACTTACGGATAAGTCCGGTATTCTTCCTCTAAATGGATGTAATCCGGCGGTATAATGTGCCAAGTGTTGTTCTCGTACGATGAATAATCTTCGTAACCGGCCATAATTACTAATTTTATTTATTACTTAATGAACACTACTAGGATCTGATTTTTTGACACCAACAGCAACACCGAAATCGGGAATTGATCAATACATCATTTAGTCGAAAGGTACTGCCAGGTGGATTGCTCTTGTTCGTATATTTATAAAACATACACGTTGATAAGATATGATATTAAGGAACATATTGACAGGTGATTATATCTCCACTTGCGTTTATTTTATGTAGCCTATTTGAATAATACTGTGCGAAAAAAAATGTATTTTACTGATTTAGTTACAGTTATCATTATCTCTTATTTGCTTGTTTTGTTTAGATTGTAAAACTGAACTGATTTGTAAGAAAAGTGAGCTTGGAGCTTCAATAAAGTGGAAGGTTTTCTCTTCCAGAGTGTTTCCTGTGAAATTCTCGTCATGGAAAATTAAATTTTCTAATAAAAATCGTATTTTTTAGCATCATTTAGTTCACTCTCTAGGTTCAAATGAAAGGTATTCATGGTATAGTTGGTGCAAAACAAATATCAATGCACGTCACTACTGTCGTCATACTTGACAAGCATTGTGACCAACTTTTAAAAATAAATGGAATGATAAAGAAAATTGATAATTATAGCCTCTTTAAAAACGTGAAACAGGTACCCCTAATTTTCAATTTGTTCTTGCCATTTGACAATTGTAGAAAATTCTTAGATTTTCTAAACTCTATAAAAGTTCGGCAACACTGCCTACTTGTGACGTATAAATCACAGGTGACGTGCATTGATATTTGTTTTGCACCGACAATAAAACAATCTTTTGACAAAAAAAATGTTTCATTAATATAAAACATTCGAATTAGACAATTAATACAATAACTGTGAAAAACAGTATAGTTGAACTTATTCTAACATAACCTTACGCTACGTATCACGATACATTCGTTAAAATTAACCAGCTTAACATGTTAAAAACCCAATTGCGATAGAAAAAAAACTCCGATTAATGCCAAGGGGTTTCTCTACTTTGCGATATAGAACCCAACTTGATGTACCTAGCAGTCTGCGAAAAGGGTATCGACGTCGATCCGTTCGTTATACTAATCGAATTATATTGCGCGTGAGACAACTGAGCTGAATCTCCTTTGAGCACAGCCACTGGCTTCCAAGAATTGATAGCATTCACTGAAATATATAAATCCATCAGTTTCATTCAGCAGAAATGGCACAAGTGCCAGAACCTCGGCTTGTTCAAGGTTCACCTGCGCCTTTATTTAGTATTTTTAATTACTTTTAAACATTCTGACGCTTCCGTCATCGCCGGTCGAACACAAAACATTTCCGTTCAAATTCCAGCAAACCCTCCACACTAAGCTATTGTGATCTTCGAATTGGGCTATAGTTTCGATGTCTAACTTAGTAACGCCGCTTTGAGCGCTTTGTTCGTCGCTAAAACGAATTATACATTAAAAAAAATCACATTATTGACCTAATATGCACTCACTCTACTGGAGTTAGATTTAATATTTTAACATCTTTGGTTCCAACGGCGAGTACGTGGTAACTCCTTCCTAAATTAGGCGAGAATGCGATATCGTGCACGGGGTCTACCAACGAACTGATAGTTTCTAACTTTATCCAACGTCTGGAGTTCTCGTTGTACTCGTATACGAATACTTTACCACCGTTAGTAGGGTTCGGATCGTCGCTGCCTACTGCGATCATCTGCGGATGTAATCTACAAAAAAAATTACACATTAAACATACACGAGTAGTATTTATTTAACTGTAGTTTACCTGTTAAGACTGGGATTCCAAGTCAAGCAACTGCATGGTAATTTACATTGAATCTCGTGCTGTAAGGTCCATTGGCTGAGGTTCATCACGTCGGGCGCTTCGTATATCCGGATGGTTCCCTCCGCCGAGCAAGTGGCTAGCTGCAAGCCTTGGGATTTCGGGCCGAATTTGACGTCGGTAACGGAGGTGCGGGAGTCTACCAGATTGGTTCTTCTCACCCAGTGGCGGGTGCCCCGCTCGCCCGGCCCCGGCAATTCGCCGACTGCAATATGTTAGAGATGTATTCGGTTAAATGTGAGGTTAGGGTGAGTTACCGATTTCTTCCCAGACGGCGGCGGTTCGGTCGAACGATGAGGTGGCCAGGACTTGCCCGAATTCGGGATGCGCCCAGGTGACTTTCCAGACGGAGCCGCTGTGCGCCTTCCAGCTCGAGGTTAATATCCATTTGCCCTCAGAATTCTGATCCCAGACCTATCCGGATAAAACAATCAATCAAAACATTCGAATAGCAATAGAAATTCTTTACAATTGAACAAACAAAATATTCTTGATAAAAACAAATAAAACGTGAAAACAATCTAGAGGCATTAAAATTATTGTTTATAAAAATCATAGTTTATAACCTATAAGAGGACGAATGCAATAAACTTACTTTTACGTAGTGGTCACTCGAGCAAGTGGCCATTCTTCGCCCGTAATAATCGTAGGCGACATCGTGAATGAGATCTTTGTGTTCGGCATTAATTTCTTGGGCTTCGCACATTTTGATTTCGAATAAAAAAACCTGATGCTTTCGAAAAACCGACAAAACATGAAAGCGAAGTTTGTAGCGCCCTCTATTGTACGCGTTTTGAGTTAATCAAATATTTGTCAATTTTGGCACTAAATTTGAATTTTTACTTTAAAATTACTAATTATTTCATCCAGATTAACATGCCGACTTATTTAAATGCAATATATCGTTAAAAAATTACATAAAAACACGTAGTTTAATAAAAAAAAAAGAAGAAAGTAATAAAAATGTCAAAGACAATGTTAATTTAAACTGACAGAAGAATATGTCAAAACAACGAAAAAAAATCAATAATTTACTTATAGAAACAATCTAAGTGTGAATACTGGGTAAGATGTGCATAGAAAAATCAGTCCAGAATGGCAAATTATCTAGATTTAAAATAGGATTGTGTAATGTCAAATAACATCGAAGCGAACAAAATTAATTCGAGAATAATAAGCAATCCAACTGTTACTAATATTACAGTCAAAATACGTCCAATCATTACTTAAAAACATCAAATGGAAAGAAATAATTCAAATAATAAACAACTATTAGATTAGCGTAAAATAAAATTATTGCTTTGTTTACCTCGAGGAAAAATAGGTATTCTGTTCTGTGGTATAAATGTCAATTGTCAATGTCATTAAATTTAGTTAGGCCGATAGCCTTAGTAGCTGAGGCCTCAATTCGGAAGAGAAGAAGAAGAATAATAATACAGATTCCTGTTCTGTGCGCTACCGCTTAGAATACGTATCTTACATATTAAACAACAGATGGCGGGTTTTATTGAAATTTAATTGGTAATTTACATGTGTAGCACAAAATAAAATAATTTAATATGGGTTAAGAAATAAACAATAACATTAAATATTATCGTATATTCTAAATTTTCAATAAAATAAATTGTGCTATTTAAATAACAGTAACAATTGCTTATAGAACAATTTTTTACCACAAACAATCCAATATTAATAAGACAATAATAATAATAAAAATTTAGTAGTCGTCTACCTAAACTAGAACATATTAAAAATATTACATACAAGTAGGTAAGTTTTTTTCGATATTTGTTCGTACAATTTGTTGTTTTTATGGAAATTACTAGTAGGTATACTTATTAAATTTAATATATTTCATATAATTTTATTAGGTAAATATCTAAAATGTTTTTACTTTATTTAACATCTACATTTCCAAGAGGAGTATCATGAAGTTATAATGGTTGCGACCGAAGAGTCTGACGGTAAAATTAAATTGTGCTTGCTAAATAGTATAAATTTGTGCCAGTATTAAAAATATATCTCTAAAAAGCTTGCTCTGTTTATAGGTTGAAAAATAATAAGTATTTTCCAAAATAATAGCCTTTAAATATTGTGCTTAAATACGTGCAGAAAATCAATCATACGACAGGTAGGCATATTAAATTACTTGTTGAAGATACCGAACTTAGCAAAGAGTAGGTACTTAATTATTGTAAATTCAGACCAATACACCTATTTAGTTGTTTCCATTCAAGCATCTGTTAATAAATTTATAAACCGTTTTAACGTAACTATCCCTGTTTTCCGCTAAATGTTTCACGTGCAGGCTCTTTTCGTAACAAACCGCTGTCACGTCGATCCCCAGGTTCTTCCTGTATCCCAAGAAATACTCGATATCCTGCAATCGATACATCAAATAAATTATAATTTAAATTGCATGTAAAATTCTCTTTTACCTGGTGCGGGATCAGCACATCATTCTTAGAATAAATGAAACATTGAGGCCAGCGGTTTTTTTCGTTTTTTAGGTTCTCTAGAGGATTCGACTGGTAACTCTGTCTGGGGTAAATTGAATTGCTAATTACCTAAAATAATTACGATTGAAGAAGTGATGAATAAACATTTGTTTTGTGGGGAATTAAATGTACCTCATACAACCAAATCATGGACAAAAACATAGTCATTAGCCATGATATAGTGAAATTATAGAAGAAATTTCCTCCAATTATAGCCGAAATGGCTCTGAATAAGCTCAAAACTCGCCGTCTTCCTGGTGCGGAATCGAATATAACTCCCTTTATCTGCAAGAAATAAATCATTAGATATTACATTACAAGAAGCTGTAAAATTCTCTCACCGGCAGTTCTTTAGGACTTTTTTGTAATGCTAGAGAAAAATTTTGGTAGAGGAAAGCGCCCCCGTTGGAGAAGCAATGCACTATAATAGGATGGTTATCGAAGTTCAGATCGTATAAAAGTTTGACTAATTTCTCTCCTATCGTTATCATTTGGTATCTCCTCAAAAACATGCATTTTATCGGCGCTGTATACCTCAATGTAATTAGCCTAAAATTTATTTAAAAGGCTCATTATTAACTGATAATTTGCATCAAAGATATGTGATAATGCAGGCAATGTACAAGTGTTTAAATGGTCCATTTGAATAATTTGTTATTCAAATCATAATGCATTCTAACATACTGTAAACGTATTTGCGGGAATTTTAATCAGGTCTCGCGAATCTTCATGAATACTTAGTATTCACACGCTATTTATTCAAATATCCGCGCTAAGCTCAAAGCGTTATTACTTTTGCATATTACAAAGTGTTTTTCTAACTGAATATATCTCAAAGCTTGGAATAAGCGCTTTTAAAGAGTTTTAATTTAGGTAGATAAACGTTTGTCGTTTGTCCGAGTGCTTTGTTTACTAATTTTGTTAAGCTCTTAATTAAAATCATCTTCAAAGTTATTTTAGAACTGTTATTTTGGTGCGTGTTATAAATTTGTTCGTTTGATATGCGATAAATTTATCAAATTACAGTTACATATTTAAGTTGTTATTAGAGATAATTTAGATTTTAATAAATTTATAAATAAAAGAGATAATAAAAAACACTTATTTGTAGAGCACTGAGTCAGAACTGGAATACAAAATTAATATTTACAAATTTAAAATTTATATAATGAATTAAATATTATTGAATCGGTTAGTTTCGAAGTGAAGTGTATTATTATGTTACGAAACGAATTTTCCTATAAAAATGTCACGAATAAATCAATTTAGTTCTATCGATTATACATTTTAATTGTGAAATTCACAATTTCTTATACTAAATACATTATTAAGTGTTAAAAAAATTAAAGTAAGAACTTACATAATTAAAAGCTAATAAAATTATTGAACTGAAAATATGATAATGAAAAGAAAATCAATAAATTGATTACAAAACTTCTATGAAACCGAATGAACTTTTCTAATTAACCAACATCATTAGGTCTCAATAAATCGGTGAAATTACATCGAAATTAAGACCAAACCGGCCGGTTAATTTTCGAAAAAACTCACCCCTTCTCTTCGTAAATTTGCGAATATTTCGCCAAGTATTTGTCTTGGCAACCCGCCCAACCGAACAACAGGATCACCGGAATCTTATCTTCGTTCACAACGAACACAAAATCATGTTCACCGTTTTGATTATAGTTAAAATTCGGGCTCGGAAATTTTATGAAATATTCCAGGTTATCTATTTCAGCCATCGTTGATGTTTGCACGCTTGCGTTCAGTTATTGATTTCAGCATGTCTGACAAGCTCTAGTCCTGAAAATTTCGCTATCTAGCGAGCGGGAAATACGAACTAAAATATCCATTTTTTACAAACAAAAACGTGAATTGGCAGGTGAATTAACAATTCAACTCGAATTTATTAATTTTTTATTTTATTTTATGAATTTTATGTACAAATATTATTCAAAAATGTGAAAAAAAGTTCGGCTGAATTACCAACCGTGGCCAAGACCATGTCCAAGACTAAGTCCGTGACCAAGTCCATGTCCCAGGCCCAAAGGTTCAGCGACAATTGTCTTGGATACAGCAACAGGTACTCCTAAAAAAAGTACCAATTTTAGGCATTTAGTTCATACAACTTACAAACAATTCATTTACCAATTGGTTGAGGTACGTGTACTGGTACTGGTCTATCGACTGGTACAGCAACGTGCCTTTCGACAGTCACCGGGTACGGTCTCGGTACTGGTACAGCGATCGGACGGTCAACAGCCACAGGTACTACGAAAAAATACGAATAAATTTAATCTGCAACACATTATCAGCACCTAAACATACCTTTAACTGGAACGGGAACTCCCACTGGTCTATCGACCGGTACAGCAACGGGTTGCGGTACAGCTATACCAATATTACGAGTGATGGTGGTGTGGGTGTGGGTGTGCCTTCCCAATTCGATACCTGGACCACCCAGAACTCCTGGACCAGCAGCTACAACAGCCGGACCGGAGACTAAGCCTGAACCAAGAACAGCTCCTCCTCCTATACGGTACCAAAAAATTATAGAAATGACCCTTTGGAAATTAAATTATGTTTACCTAAACCGTGACCGATGAGTCCGTCGCCGAGGAGGCCATGTCCTGCGATGCCCAAGCCCAACAAACCGCGCTTGTCAACCTTCTTCTCTTTGCTCTCGGCTACTTTGGTCGGAACGGCCAATGTAGAGCCGATTAACAAACAGATAACCTGAAAGGATAAAATCAGGTTACATGAGAGCCTTCTGCAATGTCTAATAGACCCAAGGATCGCGTTTACATGACCATTACCATAAGTATAAACCAATTATTGGTGGGTGGTTTCGTTTATCCGCATTCTTGTTTAGAACGTGACTGGCGAAGGGAGTGCCCCATCGTCGAAGGTTTCGCAAAAATCCCAACAATATTCGAACTTACACTGCGTGACGCTTCTAATTTTTAAACCTACATATCGAAGGCGTGTACGTATAAATTTCACACCTATTAGCCGTTTACTGGAAAAATAATACAGCAGAGATAATCGAATCGATTTTATGATTAGTTCAACCTTCTAATGAAGCTGTAGCCGATACTCGCATATCGATTTTCCCATTTCCGAATAACTTTTAAACGGTACATACCTAGTGGAAATTAATGTGGCGAACTTTAAGTCTGTTACAAAGGATGTTGGGTTTGGTATTAGATTTACTTGTAATTAAATTGTTGCGTCAATGGAGAAAGATCTTAATAGGAAAGTATCATCGCAATATAGCGTTTTCATTCCCAAACTAGTTTATACTAGTTAAACAATTAAGCTATTAAAATTGTAAATTTTGATTAATATACCGAAAATATTTCACCTGATGCAAACTATTTAATTAATCAAACTATGTGCAGGATCAGCGTTATTGATCATTCTGTCGCGATGAGAAATATCTGCAGATTAACATGTTCCAGAAATAAAGCGGTTTTAATTGACAGCAGCGATTTCTACCCAGCTGAATGCTAATTAACCCAATAAATTAGAATTACAAAATCGTCGAACCGTCGACGTTTAAGCATCGACATCTCGACAACTATTGTTAACAAATCGATTAAACTATCCGCTCACGAGCCGGAGGTTTAATCTACGTTTATCAATAGTCGTAGATCTTCCAGCAGAGAAAGTATTTTATTCACCGTCGTTCTCGACGAAGTGCAATAATGCAAAAGTGCACCAATTATTGCCGTTACGCAAGGTTTACAAACGCCACCGAGAGACTAGATAAATCCAACTCGAAGTAGGTCGTACGTTATTGTTATCGCCGCTTCCCCGTGCATTCCCTACGGCGATTTCAAAAAATGTCGAACGAACTTTTGTACTTAAGGAGATATTGCAGTTATGCAAATTTGCAAGTTTGCTTTTTATTAAAAAAAGTTGTTCCGTAGAGATAAATCTGGAAATCGTGTTAGTTTGGGCTCGTCAAACTAACAGACGTGTTTTAAATTACCTACCAGAATTTTAATATGGGAAAATATATATTCAGAATTTTTAGAAAAATATTAGAAACTACAAGAAAATTTCAATTTTCATTTGCATTTCTAAAATTAACTACTACTACTACTTAAATAATATTGAAATAAAAATGTAGTACATTACATACCAAGGATTTCATGTTTATGCACTTAAACTGAAACGAACAAGTGTCACTGATTTCGTAGCTTTGAGAATATCTTTATATAAATTGAACTAACTAACCCCCCACTTAAAACTTCTTACTATCAGTTTCTTTGTGGGTGATTCAGGGATAACTTAACACTTTCTCCTTCCTTCTATTTAGAACCAAACCGTGGTAGATAGGTTACTGTTACATGCAATATTTATTGCTGTACGACTTCCTATATAAAGAGGAGAATTTCGGAGGATTTTAAACAAAACAACAGAATATATTTCATTTATATTTTTTTCAACAAGTAAATCCATTCGGATGATAATTACAAGAATTCTTCGCTACACCCTTTACGTTAATATCTGACCAATTAAAATTCGAACAACCGTTTTTGTTGCAAACAATGTGAACCGGTATGGCCTTTTTGTTATGAACCATCGATCCGTACACTTTAGATATCCTCAAATTCGATATTTTGAACGGCCGAGAAACATTACCAGTATCCCCGTAGTCCTGATTTATGTAAATACCATCACGCACCAATCCTACAAATCAAAATCAAATCCAACATCGCCTTCTAATTCTCTCCAATCTCCTCACCTGAAAACTTAATGTTTTCGTAAACTACATCGGTAAGTAAGCCGGTTCCTCTTTTAGTTTTCACGTGGATTCCCCAGGATCCGTCCTCCACGACGCTATCCTTGAAAGTAACGTTTTGGGTGACACCGTTAGCGTGATCGTCCCCGGAGGCTCCTAAAGAGAAACTCAAACCGTGCGAACCCACGCACTTCATATTCCTGAAAAGGTAGTTCCTGCCGGAGTTCACCACCACGCAGTCGTCCTGGTTCATCACCACCGAATTTTCTATCAGGATGTTCTCCGAATGGGACACCCCGAATCCGTCGGTGTTCTTCGCGCCTCTCTGAAGCCATACGAAGAAATAAAGGCTGTTTAAAAACGGTGATTGGTTAAGGGATGAACATTTACCGTATTTCCTTCCGTAACGTTTATAGTCCACCCGAACAAATGCGTATCTGTCGCTGTTACTCCAACGCAAAAATGAGCGCAGTTCCGCAGGTAGATATTCTTGAAAACCGATCCGCCCGAAGTACCGACGTGGAAGAACCTGGGCTTGGTAACGCCGCCGGATCCACCGTGTCCATCCCAGTACTTCTCGCCCTGCGCGTCCAGAACGCTCCCTGAAAACGATCACCTGCAATTCGTGCATGACGCCAGGTCGAGTTCTAACCTTGGGCTCCCTCGACGGTGACCCTTTTCCCGGTGACCTGCACCAGGTGGCCCAGCCAGTGGGCTATGCCGAACACCGTGCGGCCCTCGAAGGTGAGCGTGGCGCCGTCCCGCAGGTCCAATTTCAGCGGCCGCCCGCCGGGCACCTGGAGGTTCCTGATGACCACGTGATCGCAGCCGCGCACGGCGCTTTCCACTTGGGAAAATTCGGTGACGATGCAGTTGGTTTGGTGGCTGGAGGGCAGCGCCGAAAGCGCCAAAGCGAGGATGATTGCTGAACGTGTGAACATTGTTTCGATTATTTCGGATTCGTTAGTTTCGTTAAATAGTATTTGGCTACAATTGAGTGGTCGATAATTGTTGGAGATAGTATAATTTGTGACGCGTGGATCGATTAAAAATACTTTTTTATCTGTCGAGTGTTTCGTTGTTGATTTGATTTTATCGAGCGCTTGTGTAAATATTTGGACAATAACGAAATTTCGAATTGTTCGATTGATCGATTTTATTATTTTATAGTTTATGTAATTTATCGACCTCACCTCTGCGAGAAATGTACATGAAAATCATTTTCTGCATTGTTTAATATCCTGCTTGGTACTGACTAGTACTTTAGTCGCTTAGTTTTTTCCTCATTGCGACAATTCATGGAATATAACAGTAATAATGTCGTAGTGTAGGTGCACCTATATCGGAGCTTTAATTACATTCATAATCAGTTATAATTATGTTAATTGTTTCTTGAATTGTGCATTCATTGAATTAATAAATCATAATTAATAAATCGTATTCTTTCACTTGCCACCACATTTTCCTTGTAGAGTTCGACTGGACTAGCTATAAACTACAAGCATTTCCAGTATCGCAAAAAAAATTAAAACCCGGAAAGAATGTAATTAAATACTAATGATTTTAGTATCAAATTGAACTGTTATTACAATTCGAATGGCTGTTCTGGTTTGAATTGCGTTTGCACAGTATTCGAGACCGTAACCTGAAATTAAAATACATTCAAAAGTTAATGAACTGCAACAGGTAGGCCTGCATAGTGCAACATGTAACAGATTAGCTCGATGTTCTCTAAATAAATCAAGTTCACGTAAGTGTGCAAATTCCTATTAGGTAATGCTAACAGCGCTCCGATCCATTGAATTATAATTATACTAATAATGGGCAGTTAAACGGGAATTGTAGATGCAATCATTTAAAGTCGAGCTTTTACAGCGCGTATAATTTTCGTGTACTTACTGTTCCTTTATGGATCGTACGAAGCATTAGCAGGAAATGTCTATCTGGTAGTTTACTGCTACCTTATTTAAGAGGCATAATATTTAATAAGTGTGTAGTAACTTGAGTATTTCAAGCCTTTAACAGAATATTAAATGCAATTACAGCTTAACAGGAACCATAAAATAAGAGTTATAATTGAATTTAAATGTACTTTTGCCACTGCGCATATAACCTTGGTAGTTTTAGATATTCCTATAGATCTGTATGTATAAATATTTTCTGTAGAGTTTCTATGATTGTTGTAGGAATTTTATTACTCCACACTCTGAAATCTTATACAATTTTAGCTAGTGGCACATTTCAAATAAATTTGCATCATTCGTTGCATATTATAAAATGCTTAATTATAAAGTGCATAAACGGTTCAGTTATATAACGCGCCATACCTGAGCAGGTAATCTCTATAGTATTAGGTACCAGTTTCAATATCAGTAAGTGTAAACAATCCGTTTTGGTCATATAGTGTCGAGAAATTACGGCGAATATAATGAATTACTTTCCAAGTAGCATTCCGAAACGCATAAAATTCTTGATGCAACTGGTTACGCACTTGTCGAATATTTACAAACTTGTATTTACTTATACGGACAAAACGCGTTCGAAAATTTGCCAAGTTGCTCTATTAATGGGGCCATTTGATCCGGATGCGTAATTTAATTATATCGCAAGAAAGTGTCAAGTTTCGCAAAGAACGACATTTTTTTTATTTCCATTATTGCTCTTATAGAAATCATTTTTAGAGTAAAAATAATGTAATAACACCATGAGATTTCTAATGCAAGAAGGTGATAATTCAAAACAACAAATACTCGCTAGTGTCACAATACATACCTTGTGAATAAATTATTGATTTCTTCCAAGGTCGCAAATGCCCAACAGGATGCGATTTTTTACCTTTTCCTACCTAATTACACTTAATATCCAACCAGTTTTATTTTTAAAGCGAAATGTTTCATTATTTGCGCCTAACTCGACAAAACCGCCGATTGCAAATGTACATGTAAATCAGTCCAGATCTCGTTAATGATTGTTTATACAGCATACACAAATTGGTTTGTTTTACCAATAAAACAAACTTGTCCTTAATCAATTCACTGGTATAAATCAATATTAAATTTATTGAGGAAAATCAATACATATCTAATGCTAGAATATCAACGCCATCATCCATTCACGACCTCTTTATGTACATACAATACAAGTTGTAATAAAACAGGAAAATTATAAAAAAAATCTACGAACGCCAACAGGAATGTATTTAAGAAAAGAAGAATCTACAGAAAAAAACAATCTATTATCTTACATATCACAGCAACATAATACCATAAAACTAATGAAACAATTCCTGCTAACACGCCAATTCTTCGACAATTCATTTGCCCAAGCTCACTTGTATCTCCTCCAAAGTCTTCCCGGCCGTCTCGGGCATGAGATTGAAAGACAGCAAGCTCGAAACGATGTTAGTGATGCCGAACAGCAAAAACGGCCCGTACATCCCGACGCGGGTGTTCAAATAATAAAACGCGAAATTCGACGCGGAAAACACCAAACCGAACGTTATAATCAACACGCACACCGCCTTGGCCTTGATGCTCGTCGAGTACAGCTCGCCCAGCATCACCGTCGGTATCACCAGGCTCCCGAAGGACGAGAACACGGCGTACAGCACCATTCCCGCGATCGGGAACCACTTCAAACCGGCCACATCGACGTCGGGCGCCTCCGATTCGTAGTAGAAGTACACCGCCTCCAGGATTTGCACGATCGCGTTCAAGAAGCACGTGATTATGTAGCACTTCTTCTTCCCGACGCGCTCGATGACGTTGCCGGTGAAGATCAGAAGCGTGAAGCAAATTCCACTGAACACTATCGTCGGTATCTCGGAGGGAACGTCTATTTTCAAGCCGGCGAAGATGTATTGCGTGAAAGTCATCAGAGCGCCGGCTCCTCCGAATAGCTGGGACACTCTCAGGAACACACCTGCTATTAGGCCTCGTCGATTGGCGGGCTGCATCACCAAATCCCGCCAGGTTCCTTTCTCCTTCATTTGCTGGTCGATTTCTTCTTTGAGCTTGGTAAATATCCCGTCGACGTCCTGGATCCCGCGCAGCGTTCGCAGCGAGTCCTTCGCCCGCTCGTCCTTGCCGTGCATTATGCACCAGTAAGGAGTCTCCGGAAGGAAGCACATCGCCACTACGAAGACGATCGGGAGCGGAAGACACACGTAAGCCGTTACGTTTACGCTGCATTGGGAACCGATCACGTTGATGAGGAACACCCCGAAGAACGTGCAAACTCCCACCAAGTTGCCCCAAACGCCCCTGATCCTCGGCACGGCGATTTCCCCGATGTACACCGGCAGGGTGACTAATAAACAACCATCGGCGATTCCGCTGAAGATCCTGGAAACGTAGAAAACGTAGATGTTGGTCGATACTATCGTGCATATCCAGCTGATGCAGTGGGGTATGGAGGTGAGCATCAACGTGGTTTTGCGGCCGATTTTGTCGCTGAGATAGGAGAATATCGTGCTGGCCACCACCATGGCTATGGGGGAGATGTACGTTAACCAGGAAGCCTCGTCTTCGGTGATGTTGTAGTTGGTTTTGTCGTTGGTGATCTTCACCATAAAGGGAGATGTCCAAGCCAAGAGTAACCCGTAAGTTATCGCTGAGAGACATGCTGAAATGCAATAATCATTGAGCTTGTGTTAAGAGCTGTACACGATTAAAATCTTAATTGGAACATTTGTTATATCTATACTGGAATGATGTCATCGCTAGATTAACGTGAGCGAAGTATAGGTTTATTCTTTGGATGTTTGTTTCTAGTAAAAGGAAGGTTATTTTTCGTTTAATCTACTCTAGATCTGAAGGATGGGAATAGGTGCAACGCTATATGATTTCCCGAGGGGTAAAAGCTATCGTTAAAACCGCTATTCTCAAATTCATACGAATTATTTTCCTCGGAGAAAGCTTTGTTATTGTGCTTTAGTCGCTTTCCACTAAACTCGCTTATTGTAAATTGCACCTAATGGGAGTTGATTGTTGCAAATACAAGAAATGTTTGGAAAAGATACCTACCTACTTTTCTAGTTTATTTTTTCTTCTTCTTAAGGGAGAAATGAAGGTGAAATGGAGATGTTTACTATCGAAATATTTGTACAATTTATAATCAATAAAACTTACCTATGATAATTGCTAGTATTTGTACCCGTACTTTTTCTTCTTGGTCCCCTTTAACGGAGCCTTGTCTCATAATTAAGGCCATTTTTAGGACAATATTTGAAAAATGTTTCACCTAAAACAAACTTCCAATCAAAATCTAATCGTTTTAATTGATTATTTGGCAACATATTTAAACTGGTAAATAAATCAATTAAGCGAATTTGAGACTAATGGATTTTGAAGTAAAAAGTTTTTAAGTTTGCTTTTTAGGACAATTAACATAGTAACGATGACGTAATTTTCCTGCTGTACAGGTCTGTAAGGAAACTATTGTAAGAATTTTACATCGGAGGCAATAAAAATCGACCTCTTTCACTTGAATGACATGCTCTCATGGTACAAAATAAAGAAAGTTCAGTTTTCAAATATCCTACCGTCAGTTGCCAAGCAGGATTGTTTACTGTGAACTTAGAAAAGTTATATAAGGCATATCGCTTTTCTATATTGTTCCTACTTTTACCATGTTTGGCGAAAATATTAAATCTTTTTACGTAACTAGTTTATTATGTGACTTCACTGATAGATAACCGCTTTATTAATCTACTTTAAAACTGGTCTACTAAGTTTATCCTGAAAAGATTGTGAAATTGCACTTCTCGAATTTCCTTCCTTCTTCACATTACTCAGATTTTTGCGATACTGCTCGCATACGTGCCAATTCCGCAATTGATTACTAAATTGCTGTTCATACAAATTGTTAAATATTAAACTTTATTGAGATCATTAAAATAATGACAGAGTAAAATTTTTCCAACGGGTACACAATGCTAAACAAAATAATCTAAACGAATAAAATTATGTGTTTTAAACACAGTATATAAAAATACAGGGTGTTTTCTAAAGGGGGTATTCATTGGTTTATTTCATAATTAATACAAAACCCTGAAGGTATCTATTATCCTTATACATTATCTATTAAAAAAAATTATTTTCTTCATCGAGTTTCCTGATGTGTGTTTAACGCGATCCGCTCTAATTGTTATGCTACATATACCAATAAAATCGTTACGAAATGCCTGAATTTTTCTGACCCATTTCGAATTTTTCAACAAAATAAATATCCACATCCACCTTGGTGATCTTAATAGTGAAAGTTCAGATGAATCTAACGTTTCAAAATACCCGACTTGGCGGCCCAAAAAGGGGGGACACCGCCTTGATTTTCATATAAACGTTACAATTCTACTGCCCATCGCATTTACTCGAGTTATATGAATAAAATGAGGGCATTTAAAGTAAGATTTTTTTAGTTATTTTCTTATTGCAGCAATTTTTAACGAGGCTATTCGATTTTTCTTACAGCTAACAGTTTTCTTCGCTTCTGTATTGGTGGTTTGTCGCGGAGAAGTGGCGAAAAAGGACAAAAGAGGGCTCTTAGGTCTTGGATATGGCTCCGGAATTGGTCATTTAGGATCAGGCAGTCTATCTCTAGGACATGGATTAGGTACGTATACTTATTACAGTAAGAAAAAAAAATAGAAAAAGTATTGAGATAGGCCATAATATTATCCCTGAAAATATCTTGGATATTCCTTAGACTAAATAATTTTTAATATCTACCTCTATTTTCGAAAATTGACATACTTCCATACGATATTAACCAAAAATTTATCGATTTAAAGTGCTCGGCCTCCTGGTTAATGCAATTTTAAACATTCTTTCTTTCCATGAATTTTCCGCGTTCGCTACATCTCGTGCATTCCGCCTTCGGAGGAATTTCTATTTTGTTTTGGAATTGCATTATTTAAGAAACATTACTTTTTATTCCGAGCGTTAACTAGGCATTCCCGGTTAATGGAAGGTCGGGTTTCGCCATTGCATTGTATAACCAGACGTATTGGGTTTCCGAATATAGGTTAACACAGGGATCGTATGCTTATAATTGATTGTATTTACTAATATCAGATAACGGCCAGTTCTATAGTATTATTATACCCCTATAATAATTGCCCTTTGAATTCTATTGTCATCGATACTCGAAATATTAATAAACTCTTAAACCATTCACAACTATTAATAATTTTTTTAAAATTCAGGTTTAGGCGGTGGTTTAGGTCTAGGCCTATCCTCAGCAGATATCGGCCTAGGAGGAACGAGCTCTCACTCCGTTTCGACCATAAACCGAGCAGTACCGATTCCAGTACCTCAACATTATCCGGTACCCGTCGATCGTCTGGTACCCATACCTCACCCTGTACCTGTACCAGTCGATGTGCCTCGCCTGGTGCCCGTGTCGGTGCCTAAACCTTATCCTGTTACCATTACCAGGACGATACCGTACGATGTGCCTCGTCCTGTAGCCGTGCCAGTACCGCATCCTGTACCGGTCTCGGTACCGGCGTCCTTGTCTTTATCTCACGGGTACTCGGGCTTGGAACTCGGGCATGGATTGGGTTCTGGTTTGATAAGCGGTCACGGTTTGGGCGGATTAGGTTTGGGAGGTTTGGGCAAAGGGATTTCCTTAGGGAAAGGATGGTGATTATATAATTTTGATTGTTAATTATACGAGCTTTTGTAGGTATGAAAATAAATGTTTTATTTTATTGATTGTGTTTCATTGAGTGGTTTCTAATCGGAGTGTTTTTATGTTTATTAATTCGAGTGTATTGTAATTAAAATGTAGCAATAATCAATGAAGGAATTTAAATGGAATCATATGATTTTTTTTTGTAGTTAGTTACTAAACGATAGCACGAGTTTATTGGCACGAATTGAGCGGTTTAAATTAGACTATAAAAAAGTTTTTTTCTACAATACGCATAATAATTTATGGTGCAATCGTGTAGTACATTCGAAATAGTACATAAAATTATTAATACTAGAAATGCGAAAATAACTATTTTCGATATTAATTATAAGCACTCACCTAACATAAAATAGCTCGATTATTCGTGAACATATGTTAGCTGTGAATTTTCGCAACAACTAACGATAGTCTTTTGAAATTAAAGCTTGTCATAACAAACCAATTGATCCGAATTAATTTCCGAATCAATTTTCGTTTAACGTTTAATGGCTCGTTGAGAAATTCGCTCACAATTAAAAAACCGATACTTCGGGAACGGGAATGATCACTGTAACAATTTCTTTATTTTTTACTTTGGGTAATTTCATTTTAGAGAGATATACAAATAACTCGATCAATTTTCTAATTATGTCGTTAAAAAAATAGTGAACTTGTGCACTCATTAGCTTAATACAATAACAACAGATAAGCTTTAGCGTAAACAGAAAACCTATAAAAACTTCTTAAGGTACCTAATTAACAAAACAGAAACAATGTAAAAAATTTTAACGAGCGCCTAATCGCTCGTTTGTAAGTATATTAATTCGTTGATTAGAGTACTACAGTAATACGACAATGTTACTGTGATAAACTTATGTATTCAATAACGAATGAGATTTTCCTGATTGACATGCTGGCAATAATATCACAGCGAGAGGTATCTATTTTATTCACGAGCCATCAATACTTTGAGAACAAACCATATATTATTTTACACATTGCATCCAATCGATACTCACTCGAACAATCTGATACACTATCATACCAGATTTGCATGAAATATACCTAGAGATAACACAGACGTGAATATTATTTGAGTAAACTAAATAACAATTCAGTGCTTTCCTACTTACTAAATAAACATATTAATCTGCATTTTCTTTCGTCGGAATAAATCGAAATAAAGTTCGAATACCCTAATAGTAACTTATGTAGGTAATCAACGTTTGCAAAGATTTAAAAGGCTCTAAAAATAACACACCATCGTTCGACTTACTTTCTAATTACAATTCCTATTTCCTGTAAAATGTATCTACGTAATATATTCCGCACATAATCACAAATCACTTGAAAATTGCGATTCTGCGATATGCAAAGCGCTTCCTTTGAAGGCGCAAAGTTTTCTATACAAACTTACCGGCAGTTTTGAAAGTCGGGGGAAAATTTATTTTAAAAATAGTGTCAGCCTTATGATTACTATTTTTGAATTCGTTTGGCAATGATCGTGAATTTTTAAACCAATTTTTGTACATCGTTTCGCTATTACCCAATCACGAATTTTGTTATATAAAAGAATATGTATCTATACTAAAGTAATTTTATTGTCTGGTAAAATAAAAAAAACACCTACTAGCTACATTAAAGTAAAAGAATTGTCTAGCTTACAATAAAAAATAATACTGCGTAAAATCTATGCTTAAGTAAACAAAAAAAGCGTTTGTATCACTAAGTTGTGCAAATTTAGTAATTTTAATGCGTTAGAAATTGAGGCTCTTCAGGTGTTTGTAATAATTCCACACGCACAGAATTTTGAAGCACACGATCACTAAAACAAAGCTCATAATTAAAAACAAAACTAACTAAAAATGTACACAAAACTTACGTATGATCAGTAGTCCAAATAGCAAATGTCCAACGATAAAAATGGTATTGTTCAATCCAGCGTGATAGACGATAGCTATCAATGTAGTCACGATGTAAAAAGCCAAAGCAGTGGGATTCAAAACCAACCAAGGCATCAACAACTTCGGGCGATTCTGCAAAAATTTTCCTCTAAAATTCCTCTAAAATTTGTCACCTTCGTTTTCGTTTTATCCCTAAATGTTCCGGGAGCTCAAATTGCAAATTGGTTTAATAATCACTCACCGTTTCAGCTGCGAATATCAATAAAATGGAGAATACACATTGGAGCGCACTTCCGACAGCAATTATAATGAGTACGGTTTTCAACACTGCAAAAGGAAATGCGCCGTTAATTCGCAAATTTATACAAGGAGCATCAAGTTGCGTCTAGCAAAATGTCTCATGAGAAAATAAATCGTTCTGGGAAAGTTGTAAATTGGAGATGCAATGAGGTAGAAAAAACTTTTAAATACCTAATAGTCGAATTGAAATTAAAACTTTGATAACTTGTTTATTTTTTGCTTAAGATTTGTGAAACATCCTGTATCATTATGCAAGGCAATTCGGTGAAAATGGGGCACTTACCGGTCATATTCGGTACAATGGATGGATCCGACATATTAACAAGCTCATGGGGATTTTCCGCATAGGCAGCGGCCAGAACTAAGAACATAAAGGCAATTATACTTTGCACGACTCCTATTATTATTGTTCCGTGCTTCAGGCTAAAACCGCAGCAATTGGTCATTTCAACTCCCATTTTGGCACTAAAACAAAAATAAATTTTTTTTGTGAAATATGTCGCAAAGATAGGGAATGATGTATGTTTTTCATTTTACTCCGGGCGGTCATTCGATGTTGCTGATTATCTAGATACTAACTAAAATAAACAGAGATTTGATATGATTGTTAATTGGATAATGGCGTTTCAAATACATTTTTTGCATAAAATAGGAGAGTGGTCTTATTGAAGTGGTTTTTAATTGGCATTGGAAATACTATATGTATATTTACAGTTGCTCGTAGCGATTAAGTGTGAGTTTTCTTAAGTGCTCTTCTTCCATGTTTCTCTTTTATGCTATTTTGCTGTGTTTTAGTATCTTTCTAAATGTTTGCAAACTCTTGTATGCACCTTACGAGCACAATTAGAAGCCATTCAACCTATTGCTAAAGACATTTCAGCTTGGAAATCCTAACGATAAGACAAACATAAAAATTACCAGAAGATTTAAGCTTGTACCAACTTAAAATTGTTGAAATATACTGGCTATATGAACAAAAAAAATCCTTGAAACGTGTAATAATGTTCTTATAACAAGAATAGTTTCGGATCAATCGTTGCAGCGCAGGACCGGACTGGCTATCGAATTTCATGACCTTGTTCCTGCAACGTAATCCAACCAAGGTAATACTGGAAAGTATCCACCAAAACAACTGTCCTCTATACCTAATTAGAAATATATTTTATACTGACCTAATTAGAAATACCTACTCAAATAGATCCTTTACCAATATTTGTTATACCCACCTTTGATTCATAAAAAAATAATACTTAAACTACCTAATTACCAAGTATCTATTTAAACACAATGCAAAACTCACATATGAACTCAATTTGCTGTAATATATCGCCACGAAGTGCTCGCCAACTTACTAAAAATCAACAACAATTCACAACTGATTACCAACAGATGTTTACTGTTTTATTATTTTACGATTGTAGCAATTTGTAATGGCAGCAAAACAACAGCAATGCTGACATAGACTCGGCCCGACGACGTGAAATCGTCCATGCGCACGTCGTACCGTTTTCTCTTCGGCGGATTTTTCTAATCCGCACCGGAACGAGCGAGCAGTACCGCAGAGAAGAGAGAGCCGCTACCTCGCAGGAGTACCAGCGAAAAATAAAACGAATCCCGCAGATTTCTACGGTTTTTTTATTAACACAACACTGCAGGCGCGTTCCCGCAAAAAGGGAAGCATTTCACGAATAAATACAGATAAACGATGGGCGTTAATGATGGTAGTGATGGTGATGGTGATGGTAAACGTCTTTGGGTCGGTGATGGAAGTCCTCGTAGCTGCCGAGGTAGATGTGCTGGACTTCATCGTGATCGTAGTGATTGCTGTGTCCAGCAGCGAGACCCAGACCAAGGCCTAATCCTGCGCCTGCTACTCCTGCTTTCGCAGCGCTCGCTCCTGCGATACCGGCTCCAACTATTCCAGCGCCTGAATATACAATGTTAGATACTAATAGAGATAGAAATCGTGTTAATATATTACCTGCTAAACCGGCTCCTGCTAGGCCTAATCCTGCTAACCCAACGGCTCCTGCTCCTCCCAATCCGAGTCCGGCTAATCCTAAACCAACTCCACGCTTACTTCTCGGTACATTATCCTCGGATTTGGTAAGGACGATTGAAATCAAGGCAATCACCGTTAACGTCCAAAATTGCTGAAAGGTGATAATATAATTTATTTACTAAGAAAAACTCCAACAGTGCGAAATGTAAATAAAGGGGAATGTCACACAAACAACCGAACAATAAAAGAAATATATCAGATATTCTCTCTTAAGGCACAAAGCAACTCGCATTTTTCATTTTGAATTTCATTCTTGTAAGAGCATAATGCTGCTCACGAATTCTGGGCATGTGTGTGGATACAATAATGTATTATCGAGAAAAACGCATGGGAAAAGCGCCCATCGTGTAACAGAAACTTCTATAAAAGTGAAATGTATGTAAATTAGGATTTAATAAAAAATACGAAACGAACCGTGGCAAAAAAGGTAGAATAGACTCGTGTAAAAAAACGAGTGAAAAAACGGCTTTATGCGATAAAGGAAATTTTCCGATAAATTTAAATTATTTTAGCTACTTCACAAAATTTCCACTAAGGCAATTTAACGATCTAATATAAGATAAATTGAGACAGGAAATTAGCGAAGATATGATTAATTTTTTATACAACTGAAACTTTTTCATTCATTAATTAAATAATTTAATTACTATACGGACTTACTTTAACTAACATATTTGGTTTTTTTTACTAAGCACTTCTTAGGCGAAATGAACGGCTTCGATTTTTTTAATCGACTGACGAAAATCGATTAAATATCCCGAATTTATTGACTAATCGAGTAATATTGAACGAGAATAAAATTACTTCCCGCCCATTCCTAACCAAGGATTTGGCCAAACGCCGAACAGGACAGCTGGTAGATTAAAAGCCATTATCTAATAATTAATTCCGTTAATTTTTTCATTATATAAAACACAGGTGGGTATTTTACATAACCTTCTTACTAAATTTCGGTAGGTACTACCGTAGAGATATTTGATTTATTATAATTATGGATTATTTTCTACTATTTTCCAATAATTTTCTCCTAGAAGAACACGACGTTTATTCGAAAGATTTTTTAGTAAAATACCCACTTATAGTCAAAGTATTAATAATACCTAATTATCCAATTAAATAATGCACTTGGGGGTAAATCGAACGTCTTCATTTATTCAAGGTAGATATGCACACGTTTCATTCGGAATTCATTCGCTGGAAAATCGGTTTTTACAACAACTGCAATTAATTTCATGAAATACTAAAATGAATTTAATTGCTCGTTTATGAATAAAATCGATGCTATACTTTCTGTGCAATTGATTTATTTGCTTCTTCGGACGATTGGAATTTATTAAAGGGAGTTCTCGGCAAATTGGTATGAAACGGCATTGCAAAGTAGACAGCTCGATTTAGAAAATTTTCAAATGCTTTTTTTGTATATAATAATACACGAAGCCACGCTATTGATTCGGAGCAATACAAAATTAATAGGATTTTTCATTCGATAACGTTAAAAAATACCTAAGCTGGATGCCTACCTATTTATTGTGACGTCGCTTTCAATTTTCTTCTGTATAAAATTCTTTCCGATTAATTATTCAGTTAACTTTGTAATATAATATTAAGTTATGATGTTCATTATTTATTTAAAGTTCTCATGGTCCAAATATTAAAAATGCATGCTTCATAGTTTGGCGTATTAAAAATTAAGTTATATGTAAATGACACAATTTGATATTCAATTTAGAACGTCCTACTAAGTCTTGTAGTATCCTAATTAGTTATAAAAATGACGGATATGCATTTAATAAGTATTACATTAAAACCTTGATATAATTCGAAATATTAAAATGTATAGTCTTGACCACAATGACAAGGTTTTCTACCTTTACCCATTCACTATAATTAATTTTCTCGGTGACTGATGTAAATGAAATTGCATAAATACTACACCAAAAATTTAAATAAGGAAGAGTATTCGTACACATGGAATATGAAGCAAGAGAAGATTTGCGGTAGATGTAAAATTGATTTATTTACACCCTGTTCAAAATTTGATCAAGGATTACACCTGCAACGAGATATGTAGTTCAATATGAGTTGGATGAGTAAAAAACGAGTGCTCTAGATACTTAAGTTCTAGTTCAATATCGCCAAGATTTCAAATAAATTGCCGATCGACTGCCTAATTCGCTTAGTCTTTCGTAGTTTACAGTACTAACAAAGTAAATTTGCTTAATAAAGAAGAAAATGTTATATAAAGTAAGTAAATTAACATCTTCGCGAATATAAATTCGATGATACCAAAAGTAAAACTGAAGTTGAGAAAGTTTTCCGACGTAAAGTTATTTCTACAATTCTCTTTCATTTCGTCTATTTTTAAGTAGTCTTAAAATTCCTGATGTTTATCTTATCTTTTGATATTTCGAGTTTAAGATAAACAATACTTTAGTTATATTTCATCTGGTTATTTTAAACTTTCAGATTATCATATCACTTCTTCTACTGGTTACAATAACGCATTTATCAAGATCAGACGATGAAATTCCTGCGATAAGAGATAAGCGAGCTTTAGGTTTGGGACTAGCAGGAGCAGGATTAGTGGGAGCTGGGATAGCAGGTGCAGGAATAGCAGGAGCCGGTTTGGGCCTGGCTGGACTAGGATTAGGTTTAGGCGTAGGATCAGCTTATCATCATCATCGTCCTCATTATTATGAGGATCATCATGTTGTGGTGCATCATTACGAGCCTGTTGTTCATCACTATTACCATTAAACGTAGCAATAATATCGAATAAATGATGCACACAAAAAAATTGTATAAAGCAAGTATTAAAATATTGAAAACTAATTCCTAAAGTTATTTCAAAAGTTTAAAAATTCTGGATAATTACCTTATAATAAGTCGCATTAAAATTTTAGTGGATCGCAATTATATTACCAAATTAAATACACTGATCTGTACTAACCTGGATTTTCCGATAACCGACCTAACGTCTGGTAACTTTAAGGTCCGATCGGCCGGGCAGGGGTAAGGCGAACTTATTAAAAATTCACCAACAACGAGAATAAAAACCGATATCAATTCGTCCCTACCACTTAGTCTCCTCCTGAGGATGTCATAGTTCATCCATAATTTCCCCGTTGACAGTGCGTTTCGTTAATTGCATTCTAATACATTGATGAACTTGGTGCATTTTAGACACGTTCCGTTGTTACTGAATAAAGTCAAAGCGGGGAAAATCAAAATGAAGATGCGGTTTCCGGTCAAACTGGCCATTGGGTCGTTTTGCGCGTTTCTTTTTATCGTTATCGTGGGTTTCGTGATGTTCCCTAGAATGATTACTTCTAAAGTTAAGCAGGTTAGTGGTTGATTTCTAACAGGAATTGCTGCAGTGGTATTTCTAATTGCTTTAGTTGGGTATTTTAGCTTCATATTCGAATTGTAGTTAATGAATACGAAACTGCCAATTTTATGCATACATAATTATTGTTTGCGGTATATGTGAAGAGCTAATTATCGCTTCTATTATCGGCTGTATTACAGTTTTTGGAGATTTTTTAATTATATCGCTCCAATATTAGCAATTTTTTTTTATGCGTGACGGTAATATTGTAGAGAAGGTTAGACGTAATTACCTAAATACATTTAATTTGCATTATTTAATTGATATTAATAATATATTGACATTAAACTACGGACGAGAAAATTAAATTAATTAAACAGAATTAAAAAACTTTTTCTTATAGAACAATTTGTCACCATGTATTATTATTCAACAGAATATTTTTTTTGAAATTTGAATATGGCTGTGAACTTTGGAAACATCTAATCTTAGGTCTGAGAAAGCCAAGAATTCCGCAGGGAACTGGCAGCAAACAATATATTTTAAAGGATATGTGGAAGCCAAAGAAGAAGTTAAATTACTACATATTCTCTCGGCCAGAACTTAATTATCCTTTACCAAAAAGCAATGTAGAATGAAGAATTATGGGGATGATAAATCAACCTAATGCGGTCACTTTGGAGAAATATTCCGGGCAAAAAATATCATCAAAGAGATAGAAATAACTACACCGAACTTAGACTTATTACTTATTACTTATTTCCTCAAGTTAGGGTTATTAAAATAACATTACATAGCACAAAAAAATAACCAAATAAGCATTTCATTCTTGAGTTAATTATATGAAATTATGAAGTATTCCTAGACAACAAAATTTTGTGTTACTGCTATCAACTCTATTATTGATGCTGTACGCATTGTCGTGATTACATCGAAACTACTTGTTTTGAAATAGTTTAGTTGCTTGAAAAACATGTATGTGAAATTAGCCATCGGTTCGTTTTGTTTACTATTATTTGCTCTAATAGGGAGTTATGTGATACATCCTATATTTCAAACGTGGAAAATCGTCAGTGTAAGTTAAAAGTTAATAAATGAAACCAACAAAAATACCAACAATTTTTTTTTCAATATAACCAATTTGCGAAATAATTAGTACATACCTACGTATGCATAGAAATTTTATCTACTAATTAATTTATAGAACAATTGATCGAACAATGCCGTTTGTAATTTTCATTTAATTTTCATTTACTACAAATCTGGCTTGTAATTACGGCAATGATATTTGCTTCGAAATCAATTATAGAGGTTATTTTATTTCGTTCATTTAATTAGCTTTAGCTTGAATTTTAAAATAACAGGTAGCCTTTCCTTTATGTGTTCATTCGAACTATTAATTTCTGAACAGATGATTACCGTACAAAATAAATATATTTACCGGAACGTTAGGACAAAATGTTTAGTGAAATTCAATTCCAGTTCAAAGAGTAATTTACGAATTATATATCATTACATTACATACATAATCAGCCCGAAATTTTAAATTATTTATTACAGTCACATGCACAATCCCAATTTCCCTAGCCAACTTTTAAACTAAAATCAACTTGGCAGGTGGCAGTTTCTCATTCTTAATTTGCGAACTCGTTCGCTTTTTAACTACCTTAAACTTTTAAATTATAATGAAATCAGGCGTAAAGCGACATAAACACGCTATTATTAATAAAAGTTAGAAATAAACGAGTAACTTTTTGTCGCCATAACTTCTACTAAAACGCACAGTTTAGATAAAGTTGAGTAGATAAATCACAGTTCTCGTTGCTTGAGGAGGGTTAATACTCATACAAAATTATAAAATTTTTGTTTAGATGGTTAATCTCGCACCCGGCATGGAAATCAGAGGCATGTTCCTTAAAGTGCCCTTCGGATTATCGTTCAAAGTGTACATTTTCAACGTAACCAACCCCATGGAAATTCAGGAAGGTGCTATACCTGAAGTAAAGGAAGTAGGACCTTTCTGCTTCCTGTAAGTCGAACTACAACGCCTGTAGAATATTGCGCGTTATATTAATTCCATTTTTCCAGCGAATGGAAAGAAAAAGTGGAAGTCACCGACGATGAAGACAACGATATCATTTCTTATCTATCCAAAGATACATTCACGAGAACAGACGGGCCCGGATGCGTCTCCGGTCAAACAGTAGTCACAATTCCCCATCCAATGATACTGGTAGGGTGAAAAAACTGATAGACTATCAATAGATTAAATTCTATAATATTTTAGGGAATCGTTAATGCCGTACAAAGGGCCAAACCAGGAGCCCTGTCCTTGATCAACAAGGCTATTAAATCGATTTACGACAATCCCACTTCCATATTTCTAACTGCCAAAGTGGACGACATCCTCTTCGATGGCGTGAATATTAATTGCGGAGTGACGGACTTCGCCGGGAAAGCTATTTGCACGCAATTGAGAAACTCCGGTACTTTGAGAGAGGTCGACGATAAAATACTGGCGTTTTCATTGATGGCACCGGTTGGTATAAACATTATTATATCGCTTCGATTTTCAGTTAATTGCGATTTTAGAAAAACGGTACCGTACAGAAGAGAATCAAAGCCCTTCGAGGAACCAGAAACTACCACGATGTGGGTAGAATTGTGGAACACGATGGCCAAACTAAAATGTCCGTATGGCCCACTGAAGAATGTAATAAAATAACCGGAACTGATGGTACTATTTTCCCTCCGATGCTCACTACAGAAGAAGGTTTGGTCTCGTTTGCTCCGGATCTTTGCAGGTAAACAACCAATCTAACTACACACACACACACACAAATAAGTCTATAAATATACTATTAATCAGGTCGTTGGCTGCGTTTTGGGTAAAGAAAACCAAGTACGATGGTATTCCTGTCAACGAATACAGCGCTTCATTGGGAGACATGTCTAAAAACGAGCACGAGAAATGCTATTGCTACACGCCGGATACTTGCCTGAAGAAAGGTTTGATGGATTTGTACAAATGCATCGGGGTGCCGATATACGCTTCGATGCCTCATTTCTACGATTCCGACGAATCATATCTAAAAGGCGTCAAAGGTTTGAAGCCTATTAAAAAGGAACACGAAATTACTATTTTATTCGAACAAGTATGTATGAACGAAGCAGATGAATGTACTCATAATTTACTGTTCTTGTAGTTAACAGGTGGGCCAGTTTCTGCTAAAAAACGTCTACAATTCAGCATGCCTTTAGAACCGATACAGAAAGTAGACATCTTCAAGAATTTCACATCGACAGTCCTTCCTATGTTTTGGGTCGAAGAGGTAAGAGACTCATTTTGTATCAATTTCCATAAACTTTCAACGTTTTTATAAGGGCGTGGATTTGAACAACACATTCACCAAGCCGCTCAAGACGCTCTACACCATGAAAAAGGTGGTGGCGATTTCTAAATGGGTGATTCTACTGGCGTCCCTGGGAGGCATGGGAGCGTCCGCTTACCTTTTTTTCAACAGCAAAAATAAAGTAATCATCACCAAAGTGAAGGATCAGGCGAATAAAGTGGGAAGCGGAATATCGACTGTGAACGGGCACGTTAATAGAGCGATGTCTGACAATGAAGTGAATAAGTTTTAGGAAGTTTCTTTTGTATATTTTTACTGCGTATTTATGAGAATAATTAGCTAAGAATATCGTCGCTAATTTTACTAGATTTGGATATTTATTTACAATGACGAGAAGTGATGATCTAAAAACTATTGCACGTGCACATAAAAATATTTTTGTAAATGTTGATTGGTTTTATAAAACTTTTGAAACTCAATTTATTTTTAATTGGTTGTAAACATTTTTACAGTAATTCACCAATCGAGACTTTCAAGTTTTTTGAAACCTGATATTTTTGTGAAATTGTTAAGATTTTAAAAGTTTACGAAAGCATAATATTAATGTAGATACCACTATTCTTGATGTGATAAACAAAAGTTAATTGTAGCACTTGTTGGCCAAATAAAATCTCTAATTACTTTACTTACTTTTTCATTTCAAGACTCAATTTGGCTCACTAAACAACATCTTAGTAAATCGATTTATTGAAACTGAAACCGCATAACGATTAATTTAATGCAAATGACGATCACAACAAATGTTGTTTGTCGAGATAATCTAATGAAAGGGCATAAAATTATACATGCGGTTATTCGTTCGCGAAAATCAATTCTAATTATTTATTTACAAATTTGCCGTTGCAAACTGGAATATATCGTTTGAAAAAAAAGCTTCATTCTCATCGCGCCACTCGACAAACCTAAAATGAAAACCAGCTTTCCGGTGAAATTAGGCCTGAGCTCGGCGCTGGCATGTCTATTCATTGTACTATTCGGATTCGTGGCGTTTCCGAAAATAATTAAATCAAAAGTGAAACAGGTGGAAATCCGAGAATCAATTAATTCCCCGTTGATTAAACTCCCCACGATTTCTTTTAGATGGTGAATTTGGGACACGGAACGGATATTAGGGATGTGTTTCTCGAATTCCCTTTTCCATTCAAATTCAACGTGTATGTATTCAACGTTACCAATCCCAAGGATGTACAAAACGGTGCTTTACCCCACGTAATCGAAGTCGGTCCCTTTTGCTACGAGTAAGTCTTGTTTGTATTTAATTAATGCGTATGTAAATAATTTTAAAAATCCAGCGAATGGAAAGTTAAATTGAACGTAACCGATAACGAGGCGAAGGATACAATTTCCTACATCCCCAGAGACACTTTTACCAAATCGAGCGGTCCCCACTGCAAATCAGGTCAAATGGAAATCACAATTCCGAATGCAATAATTCTAGTAAGTTCGCAACAGCGAATACTTCGAGATTTCCACTGAAATTCGAACTCCGATAGGCTACAGTCAATTCGGTGGTGAGGACGAAACCGGGCGCCTTAGGGGTGATCAACAAAGCCTTCAAAACGATCTTCGACAACCCCGAATCCGTGTTCCTGACGGCCAAAGTCGACGACATTCTCTTCGACGGCATCGAGATTAATTGCGGAGTCACCGATTTCGCGGGAAAGGCGACCTGCGTCGAGCTGCGGGAATCGCCGGCGCTGAAAGCCCGAGGAAATATGCTGGAGTTCTCATTCCTGGGATACGTAAGTCGATCGGTATTTAATCACTAGCCGGAATTATTAGCGAAACGATTCCTAGAAAAACGCGACTGTTCAAAGTTCGATCAGAGCCCTACGAGGGACCAAAAATTACCGCGACGTTGGAAGAATCGTGGAATATAACGGAACCGCCGACGGTTTATCCACCTGGCCTACGAAAGAGTGCAACACTATAACAGGCACCGACGGCACCGTTTTTCCTCCGCTCATGAAAAAAGAGGAAGGTTTAAAAAACTTCTCGCCCGATATTTGCAGGTACCCTGTAACATATTTCATTCTATTTACCCGCAGTAAAAAATTCCTTACAGATCGTTAACTCCATTTTGGGTCAAACGAACCGTATACGACGGGATCCCCGTCAATAAATTCACAGCGTCGTTGGGCGACATGTCGACGAATCCGGAAGAAAAATGCTACTGTTACACCAACACCACTTGCCTGAAAAAAGGCATCATGGATTTGTACAAGTGCAACAGCGTGCCGATTTACGCTTCGCTCCCGCACTTCTACGACGCCGACAAGTCCTACGTGGAGGGCGTGAGAGGCTTGAAACCCAACCAAAAGGACCACGAAATTTCCATTTTGTTCGAACAAGTTCGTTGCGTTTATCCGTTTTAATTCCCGCGCGTTTTTATCCGTGGATTTTTAGATGACCGGAAGCCCTTTACAGGTGAGGAAAAGGTTGCAGTTCAGCATGGCATTGGAGTCCACTCAAAAAGTCGATTTGTTTAAAAATGTCACCAACACCATCATCCCTTTGTTCTGGGTAGAAGAGGTATGTATATAAATCAATGGTTGACTATAAATTGCTCGTTTAATTGTGTTGTAGAGCTTAGATTTAAACAGAACCTTTACGAAGCCTTTGAAGATGCTGTACACCTTGAAAAGCGTCGTAAACATATTCACTTGGTTAATTTTAATCGGGTCTTTCGGAGGTATGACCGGAGCAGCTTACTTATTTTATAAAAACAACAACGCCGCTGTAATGACGGTTACAAATAAAGTAAACGAAACGGTAGGTTCACAAAACGAGGAGGATAAATATTAATTTTTATTATAATTTAATTTTATTGTATTCGCTATTGAAAGTATTTCGAATAAAGCTACTGATAGTTGAAGATATCAAAAACACGGTTTTATTAAACAATCATATTTAAGATGATGATTTCGACGCTTTCATCATTATAGAAAATTGGCTGCTTTCGTCTTTGAGTAGCGCCCTGGGCTCGTCGAATTCTTTAATCTCGCCCCTATCGAGCACGATGACTTTGTCGCAATTTATGATGCAGTCCAGTCTGTGCGCTATGATAAACACGGTGCAATCCGAGAAGTTCGAATCTATCGCCTTTTGCACCATCCCTTCGGTTTCCGGATCCATGTTCGCGGTGGCTTCGTCCAGCACGACGATTTTATTTTTCCGGATGATCGCCCGCGAAAGGGAGAGTAATTGCCGTTCGCCGGAACTGAAGTTCGTGTCGTCGCACGAACTGTCCAAATTAGGTACCTTATTGTCGAGATTAACTTTGTGAAGGACTTTCCAAATTTCTTCGTCGGTGAACTCCTTCAGAGGATCGATGTTCGTTCTCACCGTTCCCGAGAACATGATGGGGTCCTGGGGTATGATCGATATGTGTTGCCTGAGGTGATCCAAAGCGAGCGTTTTCGTATCGATACCGTCGATTGTGATCGTCCCGTCGTGATTGTACAGTCTGAATAAAGTCGATATGATCGAGGATTTCCCGGCGCCCGTCCTACCCACTATTCCTATCTTCTCCTTGGGCTTCACCGCGAAGTTGATGTTGCTCAAAACTTTGTCAGTGGAATTCGTGTAGGTTAAAGACACGTTGTGGTAGATAACTTCACCGTCGCTCGGCCAGTCCTTAGCGCGCGTGCCTTCGGATTTTTCCGGCTCCACAGCGGTGTATTCCATTACTCTTTCCACTGAAGTCATCATGTTCTCCACTTCCGACCATTGCAGCAGAGCGAACTGAACGATCATCGTTAGAGCGCTGACTTGCGTTAAAGTCAATCCCACGTCGCCGGATTGAGTATCTGGAATGAGTGCAATTAGTCGTTCATTATAAACGCGTTTGAAATGTACCGGTGTCGAAGAATAGAAATCTGCAAATAACGAAAAGATTGAGAATCACAGCCGAGAAGTCCATGTAGAACGCGAAGGCGTTCGAGGCGCAAATCGACGTGTATTTAGCACTTATGTAGACGTCCTGGTGCTTGTCGAACTCGTTTTTTAGAATCTCCTGAGCTTTGAAAGCTCTGACAGTAGTCAGTCCTTCCATTGAGGAATTGAGGTGGCCGATTATAGGGCTTCGGGCTGAAATATAATTCGTACAAATTCATTTAACATTGATCTTTCTTCGACTTACTCGCAGCTTCCAAACGCTTGAGACTCCTCGCTGTAGGCATGTAAATAAATCTCATAATCAACAGCACTATTAAAATAGCCACTGCCGGGATGATGAATTTTAAATTTACGTGTGCCATCATTCCTATAATACCCAAGACGCCGAAAGATGCCTAAAATTAGACATGATAAAGTTATTTTTAAGATGATACAGCTTGAAATAGTCGTGCATTAGCTGAGAGAAATGAATGAATATATTCAAAGAGAGAATAAATTCAAGAGACGCTAATTTTAATAATATTCAAATTAGAGCCAATACGTATTTGCATGTGTATACTAATTAATTAAATTTGAAGTTGATTTTCATATGAATACCCTTGGTGATTTGAATTAAAATAATTTTCTCTATGCGGAATTCAAGAACGAAAATTTCTACAGTACACTTTTAGAAGGAGAAAATACAATCACTTACGCTAATCAGCAATCCAAACATTAGAGACAAATACTCATCGACTACGTTCAAATCCTGGGAAAATCTATTCAAGATGTTCCCCAGTAGGAACGTATCGAAAAACGACATCTTCGCGTACATTATGCTCTTGATCATCGATTTGTGCAGATTAAGGGACGCGTTATTTCCGAAATGGTATATCATGTAATTCTTAACGAAATCCACCACTATAGCTGCGATTAAAGTCACCGTATACAGGTTCAACGATCTGGACGCCATCAGTTCCAGATTTTCCAGCTCCGCGAACACCGCTAACGTTTGATTCTGCTCCGCCGTGAGATTGGAGAAATTAAGGTTGTGGCCAGTGCTGTTAAAGTAAGCAGTTGGTTTAGGTTTAGGGGGTATTAGAGGGATCGTTTGAGAGGGATTGGCTGCCATAGCGTTCGGAATGCTCGACTGAACCGAATCGATGTAAGCCATTATATCGTATCGTTCGTTGGTCGTGATGTTCCTGGAGTTGTTTAAAAAATACAGCGAAAATAGCTCGTCTGTGTTCAGCGAGGTGTTGCCGAATTGCTTCTCTTTTATCGACGTCAAATTCGATTGGTAGTTCACCCTACGAAAAATGCGCAAGTTTAATACTCGACTGCAAGAGATTGCACGCCGCAGGCGTTATGCAGATTTAGATAGAATATGTAAATGCGCCCTTACCAATTCGTTAACATCACTTGCGCCGAGCTGTCGGCGAACGTGTGGCTAGCGTACAACAAAACCATACCGATCACCATCAACACGCCGCCGCCCAATTTGATGTAGTTCGCGTAGGTCTGCAAGGAAACCGCGCCCTGTTTCTTATTCTCGTGGTAGATCTGCTTCTTTTGCTCGGCGGGCGGTTCGATCAGCGGCGCGCTTTCGTCGAACAGTTTCTCCTTGTCGTCGGGCTGCGGCGTGGGCGCCGGCAGGTCCTTGATGTCCTCGATGGCCTGCAGGATGTCTTCGGATATATTCCGGCCGCTGCCGACGAAGCTGACGGCGCCTTTGTCCAGCACCAAGAGCTTGTCGGATTTGTTGATGTGCTTGGAGTTGTGCGTGACGAGGACGACCAGCTTGCCTTGCAGGAACTCCTCGATGCACTCCCTGAAGATGTGGTCTTGCACTTTGGAGTCGAGCGCCGTGAGGACGTCGTCCAGCAGATAGATGTCGCTTTCTTTGTAGATGGCTCGGGCTAGGTTTATGCGCGCCTGTTGGCCTTTGCTCAGGTTCATCCCTCTGTCGAGCACTACAGTGTCGTCGCCTTTGTCCAGTATGCTGAAGTCGTAGGCGAGAGCGCATACTTCCACTACTTTGTTGTATCTGGTGTACTCGTACTTTTCGCCGAAGAGGATGTTCTGCTTGATGGTGGCGGGAAACAGCCAGGGATCCTGCGAAGCGTAGCTTATCCGTCCTCTTGACCTCACCTCGCCGGCGTCGGGGATGAAATCCCGTAGAATTAGCTTCACTAAAGAGCTCTTTCCGCTGCCTAATTGCCCTGAAATGATGTTCAATCCCGCCTCGAATTTCAGCGATACGGACTTCAAGATGTCGTTGTCTTTGAGGTTGACCGAGGCGTTTCTGATGTCGATAAGAGGCTTATCGTCTACTTTTTCCACGTGGTCCGGGAGTTCTTCTAATTGGAGGACGTTGTTGATTCTCGCTAGGGAAGCGGATAATTCCGCGGTGAAGGTGAGCCCAAAAGAGAACACGAAGGAGATGACCATGCTCAGGGTGGAGTAGGATCTCATGATGTAGAATATCGACTCTGCATTGGCGTTAGTGTTGTAATAGATATAGAGCATGACTATGACGTAGAAGCCGACGTTGCCCAGTAATTCGCTGGTTACGATCAGAGTGATCCTTGTGACTGATTTTTTTAACATCGTTTTTATTTCTTTCCTATAAACGACCAAAATGTATATTTAAACTTTTCTACTGCTTGGGAATCGTTAAAAGATTTATAGGATATTACCTCCTCGATTCGCTGATTCGGTCGATGAAAATTTTTTCCCAAGTGTACATTTTTATTATTTTAATGGTCGATAGAGCCTCCTGGCTTTCCTGCAGTCGAACGTCCGTTCTCTTGTTGATTTTCGTTCGTAATTTCCCTATTAACTTCGAGACCAAAACTGAAGAGATATGAATTTAAATAAAATATAATTTTATGAACATTACATTGGATCTTACATTGGATTGGAATAGACGACGCTAAAATTAGCACACCTAAAGTGGAAGAAGCTCCGACTCTGGCGTAAATGAGATAGCAAATGTAGAAAATTTGTATCACACCGATCCATAAATTATTGAAAAGATGAATGGCTCCTTCGAACATGGATACATCTTTGCTGATAATCGTTACAATATTACCTGTGAATTAATTTAGGCATAAAATAATCCTGATGTTTTCGACGTTCACTTACCAACGCTTGTTTTTTCTAAAGATTTGGGACTTAATTTCAAAGATTTTCTGTATATCAACGAGCTGAACGACGCCCTAATTTGTAGGGATAATTGGTACAAATACAAATGGTAATTTGGCGAATACAAATTTTCAATCACCTTCAAACTAATTAAAACACCGGCGTAGTATAAAGCATCGTTGAAACTCAATTTCGTTTGACCCGGTTTGAAATAAGCTACCAGATTCGCTATCGCATCGGGATCTAAAGTGCTATAAACATTAGCATAGTTAAAAAAATATGTAAATCTTCCTGGAAATCGAATATCACCTAGATAGCAGCTTAAAGCTGAGACTCAAAATGCCTAAGATCATGTAGGTGAGGCCGTAGCAATTCCACAAGACTCTCAGGAGAGAGGGATTTTTTTTCTTCTGCTCAGCCTGATAAGCGTGCTCTAATTTATCGGTGCATTTTTTAGAGCGGCAGGACTTTACCACGTCGTACAAATCATCGTCTTCCAGGTCCTTTTTGAATCCTCGGTGGAATAGTTTTCGCGTATAGCTGCGAAGTTAAACACTTATCTCAGTTCGAAGTTTAAAATTTCTATTTTTGATGAGAAATCTAGTTAGAGGACCATAAATTTAATTCAAAAAAATATTTATATGCATAATGACGTATTAGTCATTAAAATTTTAATAATCCTGCAATAAAACGTCGCAAAAATTTTAATTGTTCCTACCAAGTTAATATTTTTATTGTGCATTCGCATGTGAAATATAAGAACGTACCAAAAATATTTTTTTGGGTGTTTTTCTAAACGATTAAAATTTATTTTGTTAATTTAGCGTTATTAAATTTATAGAAATTTTAAATATCGTCTTCAAAAATGACTCTACCAGAAGCCCCAAAAATATAATGTTTAAGATTTCTCTATGTAATCAAAAAATAATTGGATCAGAAGGAAATGTTAAAAAAATTTACTTACAAAAATGTAAGAACAGAGACCGGATTCGCTTTTTCTCTTGGATGAGGCGGCCTTTTCACAGCATCACCCTGATCCATCTTTATCAATTGAAACTCTTAACCCGTCGATGTCTCAACTACATCTATAACGTCTCTTTTTGTGGGATAACTCCGTTTTTTTCGAGGTGAGAATAAAGATAACTCTATTTATATAAAATATACATTATTGACATCTGTTATTTTGTACCTCCATTCTTCAAATATTTAAATAATACTACTTCTCAAAAACAATGATATCTACATTTTGTTACACCATACGTTTTATAAAAATAATCCGGTAATTAAATAAGCGGCAATTTCAACGATTATAAAGTAGTTAGGGTATAAAACTATATTAAATATTAGCATAGATAATATGCATAATAATATATCGATGTACGCATACAGGTTGATACCAAAGACGTAAAGTAGGGAGAATTTCAACTTACATAAAAATAAAATAACTGTTTAAAATAACACATCCATTTATTTAACAAATTGTTTAACTATATAACAATATTTCCTATTCCACTTAGGTTGTTAAAACTTACTATAGTATGTTTTACATCAAATTAAAATTGCTCATAAAAATATACTCAATATCACATATATTCTTTGTCTGTCGAGAAGTGGTTAAGATAATATTTAATTTAACTACAATGACAAAACACCAATTGATTAAGTGAAGATAAATATTTAATTTTATGTAGTCAGTGCAAAAAGTCCAAAGACCCTAAAATATGTATAACAACATAGCATTAATTTTGTATACAGTGAGCTACTACTACCTGGTGTAGATTTAATAATGTGTTACAAATTTAATTTATCTAACCTCGTTTGGAGCAGTAAAAGTTAATACTATTTCAGTTGAATGTATTTAAATAAAAAATATATTCACCTAATTTGATGACTAGGAGATTTGGTTACAGTTGCCGTACACATAGAATAGACAAATTGAAAAAGTAGATATTAAAAAATCGTCTTATAAAATTCAAATTATCTATCCTAACTGTACCTATCGAACTCATGCCCGCTCCCAACATTATTATTATTAGTATTATTATTGCTCACATTCCTGTAATTTTTCGGGTAGTTCATTTCGGTTTTCAACTGCGAAATAATAGCGTTTGTGCTCCTGTTATTAAATGCTTCGTTATCGTACGAATCGTACGAGGACGCGCTGTGCACCGGCGTTATTTTCACGCTCTTCCTATTCTTCATAATCAAATAATACCCGTAAGCAATTATCGCGATCGACACCACTATGAAAGTCCAACGCAGGATTTGAGCCATTTTGAGCAGCACGAATATATTAGCGATCTTCTCGTACAGCTCCCCTTCCAATTCCAAGCCCTGCAAAATAAGTTGTGAATGAAAACAAATCTGTTGTATAGGGTGTTCCTTAAAAAGTACTCTTTTAATACTTATGCGTACTTACATCTTCTAGCCAAAATATTGGATGCAAAGCAACAGGGAGATTTTTCATGACGGATATCTTGGGTTGTGGACCGATTTCTAAATTCATTTGGATTCTTATTTTTACGCTAAGTGGGGCGCTAGTCATCTAAAAAAACGGATCATTAAATACTATATAATGCATATAATTCTAGTACTTACTGGTTCGATGTTGATATTCAAAATGTGGTCCTCCCAATTAGGGTGCAATCCATCCACTTGAGACAAGTAGGATTGGTCGGTTTCGAGGAAATGCGGTAGAGTGGCCATAATGGGAGCCCCGACGCATTTCGTCAAATCGAATACTCCTTTTTTGAGGCATCTCTTCGGAGAACAATAGCACTTATCGAGCGTGTTATTCGTTTGATCGCCCAAAGTGGTTTCGTATCTGCGCACTTGTATTTTCTTAATCACGTCGTCTTTAACGAACTTAAGATCGATATTCCTGCAAGGATTAAGAGTTTGATTTTCGGCGTTTTGTGTATTAGATAGATTTTATACCTGCATAAATGCGGGGTGTAGGATTGTATACCGTCAGCGGGATCGAGCAATGGTGGAATTATCCAGCCGTCCGTTCCGCGGAAACGGTTGCAAAAATCGGATCCCCACAGCGTGATCTGCTTTTTCCCGTCCACTTCCAGCACTCGACCGATGTCTTTGTAATTCCTCGTCCCCCTCAACACTTTAATCGTGCTCGCCACGGTGGCGTTCCTCTTAAATCAGATATTACGCGTTAAGCTTGATAAGAAATTTTTAATGAAACCGGCGATATTAATTTCGTTGACGACTTACGGGGCCTATTAGGGAATACAGCAAGACGTTCTTGTTAGTTGGTTTTTCTTTAATTCCCGGTACGAGAGATTTAAGTTGTGTACAAACCGCCTTAGCGGCGAAATCCGCTCCTTCGCAATTAAGTTCCATCCCATCAAAGAGTATATTCTTTACTTTGTCCGTCAGATAGATCGACTGGGGGTTTTTGAAAATCGTTTCGAACGCCTGGTTTAATATGGATAACAATGCCGGAGAATCCGACGCCACTCTGTTCACCATACCCTGCGGGGAGAAAAGATAATTGCGACGAATCGTCGGTTGAAATTAAAAGATTATCTTACCACTAAAAGGGGATGAATAATCGTCACGTAGTCCTCGTCGGAGAGATTCCCCGAACGGTTTTTATTGAATCTGTACACGTCGAAGGCGTCGTAACGCAGGCTGTCTTCGGCGTCGTTATCGACCACGTTGATTTTATTTTTATGTTCACTAAAAAACAGCCAATTTGTTCCTTAAATGGACCATTTATTCACTGAATAAATTTATTTAATGGCACTCGGCATTTATTTCGAACAATCAATTTTTATTTAGTACCTAGATGACTGGAGGTATTTTGTTTAATTTCTAATAATTTCACCGAAATATTTAGATGTTTTTTCCACAATAATGAGGAAATTAAGTAGCTATAAAATCAACTATATACCATCAAGTAAATGTATCCTGTTAAAGGACATTAAAAATTTGAAAGCAATTTGTTGTAGTGCATCAAAAATGATGAACTATTAATCATTCTATTAGACAAATATTGTTAGTATAACTTGTAGATATTATTTTAACACCATACAGCCAACCATGTAAATGAAGCAAATACTTTAGATTGCCGATTTATTTTATCTAATTACCTATATATAGTGAATAACAAAATATTTTCACTATCACATGCCAACATACAAAAATTCCCGATACCCACTAAAATTTAAAAAATAATTTCCATATAACAATATCATCAAAACGGAATATAATAATACGCCTACGAAGGTCTATCAACATCTAAAGTCTAAAGGATATGCGCTTAGTTTCTAACTCTTTGTTTGATGAGTATTATTGAGTTTCTCTGATAATAGCTAATTAAAATCCTTTCGTAAATCATATTGAATTACGATATGATTAAAGGGGTAGAGTTTAATAAGCACCGCAGCACAAGCATCGAGCTGTCATTAACGATTCGAGACTTTTACTGAATTCCCTTGAATTAAGGAAGCCTTTGCTGACAGTCATTACAATGAATTTAAACGCGAATTATTATCGGATTTTTTATATTTAAAAAATTGCAAGGTAATTTTATTCTGTAAATAGGTTTTGTTATTGTTTCTGTAAATCACTTACTCGTAACAATAGGGTCCTACTTCCTGAAGAATGGGTTTAGAGCCGTTTTGAACTTCCATGGGATTGGTTACGTTGAAAAAATATATTCTGGTGTCTAGAGGGAACGGGATATTTAGATAAAGTTTCCTCATTTGGTTTCGTTTTCTCAGAGACGTTTGCTGCAAAAATAAATTTGTTGTATTATTTATTTTATTCTATTATTTAAACGACAGTTTAGAATAGATCTTCTACAAAAGAATTGATTTTTTATTTACACAAGTATGTTAGTTATGTACGAAAAAAAAATCAATATGAATTTTTCGCATATTGCTCTACAAATAAAACATCTACTTAGCTAGAATTTTTGAGATGTTTAGTATTCATAAAATTTTACTTTAATGTTTTTGTAATCTTAATTCAAACGAACGTATGTACATTAAACGCATTTTTGCGTGCAATGTGATGTAAATTCGGAATTTATGTATCTCGTAAATTTTCATCCGGTAATCGCGTGAAAACCATTATCAAATTTACTAAATAATAATAATTTAATTCTTAGAAATTCGTTGTTCGAGACTGGTTTTATTATTTTAGCAGAATTTACTCAAGGTTTCATTTACGTGTAAAAAATTACCTAATTAGAATTACCTACAACTAGATTGAAATGGTGGTAAAAAATACCCATATTATTAAAATTAAATTTATGCTTATTCTCTCTATATCAGTTTGAAACAGATAATTTTCATACAATTTTTAATAAATCTCTCAATTTTCTCCAACTTACATCTTTCACCACGACATTCACTAACGGTTGAAATCCAAGAAATCCCACCAAAACTGTCGCCCCCAGCATCGCAGCCCCACCTAATATCAACTTAACTGATAGCTGCATTTTTCGAAAATTTAGCTTCGAGACACCTTCAACGACATAAGCAATCCCGGTGGAGATATCAAAGTAAATGCATTAGTTTTGAATGAAATTATCGAATAAACGAGCTTTAAGCATTTTTATCGAGTCCGGTGGCTCTGGTGGGGATTGTACTATTTTACCCAGGGTCGGATCCAGGATACTCCATCTAGTCGCTGAAAATGTTGAAAATTCTTTGTGGAAAAATTTGCCTAAATATCCCAAAACATAATTCTAACTTCTAACCTTCAGTCTGCTATTCCACCTTGTGAAATTTTGACAATGTGTCTTTTAAATGTAAAATTGTAAATAAACAAGCAGTAAACAACAAATTAGGTAAACAGAATTGTATAGATAACAAACGAATTAAATACGGTGCTGGTGAAAAAAGTAGCGTCATTGAAGGTAGCGTGGGAATCATTAATAATTAAAATTGTCATTAAGACGATGTAGATCATAAAATTATTTACAGACAAAAGGTTAGAAATATTTGTTTAAAGACTTTTCTATTAGTTAAATAATGTCTAGTCGTTACAAAAGTAGTACATTTTTCCAATAAACCCCTCGAGTTGATGGCAGCCACATCAGAAGTATCGACTAACGATTTGTTAATAATAGCAAAAATATTGAAGAAACTCGTCAATAAAAGAAACCGCCGAGGTTGGATTAAATCTCGGTTTACACCAGGCAAATAAATAAACGAAAATACATTTTACACAGGAGTCATTTATTTACAACAAGCTTCTCGCCATCAGTCTATTTTTATGTTCTTCTTATCGATCACATCGGAACTAACGAAATGCTTCACCAACAATTTCAACACGCATTTCGACGAGTACCAAAACACAACCAAGCCGCACAGCACCACCAAAGCCACGTCTATCAAATAGTACTCCACCACTCCCAGGTGCCTCGCCGGCGAGCGCAGGTGCCCCGCGCCCTGGTGCCTCAGCACGTACTCCGTCCAATAAACGGCCCGCTGCAGCGGATCCTCCTTTTGGTCCATCAGCAACACCTGGCGCTTCTTCACCTCCCTCTTGTACCGCGGATCGTACATGATCTTCTTGATGGCCCGCAGCAGCTTCTCCGCCGTGATGGTGGCGAAGTCCAGCTTCACCGCGTACCCGTCCAGCTCGGCCTTCGCCGCGTTCGAGTCGTGATCGCAGAACACCGGCAGCGTGATGATGGGCACGCCGTGGTAGACGGTCTCGAACATGCTCAGCAGCCCGCCGTGCGTGATGAACGCCTTCAGTTTCGGGTGACCTGTACGATATAATTCGCTGATTGCTGAGCGCGTTTTAGATGAGAGAAATTTTACCTAAAATGTCCTGCTGTGGTAACCATTTTCCCAGTTTGACGTTGCTGGGTAAGTCTGGCATGTCTTCATCGGATTCGTATTTCCACAACACCCTTTGCGGTAGACTCTTGAATACAATCATCAATAATTGTCTCAGATATACTGGCATGTTGACAGCTTTTACTGAGGAACCCATGCTGACGTATATGAACCCAGCGTCTCCGGATCCTCTGATGAAATCTTCCAAATCCTTGAAAATACAACGTTTATGAATGATAATTACATAAGGTAAAGGTGTTTAGATGATTACTTCTGGTAGTGGTTTGGATTTTCTGCAGTGTATACAAGCGATTTCGGCTACGTTAGGTAAATACGCCCGAGGATAGGTCAAGGAGACATAACCATTCTGTAAAATGAAGCTAACATTCTTCGATAATTCGTATATAGGCGGTACATCGTTGCCGAAGTGCTGCCTAAGAATATCCTGCATAAACCACTTCACCTGAAAAGCACAAAAATGTAACAGGAAATCGAGCGTGCGAAAATTTAATTAAACCTCACCATCACGGAATGCAGAGAGGACGCAGCCAAATTCATTAAAGTATTAGCCGTTCTTTGGTATAAATTCATGTTATCCGTATAAGCCAACGATAGAAACGGAGTGACGGCGTATGGTACAGGATTTCCGGCCAAAGATAATGTTCCCGTGTAAAATCCCACTGTATTAATGTACATGAAAGGCGCGTTAAAGTGATGCGTGAATCCCAAAGCGCATTCTGGATACGCCCCATCGAGGATTAGCAAGTCGAATTTGCGTCTTTGGTCCAGGAAATCTCGCGTTTCCGAGTCGGATAGCAGGACGCTGCAAGCCTGCAAACAACGCTCGTACTCAGCAACTCGTTCGAATCGAGTTCGGACAGGAAATTTCATTTGAAAAAAATCACCTCTGTCCCGTACCGAACCATATCCAGCGGCGAGACGGGCTCCTCGCCGCGCATCCTGGCGCCCACCAGGTCCCAGTTGGTGAAGTTCCTAACGTAGAACACCAGGCTGAGCGGGGTGATCTCCTCCAATCCGTTCACGTGGAAGTCGGGCAGGAAGGCGCTGACGAAGGTGACGTTGTGGCCGCGCGGGATCAGCCCTTTCGCCAGCTCCCAGAAGGGGATCTTGTGCGATTTGGTGCCGCCCATGGTGATCATGAGGATGTTGGCGCAGGTACAGAGGTTCAGCGCTGCTAGACATATCGTCACTAGAGGCAGACGTGGATACATGCCTGCAATCAGACAACAAAAACCGATGATATTTTGATCTGAACTCTGAACCGATGAAGCAGGAGAATTGTGGAATAAATCGAGTTTAAAAGCAATGATGCTTTAACAAACTTTAACATATTCGTTTCGAGTCTTAGCTGACGGGTTTATTCGGATTTATTGTGCCGTTTTATGTAGGTAAACGCAAGCGATTCGTGTGTAGGCAAAGTAGGTAATTTGTATCAAGGTAACGAGACACAAACGTATAAATAAAGCGAGAAAAATGCAGAGAAGAAAGTTGAACGGAGTTTATCTGTTACGACGTGACGTCGAAAACTTATGTAAGAAAAACCGAACGTGTATGATAGCTTAATTCGAAGAGAGTTATGTTATAAAATTATTTAGTGGAAACGAAAATTAGCTAATTGAGAACGGATTTAATAATCGTTAAATTAAAGTTAGTGCCCGATTCGATTCATTTTTATGAGGTTTACATTATGTATTCGTGGATAAAGATGATAATAATAGATTTTTTTATGATGAATGTACCGCGAAATCGATCGGTAATTCGCTCTATCGCGAATAAACAGTTTCAAACTGTTTTATAGCAGGAACGACAATTTTTGTTTACTGGAGCATAAGCTAAAATAAACAGTAAGTGTTTACCGTGGTTGGTACAAAAGAGGAAATTGAAAATGCTCTGTCGTATCTCAATCAAAGGCGAGCATTTTGAAAAGGAATTGATCCGTTTTCCAAAACAATAGTCAGATGATCCCGTCATCTGTTATATACGTTGAGGGATAAATTTCCGTATGTGCTAAGCGTTCATCATAAAAAAATCTAATAGAGAATCTAATAGAGAAAATCTAATAGAGATTTTTTTTTACTATCCAGTTTTATCATACGCCTTCTGATTTCGTAAAAAGCATCTGCTAAATTTCCCATTTCCCATTCCCAATTCCAGACAAGATAATCAATCATACGAAATTTAGTGAATTTTTTTTAAATATTCCGATGAGTTACCAAATATTATTTACTAATTCCGATACATCCTGTATAATTAAAAACGCATTTATTTATCCGTAATTAATGTTATATTACCGCCCAGTCGAATTCCGGTAGGGTAATAAAATTACCACAAAAGCCGATACCACCAATGTTAATTATTCATCAGGCTACAATGACATTTCAATAATAAAGCCATCGAAAACAAAAGGAATTCGCTTTAGGAAGCGATTAGCCAAGTCCGAAATTGGCGATCAAAATATAATAAATACTTTTAGAGAGAAATCCTCGATCGAAAACGTCTCAGAGAGCCTCTAGGTGAATATACGTTGTATAATGGTATTATGTAAAGACGCCGCTGTAACCAGTGAAGTAATATCGGTATTGGGCAGGCTTGTTTATGCAAAATTCAATCGAAACAAACTGAAATCCAGTGGGTTAGTATTACGGCCAATTAAATAATTACCTGCTCGAAATGTTGTCGACCCGAATTTCCCGTCGAAATTATAATCAGTTAAAAACATTAACGATCTGAAGCATTGGTGAAGTAATTTTTAAATAAATTGATTACAGAAGAATTTTGCAACGTTTGATTTATGGATCAATTTTAACCGATGGTTTCATTTTATCAATATATTTCCACGATGAAAAGGATAAATGAAGAAGTGTTTACATACCTAATATACACGTTTGTATGTAGAATTCTTGTAATCATTTCTCATGTAATAGTATTGCGTAACTTTATTATTTATAATTACTATCCAGTATTGAGCTCAACTCGAATCATAATAAATTTAATTTTACACATTTTTATTTGATTAGTACTACTTATATTTTTATTAACCAATAAAAAGAGGTCAGAATCGATGAATCGTATGAAACTACAACGATTCCTTTTGCAAACAATTTTATGAACTTTAACTAACCTGCCCTAATGCTCATATCCCAACATAACACTTTAATTGTTTATTAAATTACGTAATAACTCGCGTTAACAGATTAAAGTAAAGAGAAATTTATCTTAAGCGAAATTCTAAGTGTGTTTGTTGACACGATGGAAATAAATTCGTCGACAGCTTTATTTCAGCGAGTAAATTATTATTATTATATGGCCGAAACGTCTCGTTCTGGATCTGCAAGCTTCGGTTATTTTCACCAATTCCTGGTATTGTAGGGGCCAATTAATTCTTCGGCTTGTTGGGCAACCAGAAAAGAAGTAGCACGTTCAGTGACATAAGATATTGAATGAATCCCGCAACGGAGTTACGTAAATTGATTACCACGGCTACTGTAACGTAAAGTACGGCACGTTTGAGCAAGGTCAAAATCAAAATTTTCCATTTCAACCACTAACCAGATTTCCTCCTGGCGAATTTGCTACTCTTTGCTTTGAATAAATTAACAAATTCTTGAGTAAACTTTGTTTGAAGACTTCATCAGGTAACTTCAATCTAGCGAAACTAATGTAATAAAATTGTAATAGTTCTTCACTTATCACTCTTAATATAAATTACATAAATATTCGCTATTGAATATGGAAAGAAAGTTTTTGAATATGTGCAACAAGTGTGCTTCCGTCCGGTAATGAGTTCCCTAACAGTAAGCACATCGGTAAAAGTTTCATCGAACACTTATTACCTAAATACTCGATTCGATGATGATTTGATAAACATGAAACAGTTTTCAGAAATGAAATAACCGCTAATTTATGGAAAGTGCGCTTTTAATAAGGTCAAATAGTAAATAAACTTACTTTTACTTGCCGACTAGATATACACTGGGAACAAAACAAATCTCTTGCACCACTTTTGCATCGAAAAACGATCAACAGATTCGCAAAATCATTTCACCAATAACGAACGATGCTTATTCTTCCTTATATTTTGTATGTATTCCTCGAATCGCGACAATCCTTATTCATAATTCAAACACTTGCCCGCCCGTTCGAAATCGAAACCACAGTCGATTAAATTCAAAAATCCTCGCGATCCGAAGCCGAATGTTACAAGAACCACGATTAACACGAGCTCCGTACCAATACTAGAAGTACTTACCACAACGAATGCTTCGAAAGTAGGAGAAATGGACGAAGTAAACGGTATGTGCACGGTGCTAGGTAGTACTTACGGCGTTCATATTCGTAATACTAGGTGTATTATACACATTTCGCGGATAGATGCCGATGTTTCATCTCCTTCACTGTGTCAAGTGTTATGAAATAATCAATAACTTTCGGTTTTTTCCAGAGGTTAACCTCAATAACTAGATTGAAAATGAAAGTAAAGACAACTTAATCCAATTACTTATTGTCTTGACGTGACTTGTTTTACTCTTGCATTGTCACCTGCTTCGTACTCTTTATACAATAAAATATGTTATTCGTGTACTATTCAATTATCTTCTTCTCATACAATCCAACTAAATTATAGATTGTTCATTTCTTTACATTTTTATCTTTCTAGAAGATTGTCCTTTAATGAAGAAGAACAAACATTCCCAATTTATACCACAACAACATTTCTTTAATGTACCTACAGGTACTTGCGTGAAAAGAATTCTACTTTAATAATTACGTTACTTGTATATCAATCTTGGCGTTAAACGTTAAACGAAATAATAATAAGTGCTTTCGGTTTTTTTTGTGTGCACTAACCTCGATAGTAATGTAAAAATGAAAGTGAAATAGTATTAATCGAAGCAAACGAGAGACTTGTGGAATGCGGCATTTTTTTTATCAAAAATTTAATGTCGCAAGACTTGCATTAGTAGATTTGAATTGGTATAAAAATGCGAGTCGTTAAATTTCAGCTTAAGCTCGTGCTAATCGAATGGGGTATTTAATTGGTGTATTACAATTACTTACACGTATAGATCGAATGCATCGCAAATAAAATAAAATTATTGAATGTAAAAATAGAATTACTAATGTGATTATTATTAAAATTGCATTAAGGTAGTCCCATTGCGATTGAAATCAGCGATAATAAAAAATGCTTGTTATTTATTTTTCGGAATGAAATTTTTGCGGAATATACGTTGTGAATCGTAATTGTTTGGTAACATTTACATAATCCTTTTCCCTTAATGGTAATTCGTTTTTTTTATCCTGGCGAAATAATAAATAAATATATAATTTAGAAGAAAGTGAAAGTATAAACAAATACGAAAGTATATTCCTCAAATTTAATGGTATGTAAACATCGACGAAAATTGCAATCGTAGTTTTGATTAAATGTTTATAATTAAAATTAAAAATGCTTGTATTGTTTATTGCAAAAATTAGAATAATTAATTGCATTGGAACTATTTGCTATATTTCGCTGAATTTTTTTCATTAAATTATAAAAATTAATTAGTACATTCTGAGATGACTTTTTAATTAAAAAAAAAATACGAATTATCGTAAAATTAAATCATAAAGAATAAATAATTCTGTATTTAAAAATGCGTATTAAAACTTTTATGTTAAATTCATATTCCTTATGCTAAAATTTTTAAATAATTTTAAATATATTATATAACGTCGACGACTCCAAAGTTAGTAAGTTTTTTGAAATAAGAAACTCATCAATTCAAAAACAATTTATATCTAAATCACAAATTGCATAGTAACGACAAATTATTCAAATCGCCTTGTATACAAAAATTCCTCTCTAAAAAAGTACTTACCCGATGTAGGTTAGATTTTACTTACTATATAATACATTAGATATTTCGCAAGAAGTATTTATGCAATTTTTACTTATTGGTTTTAGAACGGCATTTCAAGGATTTCCCGCAGCTGCTGGCTCTTGCGATTTTACGTAAATTTAAGGCAAAACACCAATTGATTTTCTAATTAAATCACGCATTGAGGACAAAATGCAGTCAGCTCGATTTTAATTTACGCCAGCGAACCTTATCGAAAATCGATGAGGCTTATTATAATTGTAACCAAATTATGTAAATTATTTTTTAAAGTTAAACGCTTACCTTAAATCCTTGGTGAAGCTTTGATGAAGGTATGGACAATGGAGATGTAACGAAAATAATGCGAAATAATATTTACAACAATTTTATTACCTCCGTAAAAATATTGTATACATTCAGATCGTATCGATTTATTAAACCGTATCAAATATTTTCATAATTTTTATTACGATGCTTTTTAAATTCGCTTGTATTTTTAATTCGATTGTTTATGTATTTGATATATGCTAATAATTGCTCCGATTGTAAAAAATAACAATAGTAGGTACGAATCAATTAGCCAAACATCCATCAATTTTGTTCGCTCCGAAATAATAGAAGTTACGGGTAAATAAATAATCACAAAAATGTAAACAAAAATTAATAAATTTTAATATCGAGTGTCGCTATGCACCACAGTTGGCATTAAAATTGAGAGAACTAAGAATGAAAATATGTAGGTAATAACAAAACAAACCCCTTTGATATCGTTACTCTATATTGTTGGAGCAGAAAATCAAATATTTGTTGATATTTGTTTTGCACCTTATGTAAGTAAACGGCCAGAATACATAAAGTGATATCAAATAAAGTATATCAAATCGAATAAATCGCACATTCGAATATTCCAACATTACATTTGAAATTGATGAGACAGTTTGCAATCTATTACAAACTAGGTTCCAATTTAACGCTCGTCGAAATTTTCTGAAAGGAATTTATAGAGTTACATGGTTTATTTTATTTAGGTGTCGGGTCGTTAAGGGACCCGGTAATTCAATCGGGATTCGTACCTACGTTTTGCGTTTAAATTTAGCCTCGTCCGCCGCAATTCCGTTCGACAAACATAAGTGCTCAGAAATTTAATGTAGTTATCCGAGGAATATCGCAGAAGAATGGATTCCCTTCCTACTTGAGCATGTTTAAGCGCGATATCGATCAGATCGGGCATGCCGGAGATTACGTTTGCGTTTCTCCCTTCCGTAGAAAAGAAAAGAATCGTTATTATTTGCTGGAAATTATGCGGCCGTGGGTATTTTTTTGAGTATTTGAGTGGAATCGTCGATTCGGTATCGAGTTTACTGACGTCAAAAGCGCGTTTTATAAGAACAACGTTAGTTTTTAATGAACCGTTGGTATCTTTAATGCAATCTGTTTTCGCTTCGATTTCCTTGTTAAATCGCGAGATGTGGTTGTTCCTCGATATTCATCTGAGACACGTTTTTTCTAGTACATTAATACTTACATTAATTGAAAAATGATCAAACCATGAAATCTAAATTGTTTTTTTCTCACAATAGGTGGAAAAATTATGGGGTAACATTAATTCATTAAAATCCATTTGTTTTAATACAACTTCATGTAATAATGTAAATTGTAGGTAATGTAGAATTTAATTCCAAATTGACAAAAAAATTCTATATCTAATTGATTTGTAAAATGTATTTGAATTAACTCAGTTTTCTATTGATTCCGCTACAAAAAATTCGGTAAGAGCTTCTACTTATTTATTACAATATTAAATTGATTATTTTAAAAACTAATACTAGTCTAGAAACCGACTGGTTTCTTGATTTAAAAATATAGGTTCAGTCTATAATTTCAAATCACTTTTTGAGAAACCCTGATTACGTTTATGTATAGTATAAATTGATCATTGGAAGCTTTTTGTAGAGCTTAGAAAAATTGTATTCATCGGTCTTGTTCACTAAAAGCTTTTTAAAGTGCACATTTTCATTGCATTATTTAATCTAAATTTTCATGCGAATTTTCCATTACGCTTTTATTTTCAAAATAAATTCACCAAATAACGGATCCAATTTTTCAATCAAAACCCGCCGCTCGCCATGAACTTCAAACTTGACTGTTGCAACTCATATTTCTCCCCTTATTTTCCGCCAAAGCGACCTTGCACTTGTCTTTTCTGAACACGAACATCTGCGCTTTGGCTGCTTTCGTCGGAGTCAATTTGCCGAATTTCGCTGTATCAACGTAGGTAGTCGACACATAATTCGAAACCCCCATAGCGTAGGTCTCGCAATTGCTCTCCTGCGTCCTGTCTTTGAACTGCCAATACTGCTTCAGAACCTGCCGAAACTGCAACGAACAACAAATCGAAATTAGCGAGAAAGATAACGAAACTAAAATAATAGAGCTGAAGTTGATAGTTTTGTGTACCTGACTGTTTAATCCTACGTAGATGATAGGGTTGTAGCATATGCTGCTTTTGGCTAAGAGCGCTGGCAAAACTCCAACTGCCGGTGATATAGTAGAAGGCTCCCCGAATTGCTCGATTAACGCGCATACCGCGTACGGTGACCAAGCGAACAGATAAGACACTATCATTAACAGCACCATCAGCGTGACTCTTCTCTCCGCCTTCGATGTCTGACCCACGGTCATATTATTCTGACAAAAAAACAACATTGATTTACTCATTTACTTCGCATACTAGCCAAGTTTCCTAAAAGACGGGGGTTCCTAAACCGCGGGAACAACAATCGAGAAACTCTATCTAAAATTCAAGGCGATCTTAATTGGACGGGAACTGATTAGAGGTAGAGGAAAACTGCAGGAAACTTCCCGCTATATCCCGCGACATTCGATCTTCGCGCCAATTAAATGCTGGCGATGCAGTTGAATTTTCTTCGATCGGTTATCGATACCTTAACGCCATCGATACCGACCTTATTTGTAACATTTCCAACGGAAGCGATAGATATAATGATAGAAGAAGTTGTATAGAATCGTCCAATTATGGATGCAAAATGCGAATTATGTAAGAAGCACCTGCAAAACTATAAGGGAATATAACTTCGGCATTATAATACCAATTTTCTATTGTCATCAATTAATACTCTTAGGAATATAATAATACCTTCCTACGTAATGAAAATTCGAGCGAATTGCTCAATAAATTAACGACTATAGTGCATCAATTACCTTTTTCATTTGGTGAATAATATGGAAGTAACTGAAACTTATCACTCCAAGCGGTAAAACTAGACCGAAGGCGAAAATATACATGATATAAGTCATTGCATTGTACGAGTGCTCTTCCCAGTTCACCGAGCAACTGAAACAATAAATAAGTAATTCGGGGTTCGAAAGAGCGAAGAATATGAAGATGTTCACGTGCCTGATATTAGCAGCTTCCGGGACGAATTTACCCCAGCCAATTAGCGGAGGTATCGTTAGTAAAAGAGAGTAAATCCATATTCCAATCACCAAATACACTGCATCCTTCCTGCTAAGGCTGTGGTTTCTAAAAGGCCTCGATACTATGAGGTATCTTTCGAACGCTAAAACTGTTAGTGTTGTTATTGACGTAATACCTGCAAAATAACTAATGAGAGGAAAGTTATCTACACTTATTCTACTGATAATAAAAAAAGCATTATCGCTACAATAGGGTATGCGATGTGAGTAAGTTTTATTGCTAGCTACATAAAAGACTGCAGAAGAGAGAATTGGTGCAACGTATAAATCTTTCAACAGTATATAAAGTTGTAACGGAACTAAACGAAAAATATATGTTAAAAGTGTTCGAATTTACGGTTGATATTACCTAATAAAGACATGAAAAACGCGTAAATTTGGCACATAACCGCTCCGAAAATCCACTTATACGACACCGCTGATATCAGAGTCCAAGGATTGCCCAATATGGACACCGAGAAATCGCTGCATATTAAATTGAATAAAATTATATTTAGTGGTGTCCATAACTGAAACAAAGAGATTTTCAGCCACTCGATTTTAGCGTAACGGATCGTGGGTACCTGAGTGTCTTTCAGCATGAGTACAATGACGCTCAAATTCAAAAAGAAACCGAAGAAACCAATGAAAAACAACACCACTGCCGCGGCCACGTAACCACCGGCGGGCATTAGCATTTCCTCCTCGACCCCATAGCTTCTTCGCGCTATTATCGTCACATTTTCTAATACGCTTGTTGTTTCTGTCATCCGATCACGGCTTGGATCGCAGTATCTGCGGAATCCCCAGAATTTTCTCGTCTGAAAATGAAAACGTGCATAATTCAGGAATATAATTTCATGTTCCTTAGAATTCTGACGATTATGAATGGAAATATTTAAAATTCTATTCGTTTAAAGTGGGAGTTTTCTCGCGACAAATATTGAATTTTTTGCGCCAAAAGTTAATGAAATACAAATAGTTATTAGCGACTTAATAATCCGGGTTTGGAATTACATAATGCGATTTACCCGAGAATATATTGGAAGCAATCATCGGAATATTTGAACGGTTGTGTGTCCTAGAAATATTACTATTTTCATTTTAGGACACTTTCAATATCATTTATAAAATAAATTCGCTTTAGTAAATTATTTACACGAATTTCAAGAATCGATATTCACAGTTTATGATTAAATAAATTCGGAATTTCATTCAGGTTATTTGGGTTTCTATCTATAAATTGGTATTGATTACAGTAGTGAATGGAAAGTACCTAATGCCTCATAATAATATCTATTAATGAATTAGGGACAAAATTAAAAATTCAAAATTGGGTTAAAAAGGAAAATTTAGTTCAGTAAACAATCCATTTTTTCACGCTATGAAGAGAAAGATGTAATGGAATATTTAGTAATCGAATCCCTGTAATGGAAAACTGGAATATAAAAAATAATACCAATCGCAAATTGAAAATACCTACCTAAAGTGAACCCTAATGAAAATACATTTAGAGATTTTCTGTTAGATTTCCATTAGTTATTCAATAAATAGTAAGTATCTTATAATACCTTCAGTTTAAATGCATTGAAAATTGAAACGGGTGCAACTAAAAATAACACAGAATATTTATTTTGCCGATTTTACCTTTTGTATAGATCCTTATATTTTTGCAAGCAGGTAAGAGCACACAATTTCCGTACAATTCTGCTGTTTTTATTCCAGCATATATACCTTTTCAGCGGGAAAATTATTCAAACATCATTATCAGTAACACTCGCAGAACTATTATTACAATGTTAACAACGAAAACAGGAATATACTAGGTAAAACTAATCGTTTCCCACTAATTCTAATTAACATAACCGATTCGTACTTTCCTACGCAATGTTGCAAAGCGCACTCTTTAATAATCTGAACAACTCGAAATATATGTATGAGCACATTAACGAAATGAAAATTAGCTTATTAACTCCAGCTAATAATAAACCTTGAATATCAAGCTACTCTTAGACGCCGAAAAACTATTATACAGCTTATTATTACCAATTCAATTGATTTAATTGTTCCTTTAAAGGCGTAGCGGTTTACGATTTAACGACATGTTTAATCAATCGGCAATTAATTTTCATACCTACAACAAACTGAGTTCAAAAGTTTCCGAATTTGACAACAGCATCTTTACTTTGTATAGCTAGTTTGTTTATTGTAATTATGAATCGCATAAGAAACAATCAGCTAATTAAACAGCATCCTAAAGATCTACGCAAACAGCCAATTAGTTAATTATATCTTTCAATTAATGAACATTCAAAGAACAAAGCGCGTTGAGATAATTAGCAATTTTCTTAATTAATGAAAACCACTGGATGGTGCCAAGACGCAAAATATTTTGAGACTTTTCTAAGTAATTCCTTTTGGAAATATAAAGTTTATATTCATTCCCATTTGTATAAAGAGTTTAATTACGTAAAAGGCAACAAGCATTCGAAGTTTGTATTAATTAAACATTTTTTAACTTAATTGAAGGACAAGATATTTTTTCGATGGTATAATTTAACATATTTTTCTCGGTAATAACAGCAATTTCTTACATTTTTTTAAAGTAGAATAACAAATTGGAATACCTCTAAACGCTCGAAATTCCTGCAATTTCGAAATTAAACGCAGCTAAACAACTAATAATTCACCACGAACAATCAACAGCACGCTCTCGTAAAATTTCTATACGCTCTCTGGAGGAACTCTCGAACGACTGCACATGGAGAAGATCGCGCAGAAACTGAAAGGGCTTTAGATGAGCGAGCCTCTAATGCATGTACAAATTTTCGGTTTCGGTTTCATCCAGTTTGTCTACGCATGCTGCGAATTTTCACCCACTTGTTAGAAAATCTCGTCGTGGCCAGTCTTCGGAGAGCACCGACGAGGAAAACAGCGATTTTCAAATTAAACGAAACTCAATTGAGTACAGTCGCATACAAAAATTACCATGCAGCATGTTAACCAAAAGAAATTAATTATTTGCTTGTCACATACAACGAGAATTACGTCTACACCAGACGAACATGTTCGTGAACATGCAGTAAAAACATATCGTACGTAATTTCATTATTTACTTACTTATTTACTGGATGTCGCAATTCCTCACGAAAACTCTTCGTTGGGTAACTGGAGAATTAATCGAATATCACCACTGTTTTCCTTGCTTAACGTAACCGATGAGAATTTCTTCGTCTCGCTGCAACCTCACTTCGACCGTTCATCAATATTTAATGGAATAACAAGACGTATATGAATTATTTATTCTCGTTGAAGTTTGATATTAAGCTTCCAAATTTATTCCTGCGTTCTGTATGCGCCGTTGGTTAATTCCATTACCCGATCAAAGAGATGGCAGGATGTAACAAAAATAAGCCTTTTTTAAAAATACCATCGATATTCTCGATGCACTTAAGTGCATCCTGTATTTGGGAAATGAATAATGCGCCAGCAATTTTTTTCCACCAGCATTTAAAAGACTTACACGATTGCTTCTAGGGTTGCGATTTTTAACATCGTTTTATAAAAAAGCTTCAGGAACGGATCAGCTTCGAAATCCCATCTCTTTAGTCTCCCCAATCTCTTTAGTCGATCTGTGTAGAAGGAATTCCAGGGCTAATCCGTCTCATCGTACAAACTCTAAACAAAATCTTTTAATTTTTCTTTCTTGCTTTTAGCAACAATACAACAATTGAAGATTTACTGTTATATTACTATTAATTCGTACACTAAATTCAACAGAGGTTTGTTACAAAAACATGTCTACTATTTCTATTATTTAGTTTTATATCATTAGTACTTATTATGAAACTGTAGCTACTATTTCTGGTGATTTTCTTTGGAATGGATTCGTTATCAGCCTTGCTACGTTTTGAAGAACTGTTATTGGAATCTGGAATAACAAAAAGATCATTTAATTAGAAATATTTCTCTTCCATATTTAGTGCATCAAAAAAATACTTACTTGAAATATATCGTCGATAAATCTGGCGAACATGGAGCTCGGCCTGGGCGGGTTCGAAGGGGGATTCTCCACTGGGGGAGCAGGCTGGGGCGAGCTGGCTCCTGTAGTGATTCCTGTTATTTGAATCGTGGACACCGGCGCCTCTTCTGCTAAAACTGGCTGGCTTTGTTGGATTTTCTTCTCTTCCGAAACGGTGTTTACTATCACGTCGTTAATTGTGGCCTGGAAATTTTTATTTAGGGGCGTAATGTAATGCTCGTTAATTAATCATTTCATTGATTGAAAGTAAGGTTTAAATTAAATCTGTAATGGATTTAATTACACCGAAATTAAACTGCAGTGGATTTCACATAATATACACAAACCTGAAACCTACAGTAAATAGTTACTATGGAAATTTAGGGTAAATATAACTACTAAATATTCATTAAACTGACGAGTATACTTTAACCCTGAGCCATTAGCTGGAGGGATAATTAAATAAATTTAATGTGGACAAAATAACCACAAAGAGCTAGGTATACAAAACAAATGTGTTGTAAAACTACTTCATACATAAATTCCATTTAGTACTTGTTCTGTTTTGACTACTTATACCTTCATCAGGTGTATAATATTATGTTCTTATACGAGATCCTTGACAATATTTAGATTGCCTATTAAAAACAACTTGTCACTTATGTTTAATGCAAAAAATATATCTACCTTATCTAGTTGATCGTTGTTTGCAGGTAAAGTTGCTGCCGATGATATTGTTATTATCAAAATCATTAAAAAAGGAATAGCCATATCTGAAATAAATCAAAAAATATAATTTTCTTTTACATACGGTTAGTAGTGTAGGTAATCTTATTAATTTATTTTAGCGCCGGAATTCTTTAGGGCTGCATCCAATTTAAAATCTACATTGCGCAAATTAAGTTTTAGATTGAGGTTTTAATTTTAAATTTTAAATGGAGGTTACACTGTAGATTTCTTTGAAGTAATTTTTCGTGTGCCTAATACCAATTTTTACGCTTTAAATTAGATTGGTTCTTATAGCTCGCAGTAATTGAACAAGTTTTCAGTTTTTTAAAAGCGTTATTAAATTTACCTATACTTTATTAGAAAGTGTATGATTCAGAATTTATGCTAAAGTCCAACAGGATGTCGAAAGTTACTTTGACTCCATGCAAATGTAAACAGAAATGTTGATAAAAAATAACCTTCGATTTCGTTTAATTAGATTGTTATTTTTTTTGTTAAATAATGCAATTGGAGATTGCAAAAATTTTGCATATTACGTCTTAAATCGGTAGATAATTCTAGTTTACCTTCGATTGTATGTAATTCCTGTACTTAGATTATAAAAAACTATATTGGTAAAGTATTGTAAATATCTATCCAAGTGTCTATAAGTAGATACAGAAAAAAATATGTTTACACGATCACACCAATATTATCAACAATTCATTGACCTCAAGTTATTAACTAATTGAATGCAACTAAAAAACCCGTTACTGCAAAATGCACATTTCCCAACACCAACAGTACTGCTATATAATCGGCTTGTATTTTAATTTCTCAAGTTTTTTTCTTTTGTATTATTCAACTGCAGGCTATTAAGAAATTGTACTTACTTGTAACGTTTATTTTAAAATCACTCGATACTTGAACGTCCGCGACAAATTTACTAATATCGTGTCGATTTCCTAGTTCTTTCACCAAACTGTTTCAAATAGAGAGTTGCCGGTTTAACCGAGCGTTGAAGTCCCCTACTCGGTGTTAACAGACAATGAGATCCATTACTAGTACAGGTGATTGCAACGAAATGCATTCGACGTCCCGCCTTTTTAGGTTTATCTTAAAAATTCGCTGATACTGCTAATCAATGCTTTTCATACTAAGAATGAGATTTTTTGTTGGTGGTAATTTGTAGCGAATTCGATGAGAATTTAAATAGATCTTTTTGAAATACTATAACGGTTAATTAGAATAAGTAAAATTAAAATAAAAAAAATTGCGATGTTGGTTAAAAACTTGAAAACGCTTTCAGTTTTGATAACAAAAACAACAGGAAGCTCTCTAATGATTACATGTGCATTTCTTAGGTAAATTCAATAATTTAGAATAGTATCAACCGTATAGTTATATCAATTATCTTAATGTATTCGCTAAGAAACATTTAATATTATCATTTCATTTAGACTTTCTCTCCGTTACAACACATTACTGAAATTGGCAAAATGATATGACAGTGCGGTATTTTGAAATAAAGTATATAGGCAAGCATCTTTAAAAATATTTGTTTCTTCATCGCTGAATGTTTGATCGCATAGCCTAATTGGCTTCAAAAGGATGTTATTTAGTAATTTCAATTTCAGTTCATAATGCAAGATATTATAAAAATGGAGATCTAGGGTATCTATATTATACCGAAATTAGAGAATAAAATGAGGAATATTATAGTTAATTTATACAATTTACTAGATTTTAGGAAAGTAAGAGTTTACTTCATCACGTTGGTGTATTTTGAGTTGTCTATATAAAATGTAAGGCATATTAAGAACATTTCTGCATACGTAGGTATATGCATTTGGTGAAACAAACCAATATCTTATAAAAGATTTTTTAAATGACGAAGAAATCAAATTTTTATACAACTTTATTATCTTAGATATATAAACATGTCGGTAAAGCTCTAAGTTTAAAAAAATACTGGTATCAAATTCTACATTTCTAGTTCACTAATTCTACATTTTCAAAAACTAATAAGCCTATTTAATATTTGGTCCCCTCTGCCTTAATGGAAACTTCTTTATTAACTTCGACGTTTTTGGTTATTCCTCCCACCAATTTCGACACTGCCTCTAACGTCGAGATTGGGATCTGAAAAATATAATGAAATTAAAAATCTATACCACTAAAAAATGTATTAGTATAATGCAATATTGCTAATTGGTCATTTTATATGTGATTGTGTGGTAGGTACATCTTCATGTCTTTCTTTTTGTTGTCATTACAATTTCGTGTCAAACTGTGGCTACCTATAAAACTGTTCTTACATTAAAAGCATCGTTAATAACTTGAGGATTAATAGTTTTTCTGATTGTTACTGTTTTTGTGGCGCCAACTGGTGCAATGCCAGCATCAACAGGTACAGGTTCGGGTATGAAATCGGGCAGTGGAGCTATGGGTGGTCCCGGCAAATTGTCTATTCCTCCGTTCGTAATAATGCTAAACAGGAAAATATGGTCAAATTAAATAATAAACATGTTCTTACAATATAGTATTATCTACAATTTGTAACTTACAGATGCTTTCGCTTGTAGTGTGGTCTCCTGCGTAACCTGTATTTAGTTTTTTCAATGTATACCGGTGGGAAATCAGCTCTTCCCCTACAAAATTTAATAACTACATTCAGTCACGTTGTTGTGAAACTTAGTGTAACAGTACTTACACCGTCACCAATTCCAAGAGAAACTATCACCTTTATTTCCTAATCCATAAGTAAATTGTAATGGAAAAATAGTTCAAGTAGGCAAATAGGAAGGATCCAATCTTGTACCAAATATCCCAGTAAAGGTAAGAGAAGGTTAGTAAAAAAATCGATAAAATAGGTAAAAAATCGTTCATAATTTACAACCAATTAGCAATTGAGAATGTTATCTTATTTTATAAAGTTGGCTTACCTGACATCGAGAAGTACAGGTGGAGCATCAGCATCATCCAATTTTTCGTCAGCGATAATCTTAGTTTCAGTGGCTTTTTTCCTGAGAGGTACTTTCTGAACATTACCTTCTAAAACCAATCGTAAATTTGTTACGGTTTATAAATTTTAAACAATAATTATAAGTAATTAAATAAATGGGTTTTTAAATGTAGCGAATAATTAAATTCACCTACATATTATTTCGTTTAAAATCAAAATGCTATCGAATTTATTACATTTTTGCAGTGTTCCTTAAGAGACAAAGTTTGAGGTAAGAAAATATCGAAATTACAAACATTCAAGTAATTTTTTATTATAGGTAACAATTCAAATTAGTATGGACTCTTTAGTACTGACCTAACGGATCCTGTTCTACATTAGCATCATCCAAAGGACCTCCGAATATTTTAATAGTAGATTTACTCCTTCCACCGGCCGTTGCTCCAGCATATGAAGCTCCTCTCGCCCCGTTCGCTCCCGAAACTCCTCCTAAACCAGCCTTCGCAGCAACACCGTTTCCTGCTGTAGCTCCTGCGAACAAACCGCCTCCGGATCTGCCTGTAAATTATTTTTTTATTAAGGTATTGTTGCAACAAAAAAGAAAATTACCTTCGTCCGTTTGTCCCCCGACTCCAGCATGGGCGAACTGTCCGAATGGTGTCCCCGCTTCGGCGTACAGGCCCCCATCGGCGGCGTTTCCTGTCAGGAGACCGCCGAGTCCTGCGGCCGCTCTGAATCCCAGGAAATTCACCCCGATTCTGCCCTTGTCGAAGTAGATTAGCGGTTTGTTGTTGTCCTGAAAAACGAAAATTTTACCTCGTTAAATTTTAATGAGGCTCGGGAAAGTTGCGATTTCAGCGGCCTTTATTATTGGTTTGCTAAAAGTTTTGCTATTTACCTTCGCTTTTCTTATTTGAAACGCTTTTTATCATCTGCGAAACGTTACCTAATTTGAAATATTTTTTGATGTTTTTAATTTTTTTTGGTATCTATTTGTTTGAGAGTTTCTTATGTGGTTGCCGAGCTTAGTATGGCTGTGATATAATCTTTTTAGGTTGTACTAAATGTTATTTTTTTTCAGAAAAAAAAGCATAAAAAATAGACAGGTTTAAAATTATTTATTTCCATTCTAAATTTCTCCATTTGTAGGTTTTGGGATATTTGATGATGAAAGTGTGATTATGAATGCATGCAGGTTTCGTTCAGCCTGAAAAATATAGGTGTTAAATATTAGTAATTTAAGCACAATCTAAACAGGTAAAACAAAAATATATTTTTACCCTCTTTACCGTTTAACTAGTGTTTCTTCCTAAATTGTTTCTTTGGTTTTTTCTCGCTTTTTTTACTTGCGCTTCCTTTCTTACCCCCTTTCTTTCCTTTAGTATTTCTCTTCAAATTGTTATTATTATTTTCGGTATTTTGAGGATACTGAAACTGGCCAGGGTTGGCATCGGGATAAGGCATTTGAAGTTGATTTGGGTTGCTGCGATATTGGTTAGGATTAGGATTATTAGGATTATTAGGATTATTAGGAATATTAGGATTATTAGGATTATTAGGATTATTAGGATTATTAGGATTATTAGGATTATTAGGATTATTAGGATTATTAGGATTATTAGAATTAATAGGATTATTAGGATTATTAGGATTATTAGGATTATTAGGATTATTAGGATTATTAGGATTATTAGGATTTTGATTAAACAAATTAGGAATCTGATTCGCATTGGGCGTCATGTAAGATAAGGGTGCAATTTTTACAGTAGGCAAAGCGGGTTGAATTAAAGAAGCTAAGCCATTGGAAGGACTATCATTTTTGCCGCTTTGATAGAAATAGTTCAATGGGTTTAAATCTATTTCTGATCCTAGTAAACTTAAACGGGGTTTTGCCTGTCTCACCACTGCACGTTCTTCGGGTAAGGATTTCACGGTGCTCTGTTAAATAAAAAAAAACGAAAACTCTATCAGTAAATTTGTCATACAATATAGGCATAATTATGTATAATTGGTGTAAAATTAATTAAGGCTTTGTAAAAAAAACAATTGCATTTAATTGGCTTGTAATTTTATTGTAGGTAGGTAATTATACAGAAAATACTATGTACCTAATTCTAGTTAACAATAATAAATCAGTAGTAACGAATTATAGTATGATTAATGCAAATATAAATTATTTGAATATTTAGTTTATCTTTTCATTTCTTTATCACAGAGATTTCTTCTTTTATACGAGTATATTTTTTCTTTTATTCCATATATCCTATAAAGTCTTCTTCGTTGGTAATACTTCCAATTAATCACTATTTTAGTTAAAACTTAGAGCACATTTTTAAATGCAAACCTTTACTCGAAGATGATTAAGGAAATTTATAAAATAGTTATTGATTCAATTTGTTAAATTCAAAAACCTCCAACAATAAAGAGGTATTATTTATAATGAATTTCAGAAGTTCCAAAGCATGAAACGGAATTAATTAGCATGAAAGGCGGTTGAAGAGTTTCCTTTTGTTCTAATTTTCCAACATTAACTAAATAGCTGTAGGTGTTTCGTTAAAAACATCAAAAAGGTGTGCTTGAATTTTTCCAAAAATAAATACAAATTCTTGTTAGTTTTGCTTTTATTTCAGTTATTTTCCAGGCGAAGGTACCTTCAGTAAGTATATTCCTTCATAAACTTTAACCAATTTAATCGCTTTTACCAGAGTTTGCTAGGAACTTTTATGGGATAGAATAATGAAGAAAACGATCCGAACATGAAACTGTCAACTTGGGCTACGGCCAACTGAACCAAGTTTGACGGATTAATTTTCCTGATTACACTCGCAGTAACCTCCTTAATCTGTGTCAATTCTTTTTTCAACGTGGATATCAGCTTTCATAGAAAAAATATTTCGTTTATAAATATAGCAAATTTTTAAAAACTTCTACTCACTAACAAATTACGAATTTACGAGGATCGTGAAAAGTGTTCTCGGGCTGATTTTTATATCAAGTACGAATCTGAACAGCTTCTTCTACTTACCTGTTGAGGTAAAGCTATTGAAGCCTATCAGTTATTGGTGAGGAATTTCATAACAAACAGTTGGATTTATTTCTATTTGTATATTTCAGAAACATTCAAACATATCTATTGTTTAAAACGGTTGGTTTTTATTTGGCGATACTCTCTATGTACTCTTGTATTGTGCTGAGAATGTAATTAATCGACGACAAAACAAGTTCCAGTACGTTTCCAACATTGATATCGAGAATTTCACCTACTATGTTTTCTTTAATATTATCTAGTAAACTGGTCCATTTGCTAAACGTGTCCTTGTACATAAAAAAAATTAAAATTAATTAACTAGGAAGTGACTAGTGATGTCTGGGGTGACCCTCACAACCATAATTCAAACGTGTTAAATTCGCAATGTAATTTACATAAGGTACATAACAATTTACTGATTTGGAAGAAAATGTTTGAACTGTAGGCAATAACACAAGAAGATGGTTTTAAATGGAACAAATGTAAAGTTTATTCAGTTTAGTTTGGTTGTTCAAATGTACATTTTTAAAGGAGATAATCCTGTATTTCTTGTATAAGAGATTTAAGTGTTTCCAGTAAAACATTCAATACATCTCCGACATTTAAATCGATAATACCTGGCAATATTTGATCTTTGATTGTAGATAGAATGGCGCTTCCCACAAAACCAAACACCTTATACGCAAAAAGAAAAAATTTAAATTATTTCGCAAGTGTTAGAGAAAAATAACTGATTGATAAAAAAACTTGCTACCTAAAAAACGTTCGCGATCGAGCAATTTTTACCGAGGATCATTTGAAAAGTTCTCAAAAGCCTTCATTTAAAGAGAAACATAAACACCTAGTATTTCGAAGGGCCGCTACGAAAAGTAAACAAAATGATTGAAAAATTCGCAATGTTATTCATTTTATTGAATATATGTATAAATTATTAATCGCTGCGATTATTCAATCGGCGTATCGCTTGGAGTTTCAACCACCGAAGTATCAATAATATCTTCCAGCATTTCCTCGAAAGCTTCCAAGTGCCCTTTCAGAAAATTCCCGGAAGTCGTTTCGATTATTTTCTTTAATTTGATCTCAGATTTTAACAGTTTTTTCTTAAGCATAAGCTTAATACCCTTAGCTGCGTTCGGGGTGAGATTCAGTTCTCTGAATTTACTTTCCACAACATATATCCTTCTGTCTAAATCACTCATCATATGTACAGTAGCGTCCAGGACCAAATTCTGCGTCTTTAATAATAACGATAATTAACCTATTTAATATGATGTGCACTAAATCTTTTAATAAAAAAAGGCGATAAGGAGTAATAATAAATAAACTGGGCAAAAATATCAGAAAAGCCTTTACTGAAACTTGTTAATTCAAAACGAAATATATATTTTTCTAACATGTTGATTATTTGTATAATTTTAATGCGATTCCGCGTTTTCGACAAGTTGCTGAAGAGTCTTTCCGAATTGGTCCATTTTCTCCAACAACTTCGGTCCGTAAGGAGTATTTTTTAAACGATCTAACTGTTTATGCGCGTTTTCCATTTCGATTTTTAGTTTTTTTACGATTCTTTCTTTTAGTTCCGTACTAACTTTGGTAGTAGAAAGTAATTGTTTTAATTTATCTAGTTTTTCGTCTAGCAAGCGAGCTAATTTTTCTGATGTCGCCTGGATCGCATTTTTTGAAGCCTATACACGTATAAAAGTATAAGTAACTAAATTTTTCCACACTAAATTTAGGTTGTATTTCGATTGGAACAGGAAAATAAAATTTGACGATTCTAATTGCTGAGTTGAAAGATTATTTCGGGTTTGAAACATTTATTTATCGGACTTTTTCAGCTTTCTTTTGAATGAAAAATACGCGAAAAAGTTGCTCGAAAAACTACGAGGAAAGCTGAAATATTCTCAGACTTTCGTTAATTAAAAATAATGCCTAAAATTATATCTAATGGATTCAGCAATTAGAATTTACTGTAGATTGCCTTCGAGGGTAGAAAAGTGCAAATGAGCTACTAAGCTCAAATAAGGATTTACGTAAGCAGCTTCCTATCAAAGTTTTATTCAAATTCAGTCTAATTTTAACAGGATGGTGTTAGATTTTTTGGTGAGTTGTATCACAGCCAAATTTATATCAATCAGTTGAATTTCTTTCCTTGCTATTTTCTCTTGTAAAATAGATCGTAAAGTTTATTGAAACTCGTGCTAAATAAAACTTCATCTCTATACATGCTTATTTAATTACGCTCTATTTTCCTTCCTATTAATAGTTCGTAAGTTTGTTCATGTTTGGCGCAAATACAGAACTTTTATAACCCTATTTAGTTTGTAAGGGAGTCTGGAAGTATTTTTTGTTAGTCTATACAATAAATCGGCTTTGAGTTGAAGTGTCTTTATGTTGAGCGCGTCAAAACTCGCGCTTAGAAATGTTTCTTTTTATACATTTGAAGTTACACCAGGCCGAGAACTTTTCAGTCTATCCTCGTAATTTTCAAGCGAAAATTCCGGGTTAAAAAAGTTAATCGCAATCGAGAAAATTTTATTTTTTTATTGCATTATACCGTTTCACCAATTGCGATTATTTGTTATGTTTATTACATGCATCGCTATATCATCTAGAATATTTTCACAATAAGAATGAGATGAGGTCACTTTTATAAAATTTACATTGGGTGAATTAATTTATAATAAATATTATAGCGGTTTGGATTAGAATAATTTGGCAAGCTTGCATTGGCGACCTCACAATTCTTTTATCGTGAAAATCCTGTATAACATTTTCATGTAAAATGTACTTACATCATCTGCGGCAGCTTCTTGAACTACCGCGAATAGAGCGAAACAAACTGCTAATGTGATCGTTAAGTATCCCATTCTCCTGCAAAAAAAGAAGCATATAAGCTAATATCCAATCGAGTAAATTATGTTAGATTATATATTTCGACCAGGAATTCGCGGCCGGTGGAAAATTAGGTTGCAGCAGCCTGACCGCACATTCGTTGCAGTGCAATTTAGTCGGTTGCACGCGACTTATTTACCTACTGAACACGCTCAGTTTTATTTGCATATGCTTCATGTTGGTACAGCAGCTTCGGGAGATTAATTTAAAACTTCATTCGGAAATGAATTTAGGCAGATAATGGAGCTGGGCAAAACTGTATTACATCGAACATTATTTGATGCGAAACATTGAATTATGTAGTTGTATTAAAAGCATATGTACTCAACAGGTTTTGTGGTTTTTTTTAATAACAGTAAATTCCCCGTAAGTGCTATAAAGCCTTGAATTTTAATTGAAATTAATGTTTTTTGCACTAGTTATTGACGTAATTTAATGATATCTACTAACAACTAAATCATCAAGAATACTTTTATAGCCATGGAAGAATTTTCGAACCATATATAAAACAATTATCTAAAAATTTCATAAATATCCTCCAATAAAATGCGAATAATTAAATTTTTTGTTAGTTTGCAAATCGTAACCATTATAAGTATTAGGAAGGTTTACATAACGAAAATTAGTGAAAGTTTCGGTTTAATCGGCGTTAAAAATCGTAACTTTTGATGCAACTAACCAAAATTATGGAACATAAAAAAATAGGTTAATTATGTATGTACTAATGTAGAAGATAGGTATCATTTTAAAATATCCAAATTTTCGTGCGGGCTAATTATTATGTAATTATTCGTTTACTTAGGTACAAATAATATGTTCGAAACTTACATTTCCATTGTGCTGAAAACTGGCGAACAATTGCTGAAATATAATGAAATTTACAGGACAAAACTTTGGCCTGAACGTCAATAATCTTAAGAAATGTTAGACCTAATGTAAATATTACTAATATTTATATGTATTTAATAATTTTATGATTGTACGGTGAATTAATTGTAGGTATTGTTTTTCGATAAATTCAATTTCGTTTCGAATAAAAGTAATGCAACTTAAATTGGCGAAGAATTAGAAAGATTAAAATAACTCATTATTTTATTTTTTATTATTTGTTCATTGAAATTTATTTATTAATTTTAAAGCGTAACAATAATTTTGTAGAAAATTAAAGCAAATTCAGCAATCGTTCTGTATTGAAGAATAGTTAAAATTTATTGTGCTTTACAATTAATATGTGGTAATTATAATCACAAATTATATTTATTTGTACATACTTTTATATTCAAAACCTTTTTGAAAGCCTACAATTTCATTTTAGATGTAGATCTGCAATGTCTTAAGCATATCAACATCGAACACAATTACCAAATTGCTCCGAAACTTTGCAAACAGACAATCAATAATCAAAATTCAACATAATTAATAATTTGATGAAAATTTATGAGAGTGATGCAAACAGGTTTAACACTTACTATTGCAATAATTCAGTGCTCCAGTATAAAACTTAATTTTACGCTTCATACTGAGTCGTTAATATATTGAACTGCTAATTTATAGATGTGATAAAATCATATTGTTAAGTATTAAATTGTCAAGTCGTTACTTTAGGAATTTTATTGTATTTCGGCTAAAATAAATTGACAATTTTTCGTCGATAAAACGAAGTTTCTTCGAGTAGCTACTTAACCTTCAAAATCGTGTATAAAATTCCCTTTATGTTCAGCGGTTAAATAAGAACAAAGGTTTATTTCTCTGGTATAATGAGTGAGAAAATTCCAACTAACTTCATTAATATTCTAGCAGTTCAATGTTCGTTGAGCATCTTAGGAATCATCGATCGGCCACGAAATTAGCATAAACGTTGTTTACATTCTATAAAATTCTAAGAATGGTCATAAAACAATCATGGAACAAAATTTACAGCGCTCTATCTCTAATAACTTCAATATACAACAGATTTTCACGCGACGAAATTAAATTTTTACTCCGAACAAACTCAATTGAGCTTTAACGTATTTGGTTTTGCAGCCACAATGAACAAACAAAAAATCCGGAACCAACGGTTTATTTATTTAAATACAATGCTAAATGATATTAAATTTAGTTCAAAAGCGAGCAAATTAATGTGAACATTTTCTTTTGTTCTATCGCATGAATCTCTATCAAAGAGATTTACTGGCCATTTTGGAAATATTTTATGTTATTTAACGCGCCTTGATTATTGGATGACACTAAATAACGCTTTGCGTGCGGAAAATGGACAGATTTATGCGGGTTCGTTGGTCTCATTACATTTCGTCACATTTTACAATGAACAATAATCTTTTAATAACTAAAATTTAACAGACTTTCTCCTCTACTTATGCGCATGTATGCATGTGCATCGTAGAACATTTTTATACGCCAATTATCGCAAACAAACCCCCGAATTTTATGGAAAAAAATATCCTCCACTGTAGGAGATTAACAGGCACCGTCTTGTGAACATTTCCTTATCGGATAATTTAATTTCCCATCGACATGCAATTGCCTGTTCGCGTCTAGCTGGCAACCCAGCCAGTTGGCGTTTGAAACAAATTAAGTTTTTGAAGTTGGAAAACGAAACTTACATTTTCTGGCGAATTTATTTTCAGCACGCACTAGTTCCCGATACGCGGTAATGGAAGCGAAGAAAAATGTAGCGCGAATGTCGATCAAATACGCGTTTTTTAATGTGCGAAGCAAACGACAGCGAAACAAAGTGTTTTCTAACTTGTGAGTTTTGCACAACTGGTACAAACTACAGGCTATACAGAGATGGAATATTTCTGACGAAGGTCAGGATTTAATGAGATACCTGGTATACACAATTGGACAACCGTCGCATCTGCATATATAGAAAGTATTTTTTAATTGTAATTATGCTCATTGGTGATTTTTATAGTTACAATAGATATTTATTGCAATTGTTGGTATTTATTGTTGGTACGAAAACCAATTTATGTAATATTTTCGCTCAGTAATGTTTGATTGAATATAAAAATATCGTACGATAAATAAGGAAACGATTTTATTAAAACCAATTTTTTTATTTTCATAAACACCCACCTATCGTAAATAATTTCCAATCAGTCCGATCTTACAATACATGATTTTTAATAATAAAAATAACACCTACCTGTTTGATTATTTTTTACATTAAACGAACAAATACTAATTAAATAATATAATTTGTACAAAGAATAGTTTTTCTATTGTCAATATTATTATAAAAAATATTTACATTGTAATTGGTTGCAAAATTTAAATTTGTGACAAAACGTAATCTTATTTATCTTATATCTACAGATGATAAAAGTTATTTTGTACTTAATCAGTTTTAAAAAAACTATACTTAATTTCAAGTTAATTTTCAACATAAAGAATTGTAGGTTATTTGAACATTTTTTTCAATTGGCCAAGGACCTTTTTAATGCCAAAATACTGTATAATTTTAATTACTGGATTTACAATTTACATCTCAAATACTTTACATTAAAATCTATTCTAGTGTAAAAGTATTAGTATACCTATTAAGTAAGATGCATACATATTAATGCATTAAATACTGATTTTAATAAAAATTAAGCATTATTAATACAATTTTTACCTCTAATTTTACTTACAAAATTTGACACTTCGATAACACAGCAACAATTTTGTTTCAATGTAATTGTTGTGACACCTAAATTATTCAGTACTACTTTTACAAAAACTATATCCTTATTTCAAACTAATTTACAACTAACAATAAGCATGTTAACAATAGTAATAATGGTAAATCAATTCGCATTCATTACTACAATCACATTCATATTCACACATCACATATTATGTATCAGTTTTACAAGATAATATCAACTTAGGTAACTCTTATCGTACACATTTCTATCAACAATAAGTACACAGTCCCGCCGACTCGACTGTAAGCAGTTAATTTTTCGTGATAACGTTAACTTTGTACTTTTCTTCGTCTTCCTTCGGTCTGATGTAGACCGGATAGGATCTCTTTTGCAAGTTAGATTCCGGCGATTCGGTGGTGGTGGTCGTTCTGCTGCTCATGAACCGTCTGATCGCGTAATCTCTAATGCTCCTGATGGCTGGTCGGGAATTTTGAACCAAATTATTTACAGCTGTTAATGTTTGTATGGGGATCTGGAACACGTTAAATTTTAAACGGCTAGATTCGAGCGATAAATCTTCCTGTGAATGCTGTTGTTTTTGGTAAAGCGATTAGTTTGGAGTGATGTCAGGGCGATTCTGGAGAAGATACATTTTGGGTTTTGTTAGGATTTTGTTAGTAGTTTTATTTCAAATTAGTAGAGTTGTTGGAGATGGTTCTAATGAATTTTCGATAGTAAATCTACTTAGAATTGTTTATTATTTTCAATTAAATTTTCTATGCAAATCCTACTGATTGCTCTAATTCTAGTTAATTTAACTACTATTATGATGATGAAAATGATAATGATGATGCGAAAAAATGATCGAAATCACTGAAACTTACTTTTTAGCCTACATTATAGCTGTAATAACATTAGTTCGATCTATTCTGAAGAAGTATTCACCTTGATTGTATTGTTTCTGCAGATAAAAATTAGCAATTAATATTGTTTTCTGTCTAATTTTCAGTTATTCTTCTCTTTTTCACAAGTTCTTGTGTTGTTAAATTTATTAGCATAATTGAACAGTTAATTTATTCGTTCTGAAACCCACACGATATACTTACATTAAAGAAACTGTCGATGAATTTCGATCTTTCCGCCGTTTCCCGCTTTCCTCTATTTTCCCCTCCAACGGATAATTGAAAACTGTACTCTTTATCCTGAAAATCGAAATAACTAATAATATTTCAAATCCGAAATTTATTAATTACTTACATTATTGTATGTTATTTCTTGTAAACCCTTCGGCGATTCCAATATTCCTGCTATTTGCAGCGCCTGCGTGGTAAAAGCAGCGATTAGCAGCATCCACACCATTTTGTCCAGTACAAAAACGAAAACCTGCAAGAATAATTACGTATGAAAAAGGCGGATTTGCGAAATGGTTATTTATTTGTCGTTGGATATGAGTAGGTAATTGCCCGGGCAGTTAGAGGATGAAAATTAACATTCCACAGGTGCGAAACGGCTGTACCCGCCGTGGAATAAAATACATTGTATTCGGAGTCGTGTAATATTTTATTCAATTTAACAGCTACTTGTATAAATTGTCTTGGAGTTTGTATGTAATGAATTTGTTGGTTCTCTTATAATATACATTGTATAAATCGGCTTAAGAAGTATAGAGATCAATTATTTATTCAAATAAACCTACACTTACGTCAATGAATGGCATTAATATTCAAGCGGCAACTTTCTCTGAATTTAAAAAAAAAAGTTGTTATGTAATGTGGATTCATTACCAAATTAATCTCCTCGAAATTATATGACGTAAACGGATGGATATTATTTTAAAGTAGTCTGTACATTTTGATATACATAATTTAATTGCAAACGTTTATGTACAAATGCAATATAAAAATTAATTTTTAACAAAGCCTCGACTCAAAAATGAAGGTTGATTTAAGAATTTCGAAAATAAATACACGACTTAAAACTACAATCGTATTATCGAGTAAGTAAACATAATTGCTATTAACATTTTACGAAAATCCATCTCTAAAATTCTAAGTATTACTAAATTTATGCTAATAAATGTGCATAAATATTTATTCGTCGGTCTAATCATCTGTCTACCATTTGACCTCATGCTCCTTACTGGAGGTTTCAAAGCGCATCCTGTTTATTTCCTGCAAATAAACGGGCATATTCACAGTTGATCGACTCTTATTTTCAATGTAAAGGTTTCGCAGATAAAATCGACGATTTTAACAAAGTTATTGTAGGTCAGTTCGACTTTCACCCGAATGAAGTTCGCAATATCAGCTCAATTATCGATTCCGTTTCTCTCAAATGCTCCGCATTAAATGAAACGTTCCTATGGGCATTCGACAGTCGATAATATTTTCATTAGATACATTCACCAAGCGGAGGCATGAAAATTTCATTGAAGTCGTTGTGCCATTAAAAGTCATCGATCTCGCTACATTAGCGGCTTATTAATAATTAAGAGTCCATAAGAGTGCTACAGGGTGGCTCAAAAAATCTGAAATTGCGCTAGTAAAAATACAATTACGATGCAGTATTTTTCGACCGAACGAGGTTAATCTAGTAAATCACCACCAACTGCATAATCCCTTGAAAAATCGATCCTAATGAAATGGAGAAATATTTTTTTACTCATTTCAAGAGAATACGTTCGACAAAATTTAATTGAATAGAGTTAACTAACCGGATCGGATTTAAGTTGATATGCTAGCAGCATCTAGTAAAGTTACCATCCAATTTAAATTTAGTTCTGGCTCGGCATACAGGGGATTTTAAATTAATCCCCATGCATTCCGCACTGCGCCTACTATTATAAGAATTTCGCTAAATATATGTATACGGTAAAAAATTTTGTTGTATCTACATGGTAAAGTAGTAAAAAAATTATAAAATTATTCATTAGATTCGACACGAGGAGCAGTTTGCATAATGAGATACAAATTTTACAGCAATTTTGATACGATTTTAAATCACACTATACAGAGTGTTCACCCATAATAAACTGATACTCCGTTGAAACTGTTTTGGTACTCTTCTCAAATTTAATTATCCGAACTTCGAAGAAACCCATAAAAATATTTTTAGCATGCAAATCGATAGTGTTAAAATTTTATTTTGTTTATCTTTGCAGTCGAAATGTTCGGTGGCTATTGTTTCAAACGCGCATTTTAATCCATCGTTCGCTAATAAATTTATCGTAAGGCACTCGTTTATCACCCTTGGTACGAGCCTACGTGCTAATTTTCACATAAGCCTAGTTCCTAAGCGATAAATCGCGAGTACCGGCAGGCTAGCATTATTGCCTTATTCTACCTTTAAATTCTGTACGTTGCGAAACGCATCGAGTTGATATAACTAACAATAAAACTTAATACCGAACAAAGAACAACCCAGCAATTTCTTGAGGCGTTGAAGAAATACTACCGCTTTGTTCTTTGCAACCTGTAATTACCAAAATACCAATATGAAAGATATCGTTACAGAAAATTAGGAAATTTTTGCTTTGTAATCATTACATAACTAATAGTTGAAATCAACATTGTATACAATTATTTTTTATTTTTTTTACAGATTTTTTGATGGGTAAGCAGCTTTCTTTCAGTACAATAAAAATGTTAAGTTCAATATAAAATGCATGCACCTACACGAAAGTTCAATGTTAATGAGACTTCACTGTAAGTAGGATATAAATAATTTTATGGGGAGAAAGTAACTATAATACAATTGTTTCTGAACATCCCGTTAATAAATAACAATTAACAGGCATGTTTATTCAACTGTGCTTAATTAAATTATTACTAACTAAATTTTTAAGATCCTAATTTCGCTGGTAAAAGAGGGTCATCGCATTTTTCCATTCAGTATATTCGCAAGTAATGTTTATTACAATTATTTTACAAACCTTAATTATCAATGTCTAATTTAAAGAAGCTCAATTAACATTGATTAGCCGGTAAAGTGCAGTAACTGATGCATCATCCCCTGCATGCCTACGTGCAGTCTATCGCATACAAACATTGCAATTGAACAAGGAAAAATCAATAAAAAAAAATCAGAAAAAGTCGTACCTTACTCATCGCGAGCCTTTATATCGTTAGCGATCTTGAAGATACAAAAACCTTGTTTTGTGTCAATGTTATTTCACTTAGCACTGAATATGTGTCTGTCTATCTCTCGACTCGACTGATGCAGATGCGAGAACTGATTGCAGTGGTAGAAAACATTGAATAATATAACAGTACCCACCATGGCAGTGGGTCAGATGAACTCTTCGGTACCGGTACCGGTATCCTTTTATTCTGTCGTTGGCGATTCGAAGGAGCGAGGAAGTCGCTCTTGCGGTTTTTCACTTTCTTTGTTATTGAATTTCGAATTGTGCACTTGCGTCCGATAAACAGGTACCTACTTTAGTGAATACCTCGTTAGATATGCACAATGAAATACAATTTAATAATTACATTCTATTGTAGGATTATTTTTCAATACAATTGTTCATTCATTCTTATCTTCGTTGCATTTCATTTTAATAGGGAATTTATTGAATTCTTAATGATGCAGGAATAGCTTATCCTTTCATAATAAACGTTTAGATATTTAAAGTTATTTATAGGAAGATATACTTTCAATAACAGCAGATAATAGTAAATGAAACAATTTTATTTAATAGCAGATTAATTTCTTCACAAACATCGACAAATTTCCAATTACCTACAGTATTTAATGAAATAAATAACTTAATTAGCAAATGATTTATGTGTTTATTTACCATAATAGTAACTATTTTTAAATATAGTTTCCTATTAGTTTCCTATCCTAATAGTATCCTCTGTTCATTTACTTATTTAATTTCGTTAATTATAACGACTAGAACAGCAACCGTGACCATGCCGATGTAAATAAACAGATTTAAAAACTTATAATTTCATCATTATCATCTACATCATCATCATCATCGTGATCGGCAGCATTAAGAGATTCGCTTTTACTTTAATATAATTTGTTGTTAAAAGTGATGTAATGTTTACAGACCGGTGAAATGTGAAAGCGTTCCGCCATTAGAAAGAAGGTAAGGTGTGCATTCAAGGAAACCGTATACTTATATGCTTAAATTCCGACTTCACTCTGTAATAAATTCGCGGATTTTTTTAATCAAACGCGTTACATAAACTTCCAGGTTCTGTTTGAGTTTGAAGCGACATTAAATTCCTGATTTTTGGTGCATTTTTTTAACATTTCTATCAGCAACTATTACCATTGTACAGTGTATAGTATACAGTACATTTAGTATTCCAGCTCATGAAAATGAATTATGAAATTATTAAAAATTACGAAATTTTAATGAAATATCAATTACTTAGCTTTTTTTTAAGAATTGTGGTTTTAAGTAATTATCTTCAAATCAAAAAAAAACATAACCAGGAAATTACCCGTTAATTAACTTGATTTTTAAAATAACTCTCCTCAACATAAAAATTACACAATTATCAACTGGGATCGTTTTATAAAAAAATGTAATTTGTGCGTCGGTGAAATTGCTCCGATTTATTTTTACTGTAATTACATTTGTATCCTTGAAATAATACATATTTGCAATCTGTATGTGTTTTGCCATTTTGACTTATAAATAAACCAATTAAGTAGATTAGTAAAAAAATTTGAAGCAAATTGCAAAGTGCGTAAATATCGGTCACGGTTGTTTCTAATTATTTATATTTATGCATAACAATCGGCTGACAATGCACTCGATTATCTAATGTAAAATGAACAATTCCCTATTAATTGGATTATTCGTTTTCGCAAACAACAACATGTGAATTGATTGGAAATGTAAAACATTCTACGAATTCAATTAGGATTCTAATTAAATTGTGCTTAATGAGCCGACTAAATAGGAGTAAGTACATTTTTAAATTACACACCAACCTCGGTAATATAAAATTTCTCCGTGCATAAATCGAAAACCAGAAGTAATTCAAGTAGGTAACAAGACGATCGGGTTCCAAAGTGAGATTTCTCACCGGCATTTTTAATGAAAACGGAACTTGCAGTGCACGGTTTACTGTTACATAAGCAGTACTTTTGTTTTATTATTATCTAAGTAACTCGACCTTTTGTTGTCATAATTCTATTTCGAAGCATTTCCTAATAGCTATAATTTTTTCGGCTCTATCAGAAATTATAATCGACTTTGATTCATTTGAAATGATCGGTTGTAGCGAGAATAACACAATCAATAAGAATAATATTTGTTAGTTTAAGCTAAATATGTACCTATATGAATCAAATACTTAAAATAATAAATATTTTAAACACTATTTCAAATCTTATATGAAATCGGTTCATTCTAGTTCTATTGCTTATACAACCAGTTATTCTTTGTTCATTATCTTCTACATCAAAGTTGAAAGTTGAATTCTATAGATAGGCAAACATAACTACAGTTTTATTATATTATAAAAAATATCCGTAGCTTATAAGGAGCTAAACAAAGGTTAGGAACCTGTTCTATAAATTTTTATAGTACTACAATCATTTTAAAAAAAACTGCAAATCGTTAAAAATTGTATCTGTAGTCAACCTTAAAAGGCACTTATACTTTTAATTAGGTATTTAATTTAACTAACTGATTTTCTCTGTACAATAATTATTTCTAACACATTAATAAGCTTAAATAAATGTTTAAAATTTTCGATAAAAGCCAGTGACATTATAGTCGCGTCGATTTATCATTTATTCAAAATTATATTAAAAAAAATCCCTAAAAAATAAATAAAATTTTATAATTGCATATTTTAACAAAATTGTAACATACACTCTTTCATTATCGTGTTCTATAATAGGTATCACAACATTTTTAAAATGCACAAATATCACGTGAAATTGTAGAAATATTAAAACCATTCACTGGCCTATTATTTTTGTTTATTGCAAATCAAGTATTTAAATCTAACGCACATGCTTCCATGAACAGTAAGTATGCAAATTTAGATTCTCTCATTTTAAAAGTAACACGTTCGTAATGTCGACTAATAATTATGATCTGCTCCAAACCGATAGAGAAAAAATCAGAAAATTATGGGGAAAAACCAACGCAGACGTTCAGGATTACATCAGGATCTTAAAAGAGTGGCACAAAACGCAAAACCACCTTCCAGAAATGCCTGGTAAGTGAATGTATTATAAAACAACATTTTAAAATTACAGAAATAATATTTGTGTAGATGATAACACGATTGAATTTGTATTGACTAATTGCAAGTACAGAGTCGAGAAAGCTAAAAAAACCATTGACAGTTATTATACACTTCGTACGATAATTCCGGAGTATTTCAAAGGCCATCGTCCTACAATGGATGTTTTAGAGAGAATTTCGAAAATGTGGTAGGTTTCAAACAGGTCCAATTTTTCTGCAAATCAAATTTGCATTTTCTTATTTTTGTAGGTATTTTACACCATTACCCAAGCTCACTCCGGAAATGTACAGAATAATTTTTCTAAAATATGCAAAAGAACAAGGCATTACTTTCGACTTAGATGAAACAACAGCCTATGAAGTCAATGTATCTGAAATCAGAATGCACGAGGATCTTTCAATGGGTGATGTTTACATTATAGATTGTGCAGACCTTTCGTTATCACAAGCTACTAAATATACTCCCACTTCAATCAGAAAATACTTTACTATATTTGAGGTAATTCTGAAATCGTAATAACACTTGATGTCTATACATTTCTAAATTTCAGAAAGTTTACAGCAGTCGTGGGAAATATTTCCACATTATTAACTACCCGCCCTTTGCCTTACAAGTTCTAAATATGGCGAAAATGATTATAAAGAAAAAAATATTCGATCGTGTAAGATGCGATAAAATTTATCATTTACCGATAATGCAACAGAATTATTTTGCAGGTCAAACTCCATTCGAGTATGGAGAGTTTGTACGAGTACGTTCCAAAGGAGTTGCTGCCCGCGGAATACGGAGGAAAAGAAAAGTCGCTGGATGAACTTCAAGGTTAGATTTATTTACTCTACAAATATCTCTTGTTATTAAACGTTTAATTTTTTGCATATGCAGAACTGTGGTTTCAAAAATTGAGAGAGTATGAAAAGAGGTTCGATGAGTTAGAAGAGATGACCGTAGACGAGAGTCTGAGGCCTGAGCCCTTGGTTAGTTCTGATGTACTGGGTTATTATGGTAACTTTAAAAAAATGGATGTTGATTAATTTCGATAATTATCTACATTAATTTCCATTACTTATTTATTTGGTGTAAATTTGGTATCTATATAAATCAAACATAATTTTTAAACCCTTTCTGAAACATTTATATCTCAATAAAGATTAACAGTGTCTACCTAAACTTTTTATTATAATTTCTCATTGACATTGAAACTTGAACTCAATTGCTACTGCAAAATAAACCTATTAATAGATAGCAATACTTGCTTGCTGGTTGAGTCAGGATGCTCACAACTCTCCGCATTAATTATTTCAATTGGGTAAATATAATTGAAAATATCCTGAATTGCAAACAACAATAACAAGTTAATATGTAAGGTAATTTTATTCAGGCCCACACAATTTCTGAAGTCATTTCTTCCTGAAGTAATATTAACTTTAAAATATATAAAATTATAACTAATAACGTACTTTATTGAGCAATTTCTAACATATCACAAATTAAATTTGTCGACTTTCGGATTGGATGGGCTGCTAAAGGAATTTTCCGATCTCCTTGGTGACGTTTTTCCTGAATTCATTGTAGTTTGTCTCAGATTGCTGAAATAGGAACATTTTTCATTACGTTTCACAATATACAATAAAAATACAATTAGTTAGCATGCAGTGCAAATTCATTTCAGCCTCTCGTTCGTGTTCATTACTATTAAAAATTTTATTATTTCTTTTCATCCGCCGTTTTAATAAAGCAGAAAAAACTACCATCCTGTAATAAAATTTATGCCCGATTCTAATTGAAATTGAATTTTATTTAATTATTTTTATTGTATAAATAAAATCTGGTATTTAAATTAACAGGTCGCAAACACTTTCGTAATGTCGACGGATAATTTACTTCAAACCGACAGAGAAAAAATTAGAAAATTATGGGGAAAATCTAATTCGGACACGGAGGAGTACATTAGAATTTTAAAGGAATGGCTGAAAACGCAGAAGCACCTTCCCGAAATACCTAGTAAGTAGGTACTCAATTATAAAACATACAAGAATATTACTATTTCCTTTTTCTAGCTGATAACCAATTAGAATTCGTTTTAACAAACTGCAAATATAGCATCGAGAAAGCTAAAACGGCTATAGATAATTATTACACAGTTCGCTCAATTTTGCCAGATTTTTTTAAAGGCCACCATCCCGTAAAAACTGATGCATTAAACAGGGTTTCGAAAATGTGGTAGGTATTATTAAAAACATTAATTTCTGCACAAATATTTCCTTCACATTTTTCTCCAGGAATTACGTTCCGTTACCCAAACTCACTACCGATATGCAAAGATTGTTTATAATGAAATATTTAAAAGAAGAAGACATCCCGTATAGCGTGCAAGAAGCCACAGCTTACGAAATTAACATTTTCGAAATAAGAATGCACGAAGATCTGGCCATGGGAAATATTTACATTGTAGACGCTGCGGATGTTTCCTTATCACACGTTGCTAAATTGACACCCACTACAATTAAAAATTACCTCGTAATACTCGAGGTAATCCTATTCATTTTATATAATCTATATTTATTACGTAAAATTCATTTTAGCAATTTTACAAGAGTCGTGTCACAAATTTCCACGTTATTAACCATCCTCCAGTTATGAAGAGTATTTTGAATACGGTGAAGATGATGGCAAAGAAAAAAATATACGATCGAGTACATTCTAATAACAGGAAGACTTTTTAATTTACTAACAAAACCATTGTTGTAGTTAATTCTGCATTCCAGTTTGGAAAGTTTATACGAGTACGTCCCTCGGGAATTGTTGCCTATCGAGTACGGAGGAGAAGAAAATTCCGTAGAAGTGCTCCAAGGTGAGATTCATTCACTAGGTCATCGAGGAACGACTTGTTGCTAAATATTTTTATTGTATTCAGAATTCTGGTTTCAAAAATTGAGAGACTACGAAAAGAGGTTCGATGAACTGGAAGAGATGACAGTCGATGAGAGCTTGAGACCCGAGCCTTTGGTTAATTCTGACATACTGGGTTATTACGGTAATTTTAAAAAGATCGAGGTGGATTAAGTAGGATTAAGAAGTGCATCTAAATTTACCTTAAGCGATTGCTTCAATTCGACCTGGAACAAATTCCGCAAACCTCTTAAATTCCTGAGAATAATTTTATTGAACTCCGCTCTACTTATCCTGGTATCTTCTGTCGTTGTGGAGTTGGATCCGGGAACTGGCGTTGTCGTGTCCGCCTGTAAATTAATCATTGAATTCGATTTTGAATTTTGGTATTTCGTAAAATTCTTACGGATCCATTTTCCGGCAAGAAGTTGTCGTTGACGAGTTTGTTTACTGTTCCAATCGTATCTCTAGTATCTTGGTATTGCTGAAATATTTAAAATTTATTGGGTTAATAATATGGTATAAAACGTAGTGAACTCACTTCGTAAACAACTGAAAATAGAGTTCTAAAGAATCCTGGTTTAGGGGTAGTTGCCTTTCTTCTTTGTTTAAGGGTTGAATTGGTTGAATTTGTAGTTGCCTAGAAAAATGAGTAAATTATAATAAGTAATATCGAAAGTGTATTATTTTTCCCTTACTCTTTTATATTTGTGCTGTTGTCTAATTTCCGCTGATGTCGCTAAATAAATTCCAACTATACAAAGGAGTAAAATTTGGAAAATAACACGATTCTGCATATCCTGAAAAGCAAAAAGAAAATAATTCCTGCATAAGTGGATGATTAATTGGAAATAAATAAAATTACATGACCGCAATAGTAATTTTCTTTAAACGACGAAAGTGTTAATGCGAATAAAATTAATAACTACACAGTTAGGTCGGTCACAATTTCGTAACAACTTTCGATTATTGTTATTGCCTCGTATATTTTACATAAAGTGGAGCTTTGCCGGACATTACACAATGTCGTTATTATTCAATAAATAGGAATCTCCCATTGCAAATATTTCCGCTTCATTAACATCTACAAAATGAGGAAAAATTTTCTACAAGTAAACACATTTTCTTCTGCATAATTAAATTGGATTATTCAGTTAAATAATTTCGTATGTTTATTGAGTGTACATTCCTTGTAGAAATTTGTTCACATAGAATAAAACAATAACAACAATAACAGAACACAACTTAACCACACCTTTATACAGTTTTATTCCACTAGTAGGCACAGTAAAAGCAGTACTTGTTTGTAATAAACAGAAACCATTTAAGTCTTATTTAACAATTACAAAAAAATCACTTAAAACAAAGTCTTGTTCGCGTTATCTTACCTATTTTTCAGCTATTTGAAACGCAACTTCTGCACAAACGAACACATCGCATGCTTTCTACATCGAATATGTCAAAACCGTTAAAGATACATAATCATAAATACGACCGACAACCTACATTAAACGGAGTTCTTTAACGATTTCGTTGTGCAAGTACTGGCACATTACATTACACAAACGAATTTCTCCTCTTACAGTCGTGAACTGGTCAAGCCGACTCTTTCTAACGCACTGGTGTGACTTTGTAGCTCACCGACTGTCTTCGTTATGCACTAATGAATTCCTTGGATAGGTGTATAAATATATAATTTAATTATTCCTGCTATTTATTTAGTACATTTTAAGGGTAAGTAATTTTCTAACATGTTTATGTGGAATTATTGGAGAAGAAAATGACAATATTAAAAGTTAATTTACTTAATCGGTACTTACTTAAACTTATTGTGAACCTTGTGGTAGTTTTGAATTACTTTGGGGAGTATTTTTTGAAGTTACGCTTGTTTTTTTTTTATTGAGGTACACGGACTAAAGAACAAACTGAACGAAAATGAAAGAATCCAAGGTGCAAAGCAACATAAAAAGACCTTCATAAAAACGTCAATTAAGTCAAGGTTGCTAATGGCTTTCTTATATAATTTCTTAATCACTTAACATTTTTCGTGTTAATTGGTGATTTCGGTAATTATATTGATAGCTTCTATTGAAATATATTGCATGTTTCTGTATTGGAAATATTTCAGTGGTATACTTGAGATTTAAAAAAATTTCCTTCTATTTCTTCCCTTTCTCTACACCTATACGTTGCTTGCAACAATAGGTTCTTTTATATTCCCTTTATATATTTAACAATAAAGTAATTAACAGTCTCTTTCACTTTTTTAGTATTAAAAATTTGAATATTAAAACAATAAGCAATTCCAACTTTACACTATTTCCCAAATTAAATAAATAATCGTTTATTTTTTATTAATATGAAATAAAACCAATGTTTGAAGTACACACATACATACATATTTTTGTTCTGCTTAAATTAAAACATAAATTACTAGTCGAGAAAGGGATAAGTAGATTTTAGACCGAATTGGGATCGGAAAAAATCGGTCGATCAGTAGTGGCCTCGATCACGATGCCCCCAGCACCGAATATAGCCCTCAGAAACGGCCTCATCGATTCTAAAAGCCTTTGAGCCCTCACCGCTGAACTCTAAAAAAATAAAAATCAATCGTTAATATAATTATCCATTTACTCTCAACGGGGATCATCCTAATTTGAAAATTAATTTACCATGACATAGTCGCCTACTCTCGTCGACAGATTTGTTACCAGAGTGAAGGAAGATCCGAACAGTTTGTCTGGAATTTCCAGGGATACCGGTTCGCCCGGTTTGAATTGTACAGCATCCTCGGTAGTCGTTGGGCGTTTTGTGGAGGTCGATTTGGGTACTTCCCAGGCGAATCCTTTAGAAGCAGTCCCGCCGGATCCCTAAAACCAATGAACTAAACTCATTCCTGTTTGCAGTGCACTTTATTAAAATATAACCGAGAATTTGCTGTTAATGAATTCGTGTTAAATTGTAGGTAATATTAATTGATAAATTTTGTGGGGTAATTAAAATTCGTTTCATTTATTATATACATGTAAATAATTAGCAGGCAATGCGCATAATCACTCTATTGATGCATGAAAATTTGTGCCGATGTTATTAATAACTAGTTGAATATGAAATTGAATACTTGTACATTATTACTTAAAACAGGAAATTGAAAAGCAGATAAATTTAATAATTTGTAAGATATTTATTTTGCAGAGTTTCGAAATTTTCATATTGTAATATCACACAAAAAAAACATTAAACCCACCCTGTAGGATGGCCAATAAAATTATCTACTCCATCCTGCTGGAACTGATTTGTAATTTTTCTTCTTTTACACAACTGGGACAGTAAAAGAATTTAACTGGTGGTAGTAGCGTATGCAGGTATTAAATTATTCTGTTCTCTGCTTTCCATTACATTCGTTTTTTTTTTCAACAACATTGGGAAGCGAATTACTCCATTAGCAGTTGTTTGCAATATTTTTCTCGACCCGGCTGCCTTAAATTTTCCCGTCGAATTCGCAAATTAAATAAACCACAAGTGCGTTTTTTCGAAAACATCTTTTATTAACTTATATTTACAAAATCTACAGAACGTTACATGCGATCCGAAATGTACAATATTAATAGGGGACCAAAAATATTACAAACAAACTTACCCCGGGCAATTTTTAGGGACAACAAATGGCTTATGGAACAATAAATTAGGAAAATTTCACGAGCGTCAAAAATACTCTGCATTAATTAAAGCGAAAATTATAAATATCCATTATTAAAATCAACGGTGTAAAAAATGGATTGTTCTAAAGGAGCGGAATTTTGAATGCAAAACTGGAGTATTTTCCACCCTCTATTCTCGACATTGAGAAATCGCGGCGTTTCTAGAATTATAATTTGTGAATTATTTAACAGGAATAGGGTCACGGTTGCAAGATTGACAGATTACAACAAAATTAAATTGAAAAGTGAGAGTCGTTGGGTTGGTTGTTAATAGACTATTTAGTAAATTTTACGACCTTGAATTAATTTGGATTTTTTTTGGAATTTGGTTAATGGCTAATTTTATTACTAGATATGTATAGATTTTGAAAATATTTAGTATATTTGAAGGAACTGAGTTTTTTTGTAAGTAGATATAGTTAAACAAGTATAGTGTGCTACATAATATTTTCTGTATCTATACATAAAATGAAATGAGAGATTAACCAATGAATGTTAATTTAAAACTATACAACGACTCAAACTTTTTAAGAATAACATTAGTTTCAAATCAAAAAATTAAATTTAAGTGTAATATAGCAAATATTTCTTTTACCTTTTATCTGATTTAGGTATTACATTTTCTTAAAATTAGTTAACTAAATAAATAAATCTCTAGTGAAAACTATTTTTAACTATACAAATAATTATATTGCGAACGAACTGATACCCAGATTTGACCTCCAATGCTAATTTCTTTTCATCCAAATTTTACTCTTATCTTTATTTTAAGAGACTAGAGTCACACTTCTCTACCTATTAGTAACGAATAAAAAATATTTCTAACAATACCCTTATCCTAAAGCAAATACACACTACATTCCATTGTAATCTGCCATCACAAATTGACCTACCCTCGAATACATTAATTTAAAAAAAATACATCGATAATTCACTATTGAGCAAAGGATATGGCAGTGAAAGATTCCATCAACCCCCCAAAAAACTTAAACAACGCCGGCGTGCTGGCCGCCCCCGCTGCTGGCGCCGCTGCTGCTGCCGAATCCCTTGCTCACCAGCGCCCCCAGGTCGAAGCCCGAGTGCCCGCCGCCGCCGCCGCCCCCGCTGATGCTGCCCAGCTTGCTGGTGACGATGTTGAGCAGAGGAGCGGCGGCTTGGAGTTTCTCCCCGATGGCGCCCGATATCACCGCCGACAGGGAGGTGATGGGGTCCGCTGGGGGCACTATGTTGGCGGCGGCGTTCTTCGCGATGTTCTGCTTGTCCAGCTGATCGATCCAGGCGGTTTTCTGGTCGATGAAGCTGTTAAGTTTCTGTGGAATTCACATTAAATGGACTATTACTGCTCGGTGGAAGTACTTATAGACAGGTTTCTACATCTACATCGAATTGTTTTAATTTTTTGTGCAAACAAGAGAGGAAATCTGCATATCGATTAGCCCTTTGGCGTTGTATACGATTAGTTTCCATGGTGTTTTCATTCAAGTGTGGAACGTTTGGTACCCTTTCGGAAGTCAAACACATTATTGTACGCGTTATGTAGCGAGTAATTTGCAATTAAAATCCCTTGTTTTCGAAACGATGGTGTATTATAGGTGCATTGAACCACAAATAATGTAGTAAATTAGGATTTTTTTTAAATAGCCATTCTTTAAGCAAAGTGTGAGAGGTTTTTTACATGGAATTTCATTAAGTTCCTCCTTCCACTCTTCCTTATTCTTCAATCCAAACGCTTATTTCATTAAAGGCTAATTAACTTACCTGTGGATCTAAAATTTTGTTAGGCAAAACCCAGTTAGTAACGAGTTGTTTTAATTACATGCGGAGGTTTAATTAAATTCGGTGTGTTAGTTTTAGAAAAGCAAATTCCCTGAAAGGGACTTTATGCGAGCAAAGAAACGGATGCAGTGCAAGATTATATTACAGTTCTTTAAGCGATAGTCCGGTGTATTTGAAAAAGAACTTTGACAATTTTCAAATACGCTGCACTTAATGGAATTTTTTAAGCCGAAAGCACCATCAGCAAACCGTGCTATTTACGCAAGAACTTACGTTGAATACGAATCCTAATACTGCGTTCTTCACTCCTGTTACTACGTCTACTTTTCTCTTGTCTCTAACGATACTGTTTTTTGTTAGTTCCTAGAATTAAAATACTCAGTGTTATTTACAAAGACAAATCAACATTTACGAACGAGCTCATCCTGTAAATAATTCAAAAAAAATTGCGAACACTACCGGGTTTTAATGGAATAAATTTAAACAGTATACCATCATTAAACTAGTGAGAACATACTCTATCAACTATACAGTATGTGACTTCTTGTTTGTCAAAGTGTTAAGATGAAGATGAAAGTAACGAATCATAGAAAGCGGGAGAGAAATTTTTGTATAATGATACACTTTCTTCTATTGAATTTGAGCTGAAAAGAAAATATTTTCGTAAAAAAATTAACGAATCTTCTGCTAACAAAAAAAGTTCAAACAATTCGTGTCCGCTGCCAGGAAGTACATGATTAACGGCAGATTTTCTGTTATGCAACAATTATTGCTAAAGTTCAAACGAATTGTTTTCGATATCAAAGTTCCTAATGAACGAGACGGGCGCTTTTGTTGTGCCCCTTTATGCAATAAAAACTGCCCGTAATAGCCTACGCTGGTCTTTTTAATCAACTTTCAGAGAAGGTTTTTTTTCTACTTTCGTTACGCGAGTTTTGTTGAGATATACAAATATTAAAACTAACGAATGGCTAAGCATTTAATTCCTATATGCGCTGTACTTGTTTAATTAATTCTTTCGCATGCACTTCGAACTTTTTTAGACGACAAATTTCCTTGAAATTCGAAAGTATAACCTTCCCGTTCGATAAATTATTACTTTTTATGACAGTCGTTATTTAGATTTAACATTGTTTTCTACAATAGAAATTGCTCTGTTGCAGTTAAAGCATATTTAGTCGAAGTGGTAGGATCTTTCCCCTAAAAAAATCAATTCCTGCTTTCTTCACGAATTCGAACCTTCACAAACGTACACCCAAACCTCGAACTTTGCTCAGTTTTTACTTTTTTGTCATTCGACCATGAATTTATTAGTACTTTCTAAAAAATCACCAATATTTTTGACTCCCTGCGCTACTAAATAAAATGGTGATTAAATTAGTGGCATCCGCCAAAATATGGGAAGTGAATTGTATAGAATTGCTGCTAATGTATCGAACAATTTTCGCTCCAATTTAACATATTGTGTAACAAAATTAGTACCGTCGGTACTACGTATTCGTGGAATAGTTTCTGACCGCCTACATTATAATAAATTATTGTCAACGCAGTCGAAGTTTACTTTCATCGCTATACCTTTTAAGACACGAATTGGAACGATCGAGTTCGATGGAAACAGTAAACCTGATACAGATGAAAATGAAACAGAATTATCTCTTGAAATAAATCCCGGGAACTAATTTAAAATAATAAAATTCGACTCCATGGCATATATTCAATTAACCCAAAATTCCAAATAAACAAATTGCTGTAAGAGAATTTGCGAAACTTCTAATTAGGATAATTATCTTTTAATCGCATTTTCGCTCACTTCTACATACATAAAATCTACTTACTAATTAAACTTTGTATTATAGGGCATTGTTATGCAAGTTTAAAAGACATTAAATTCTAAATATCCTTACTACAGCCTCCTTATTTATTACATAATTTTATTATGCGTTAACTCACAAATTGGGTTAGCCATAAATCGTTAAACATATATGCATCACGTCACATTTCAATAAAATTAATAACGAAACAAAAACGATGTTAAACGCAATTAAAATGAGTTGATGATGATGAACACTCCTTATTAATAAATGACCTTGAAGAAATCCTCTCTTAGCTATAAGTAGATCGGATCCCATATTATGCATGAATTGCATAATACTCAAAATGTTGTGTAGACTACATCATCACTTTTTCTTTCACTATTAGATAATCGCACGGCAGTGTACCTATACAACTTTCTTCGATGTTTATACATCGAAGTCTACAAACTGTACCGTTATGCTCATAAATGAGTTTTATCGACGGGCATCGAGTTAAGGAAGTATTGTAACTACACATTCGAGAATTAATTACCGGTATTGATTAGTAACAATTTAGAAAAATAGTCGGTTTTTGATTTTTTGTAGAAGCGATGATTTCCTTCTGCGTTAAGTATAAAACATTAAAATTGGACTATGTGCCCCAGATATTTAACCGGAGAACGAGTGTGCTTATTTAGCACCAATTATGCGGTAATTGGTTCAACATTCTTGCAAATAAATTAGAAAATGCCTGAAATATCATAGGTTAAAATAGTAGATCTATATAAAAATATGAAACGCTCTTATAAATTAGTTGACCTTCATTATTAATTCAATAATTTGATAATTTAAATCAAATTTAAGGAAGGTAGAAGCATAAAAAAATCACAATATCCTTGAAAGGATATGTTTTGTTCAGTATTAATTAAACTAAATTTTAATTAATACAACCCTCTGGCGAAGTATACAATATTTTTAACTAATAGAATCACAATAATAAAATACAACATATTGAAAAATAATTAATTTGTATTGTCTAATTGACAATACAACTCCCTCCCAACTATAAAGAAAGAAGAATTACCATCCCTACTCTTAATTAGTAAACGCCGGGTGGCTGCACTTAACCTAATTTTTTGTTAATTTAGTATTAATTAATAATTATGAAAACGTACCTGTAATACATGAGGATCGATTGGTTTCAAATCTGCTTGCCTTTTAACTAGACTCCTACAATCCCCCAAGTCTAAGATGAATACCAGGCATACTATTGTTGTTAAAATTCCGAATACAGTAGTCATTTTTCTACAAAAAAAATCAAAAATATAAAATAAATCTACGTACTATTAAAATCGACGAGAATCAACACTAATCATCCCGAAAAAACTGTTCGAAAAGCAGCGAAAAGAACTTAAAAAAATATAACTTACACTATTCTATAGCGTAACTTAACTTAGGAGTGAATGTGATAGTTTAATAAAGTTCTTCTTATTTCTAAGCGCATTTGGTTCTGTCGAGAATTGGCGAGAAAGTACGAGACTCGCATCGAGTGGTACCAAGGAGGTCAAGGAAGGTACTGTCCGGATGTCGGCACACAAGTGCATTTCGGACGCCGAATTTTCCAAGTCAAAAAATATTCAATTAATGCTATTTGGGTGGTTTTAAATGCACCAAAAAAATTAAGTAAATCAGTGGGATTTGATGATAAAAACACCATGACTGATTGTGAAATTATTTGCATAAAATTACGCTTTGATACTCTGAATTAGGGAAGAGAAATAATTAAATGTAGGAAAATAATGTGAATGTAGGTAATGCATATGTTTTGTAGATTATTGCATCACAAGTATGAATTAATATAACTAACTAAATGTAAATCATTATAATCAACACCGTTATTAGAATTATTCAGTCACTTTTCATATACAATACGTCCACGAATCGAGCATAAAAGAAAGATTTTTGATTTACTTTTAATCTTGAAAACATTTCTAACAAATTTGGACATATCATGAAATTAAATTTTGAGAAGGATAAAATATTAAAGATTTTTTTTTGATATATTTGATGTGCGGACATCCTGTATTCAAGTCTTGAATCTGGTGCATTATTCGGTGTATTTTATCGCAGTGTTTCACTTTCAAAAGTAATTAACGTTAGATATTTTGATCACGTCCTAGTTAATTTAATCGGAGACTGCAGCGGTAGATGGCGACAGAAACCCGCTTATTTTATATACTTGAACAGTAAATTATCATTAAAGCAAATCGATAAATTTGTTATTTTTACTTAAAACTAAGTACTTAATTATTAAAACAAATAGACACGTCACGTACTTAGGTCCTGTTTGTGTAATTAAAAGTGCAACGGATTTTATTGACCATTTGATCCTATTAATTGGGTTTAATAAATACTTTGAGAATTTCGAATTACATGAGAGCTTTTAAAAGTTTCGAAACGATGTCACTATTAGTTTTTCAACACCTATGCACTTTTTGACCGAGTTATTTGTAAGAGCTTTTAACACTATTTTCGAAACCTGTTAAGGGTACTTATTTCTGTACTAAATAGCATAGCAATTAAAGATAAGAAAAGTATCCAATTCAGTAATTATCATGCCTAAATTATAAAAATTGTATTACTTCCTTCATTGAAATTCTGACTAATCATTATATCTATATTTCTGCATATCCTATTTTATTATTGTTGTTACTGTTACTGATGGTGATATTTTTCCGGAATGATGTTTAGCTTGGTTAATGTTTCTTGGTGAAATTAAGGAAACGAATAACAACATTTAATTGCTCAATTTCAACTTTAAATAAAATATTTTAATGTCTTTAAATTATTTGCCTTGACCAAAATTAACGGCATTTAGAGAGTCAGGAATATGTATATTACATTTTTTGCCTCAATAATTAAGTAATAAGACGAATATCATGATAATAGCCATAGATATCCAACTTGCGCTATTTTAGTTTTATTAATCACCTGTTGCATTTTTTAAATTTAAAATAAATTATAATAGACGGAATTAATTTTTTATTTCATCTATAATTTTGGTCAAGGCGCGCTACATTCGCAGTGATAATCATCAATTTTGTAAATCGTTAATTACTATATTTCCAATTGACTTCGATTATCCTTCAAGTTGCAGTTTTAATTCGTCTTCGCAAAACTGTTTTAATTTTTTTCTCTAATGGTTTTATGCCAATTTTTACCGATTAATTACAATCTGCAATTAATGAAGAAATTTCGTTATTCCAGTTTGCCTAATGCTGACCCAAAAATCCAAAAACGTTTGATATAGTTTACTTGGTTATTTATCAAAAAGTGGTTTCATTTCATTAATTGCATCAAACTATCATAATTGCATTCATATGCAAGTAGAATAGTAACATAGTCGAAAAAAAGGTTGTTCAGTCAAATCTTATTTTCTAAATTAACTACACCGGCAATTATACGAAAAAAACCTTTTATATTTTGAAATGCTTCAATGGAAAGTGCAAATGATTGTACGAATTTAATTTGATGTTTATATGTGTACTTCTTTCGTCATGTGGGTCAAACAGTTAAAATTTTGATACCTAGTTACATTTGGAGTTCATTTTAAAAATTTTAGTATCATCTTTTATTATGCAAATGTTACTTACAATTATCTACGATTATTTTTAAATTAAACAATTAAGCTGTGCCTTACAGTTCTCTAATCATAAATTACAAATTGTTTTTTAAAGATGTATCTAATGTAATGTTTTTTTTACTTATCATTATTTTAATATCAATAATTATGTGAAATAAAATTTGTTGTGACATTAGTTAAATTTTTGGAGTTTTGGAATAATTTACTTATAACTGTAATTAATGATTTCTAAAAATACATTAAAAACGCATTTTACTTGTATTTAAAATTTATACAAGATAGCATTTTATAGTCAACATTAAGAAATATATTCGTTAATTTACGCCAAATTTTCTAAATGAATATTCACCGCTGTTAATCCTGATTCCTCATTATCGCAGATAAAAATCATTTCGCCAAATATTACATAACCGATTGTCCGACTTACGATATATTTAAATACAAATCCGGTACGAATTTCACCGAAATTACCAGTTCATTATAAAATCGGATATTTTTATTATTCATATCCTTATGGTCTCCGGTGGACGGGTCAAACTTTCTCCGCCTGCCTTAGTCAAAGGTGGTTATTATTCATTATCTGATTGATAAAAATCGTTTGTCTATGCAAAACGAAATTGCATAAGGTAAATGGAGATTCCTATAATATGCACCATACAGAGGGCGATCTAATGATCTTTATAGTGATTTATTGACATATTCTAATTGGTTTTTTTATCCCAGCACAAATTATAATGATTTTACGCTTGGTCAAGTTTGTAATTATAAAAATTATTAATCTTAATTTGCAATCCCTTAATGAGTTTCTATATTAACAAACCATATTTGCTGTGATTAGACAGCAGAATAATGATTTATCAATCGCGTCTGTTGAACTAGAACTTTCATGTCGCCTTGATTTTAAAGGACAAACCAGATCATGACGGTGATTTTTTTTCTAAGAACGTTTCAGTTGACCAATGACTGCATAACTGCATGTATAAAAAATTTATAATAAGTGTCGGTAATTAATTAAACTAACGTAATCCACAATCACGGATTTGTTTAAACGATTAGATTTGGTCTGATAATAAAGTAATCAGCACGCTGAGTAAATTAACACGATTTATATCTTATTAGAACTATTATTAGTTAGGCCACTTTATGATTTATTTAACGTTTTGAATATAGAGAAAATTTACCTAAATTTATAAAATGATTATGACTATATTTATGTAAATGGCTATAACTTTTTCAGACACTGTTTTTTATCCCATATTGTTCGTGTTATTAGCTCTAGAGGTGCAGAATTGACTCTTGCTCTACCAATATTAGCAAGCATATTTATTTGAGATAATAAGCTAAAAAATCGGCTCGGAAAGGGGTTTATATTGCATTGTTTCAACTGCTATCCAAGGCTTTTATGTTAATTTAATAACTCGTAGGCTATAAAATTATACAATGCACTTTATGCCGATCTGAATTAGAGTAAAAAGTCGATCTAGTCGCGTGGAATTTTATAGCACAGCCGTCCTTGCCGGTTGTCCGATTTGGTCATGATTTTTTTTAACAAAACGGTACACACATATTCAGTGAAAGTTACTTATAACTTCTAGGAACGGTAATACCTCGAAGAATAAACTTCTGAATTTAAAATGCAGTTAATATGGTGTGTTAAATGATACAGGGAATTTGATTTTAGTTGGATTTTTTCGTTACCTCACAGGCATCTCTATGAGTCACGTTTTGCAAATAGAAAGTGCTAACTGAAATATCTTACCTTTAAATCAAATATAAAACGTATTCGTTAACACTGCGAATGCACAAAACCGATTTTAACTTTAACGGAGACCGGACAGACGATAAAGCCCGAGTAAAAATTAAGCGAATGCGAAATTTAATAGACTGTTTTTGTCAAGAAAATTCGTTTTAAACTACTTAAACTTAGCACTCTCTCTTCCAATGTCGAACAAATCGTTTACCTACTTAAACTTTCTTTCATTCTTTGATTGTTAAATTTCGATTTTGACTTGGTCATCGATCGAAAGCAGTCGACACAGAATATTGCAGTCGATTCATCGCTTTTGGATTCAAAAACAATTATGCAGGAGATTTAAATGATACCACTCAATTAGATTTAACAGGTGTATTTATTTTCTATGTCATTGCATACAGTTAAATCATATGAAATATTTACTCAACATTGTCATAATGCACTACCCGAGATATACATTAACTTAATATTAATTTAAGATACGTATGAACACGTGTTTTACACATTTAAACCTCCATAAATCTTTTTAAATTCGAATTAATCTGATGCAATTCGATATAATTGCTGATATCGTGGAATTTATAGTGTGTACATGGTTTTAAGATTAATAGGTAAATTCATTACCAGTCAGGTAGTGTAATTTTTCATTATACTAATTATTATACAACTTAATTTTTAAATCTAAAAGCTCCTAGAGTTATTTTTAAAATTTCATTGTACTCTAAATTAAAATTCTAGTAATATTTTTGACAAAATTTCATCCTTGTTATCGATCGCTATTTCCTTTCCCTTTCGGAGGATGAGGAGGTTTTGAGTTTGATAATGAGGTAATTGTTGATATGACCACTTTGACGGGGTTAATTCCCTAAAAAAAGGTGTATTAGTTAACATATTTACTATCGAATTTCAACTAACTTTGCTTGCACCAAACACAGTTTTCAAGAAACCGCTCAAAAACCCTCCAATATCCAATCCTCCGGGTTTTACAAGCGACGGTTTTCCATCTTCCGGAGGCTGCAATTGCACAAATAATTAGTTAAATATATTATGCATTCTGTTAATTAAAATTACCTGAACACTTAGAGCCGGTAAAATACCGCCTAATATTTTTGCCAGCAAAATTCCGACGCCTTTCTATAAAAAAATTTATTACTCAAGGCACAAAAGAAGTATTATAAAAATTACATAATGATTTACTTATCATCCGATAGTTATATTAGCAGGCATCATAAATTATCCCATTACAATAGGAAGTGCTTAAAATGTCTTTCTCTTATTCGATGAAGATCGTAAATTTTTAATTTAAATAATTATGAGCAAATACTTTACGTTAGTGGATATTGTTTATTACTAACACAAATTTAATTGAATTATTGTGATATAGTCATAAAAAATTCTTACCCCGCCAGGTGGATTAGCAATTCCCTTAATTACAGCCCCTAATAATCCTCCTGTAAAGGCGCCAATGTCAGAACCGCCACCCCCATCACCTCCACCCTGTAAATAAGATGATTAATTAAATTTTATAAAAAATATGATCCTATAGAATCAACTCAGTACATCCTAGCTAAAGAGATCAAAATTGAGGGCGACAATATTACGAAGTTCCGGTGGAAGTATGGATTAGACGATTTACTGCAAACTGGAGTAAGTTTATAATCTGTCCAATAGTAGAATCATAAATTGCGCGTGATTTTCCGTAAATTCTGCATCGGTCTGGATATCCCCGTTATTTGTGCACCGGTGTGGAAATTAATTAAAATGATAGAAATGCCTAATATGGTGCCGGATCAAACGGACAGTGAAATTTACGGTTTTGCATCGATATCCAGTTGCAGGAATTTTTTGATTGGATTAAATGCTACGGGTGCCCAAGATGAATTTGTAACCACGTTTCTCTGTGTTCTAATCAAGGGCGGCAAAATCGCAAAAAAAGTTCTATGTTATTTTTATCGAATTCGAAACGGCAAATAAACATTTAGGATAAATATTTTAAATTATCCGCAGATTGGAGCGTTTAAGCATGGTTGAATAATTACAAAACAGAACTCAGAACGCAAGAGCAAATTTTCATTTGATTCATAAACAGACATTTTCAATTACAAACCTTTGTTAATTAAAATTTTGGTCTGTACAAGCAGCGAGATTTAAACATGCTTATAAGAGTAATGCCTGAGTGGTATTATTACAGTTAATTTATTTTTTATTAAGGATCCAGGGCTTACATGTTTCAATTTATATTTCACGGAATTCTTAAGAATACTTCAAAGAGTTTCCATGGGGACTTCCAAATATACGTTCTTTTGAATGTCTTTTAATATAAAATGATACTTACTCCGAAAAATCCTTTCAGCAAATCCGTAATTCCTTGGAAATCGTATGTGCCATCTTCGTTTTGCTATATAAATAATTAATGGCATAATTTAGTAAGCTTTTTACCAAATTGTTTTACTGATGAAACTTACTGTACTCAAACTTCCCACTAAGCCGACGATAGCATCCAAATCTATACTCCCGTCAGGCTGAAATAACTCATTAGGTAAATTAATGAATTCACTTAATATCTACTAAAATTACTTTACTAAGACCTCCTAACAGAGCGGAAAGTATCCCAGTAACCATATTCATGTCTTCCTCCTCCTCGCTGGAGCCCTCTTCATCGGATTCTTTTTCCGCGAATTCCGGATCATCTTTCTCGCCTTCTTCTCGGGGATTTCTTGTCGTTTCGTTTATGGGACTGTCTACATCGCTAATATTGAATGAGTTATTTATGAGCGGAGTTTCCGGAGTTTTAGTAGACGGTGTTTCCTGAAAGAAGAAAGTTTTTAAAACACCTTTAAATTTAAGACTTTGTTATGAAACGTAACAACAATGTATTTTTATATTTTACATGTAAATGTACCTCAAAATAATACTAAATCGTCCAGTGACCGGGGTGTTGCAATACTGTTTCGTGTAGTAATCTAACCTTTAGTCAAGTATAATACATAAATTAACAACGGTCAAGAAGTTTTTAGATGTTATGCAATTCACAATATATCGCACCGGGACATCTAAATAATAGCGAATTTCGCATGTATGTATTAAAAGCAATTAAAGACGTTAAAAAATTGTCGTAATGTTATTGTGATATAATAATAAATATTTACTGTAATTGCTATAAAACTTAATATCTGGTCGTAAATTAAATAAATAGAAGTTAAAAATTCGTCGTAAAATTGCGCTGCAAATTTTCATTCGAATAAAGTTAATTGAATTAACGGTAATTACAATTCGAGTTACACTTCATACTTCAATGCCCCATTAAATTGTTCTTTTTCTATTCACTTTTTAAAATTAATATTCACGTTTCCCAAGAACTATACAATTGTAATAAATAAATACGTAAAAAAAAGTTATCGAGCGGGTCCGTTGCAGTTTATGCCACAGTCTACTCGAGTAAATGTTCTTCGAAGGTTGCATTGTTGTATTTCCCATGTATTTTAACCACTCGTCGGCGTTTTTCCAATTATATTTATTTCTTAATAAAAGCGATTAGATCGCGGTTACAGGTTTCCATTACTAATTAATACGGTATCAGTGGATAATTAGTAATTACGGACTCATGTTTGATTTATTTGCATATTGCTGGCAGACGCGGGAACAAACTATTGCATAAGGGTTTATAATTGTGCTCACTTATTTCCTATAAATTGTAGAAAAAAAATAAAAAAATTGCATGTAACTTACTTTGGTAGTAATTTTAATGTACTCCGTTGTTATTTCAGTAGGCTTAATTACTGTAGGATTCACTTTTGGAGGCTTTAAATCTGTATTATCTAATCCTGTAGTCGATAATTCAGTAGTCTTTAATTCTGTAGTAGGATTTGATTCTGTAGATTTCGTAACATCTACTACAGTAGGTGCTAAAGAAGTTGTTGGTTCTGTTGTTACTACAGTTGTTGATGACGGTGAATTTGTAGTTGTAGATAAGACATCATCAATTTGCTAGAAAATCTTGCACTAAAATAATCGATTAGATTAAGTGTACGAACGTACTTGGAAAATAGTATGGTCGAGTCCTGGAACTTCTTTATCGATTAGCTCGATGTTGGGAAGACCCTGGGACGTGGTGACGACTTCGATGGTGAAGGATGGAGTTGATTCGTCTTGGAAGAACAGGGGGACTTCTTCGGATGAATTGAAGTTGATGTGAGACTCGTTGCCGATGTGGTTGAGAGAGGGGTGGTTGTGTTTGGGGATGTCGTCGTAGCGAGGAATGTAATTATCGAAATCCTGGTAGAAAATTGTGTTGTATTATGCGCGTTAAGAAAGGCAGCAAATGGGAAAGGTCGGTTTTTTTGATTGGATTTATTACTTGTATAAAACTAATTATTAGATATTACTTTATCCTTGACAAATTAAATTGGCAATTGGTAATATGTATCTCGCCTTTGTGATATTTTTGTTATTGTCAGTATCTTTCACTTTCGTTAGTCATGTATCGATTTATTTAAATTGTACCTACGGGGTTGTATTAAATAATACATTTTTAGTAATATTTCTGAAACTTACATCAAAATTATTACTTTCCGCGACGCTTTTTACAAACGTGTCCGTGGGAAATCCATAACTCACTGCCAAAGTAACATAAAAAACGAAAAACCACTTTTGATACATATCCAAAAAAAAAAACACCAAATTCCAACGAAACTCAACCATCAACTGCCAACTATTCCTCCGAGGCATATCCATTTGTTTTCGCAAATAATCGATAATGCTGAGGTTTACTTCCAGTATTTAGTAACAAAGGAAATTGAATGAAAAATTACATACCTTTTCGAACTTTTCTATATACGTTTGTAGAGTTAAATATTTAATTACGTTATGTATACACTCTAATAATACGTTATTTACGAAGGTAATGACAGTTTCGAAAAATGAAAGTTACGCAATTTGCAGAAGAACTTATTTGTTAATTTGACGATTGTTTCACATAAAAATGAAATTTAGTAGTTATCTACTAACGAATATAATTATCTTACAAAAATTTTCCGATCCCTTTAATTAGCAAATTTCGATACCTACAGAAAGGTTTTGAAACATTAATGGGACAATTCCATCCCAACGTCCAATTCCGCTGCTCGCTTTAATATCAAGGCAATTAAGGGGTATTAAAACCAAAATCTATTAACTTGAACGACTGCGGACTTTGCAGTTACTGGTCTCTAAAAAACTGCATGCACTTTTATGCAACGGAAGGAAATAAATCGTTTTCGTTCGGTCAATTGAAATTTTCTGGAAATATATAGCCATAATTATCGCTTAATTAATAGTTGATTATCGATTGAAATCGTCGATATTGCAATGAAACCTACTTTTAAACACCTTTGTATATGTAAAATAGAATTTATTCACCGTAAAACTTTTTCTCCCACGATTACCGCTTATTCAGTAAACGTGTTTGTTAACTGTATTATTAAATCATTTGTCCGCGATATTAAATTTGTTCTTATTTGTTCGCATAGGTAAATGGACATACAAGGATGTCAAACAAAAGTTGACATGATTATTAACATACCCCAGTTGCATTCGAATCATTTTAATTAAGCTGTATTTGCAATTATTAAGCGATGAAAGCAACTTTAAGAGCAGCTTCATTAATAAACTAAAATAAGAAGTTTCAAGTTAGCGCTTAACTTTTTAGATTATACTTAAATACCTAAAATTTATAGGTTTATTTTTATATTCAACTGTAGCTTACCTTGGTCTACACATTATATTGAAAGTAAATAAATTAGTAAGCAAAATTTGCTTGCAAAGACTGGTTTGAGCAAGTATATTTAGCCTCATGTATGTTCTTGCATACCTATATATTGTAATATCGAACTAATAATTTAAATAAACAGATAAATACCTAATACACCTAGATAAAATAGAAACTTTGAGAAATTTATTTGCTATTTTTAACTATTCATCCAGTATCTACAGTATAAAGACTTGTGTAATTACTAATACTAATTAAGCAAGCTTTAGAATTGCTTTAAATTCAAATTGATGCATATTTGTAGGCAACACACTGGTCACACTTTATGTACGCGAATTTCAAACTTCCTCTGCAGAGAAAGTTTTTATATTCGGGTTTTTTTTTATGATTATCCATTTTTTGTTTATACTGATGTTGAAATTCTCCAAGCAAATGTTCAATATGGACGTTAAGTGAAAAACAGCGTTAAGGTAGCACTTTTTTCCGATAAAATATATCTTTATTTCATCATTCTAAGCAAACTGCAGGTAATAAATTTGCATAATACTCGCCAATGGCTACTATAAAAGTCCCATAGAATAAAATAACGTGTTTAAAACTATTAACGGTAGATTAATTACTGTCCGTTAGATAATTGAATCGAATTAAATTGTGTATGTACTGATAGTATTTTAATTTCCCCCAAATATAATTTAACTAACTACGCCGCTGATTCGAACATCATTGCACATTCAATCAAACTGAGTGTGAATGTATTTTTTATCTTCCTGTGCAAGCACTATTAACCTCTTTACAATATTCTTCGGATCCATCATAAAGCCGTTTAATATTAAAAAATGAAAGTGTTACATAAAATAGACTTATTTAACACATCCTTAATTAAATATGTTTTTTCTTCAATGCCTAGAAAAAAGTCATTGTGCAATTTCAGAAAGATATTTTTTATTTTTGCGAGGAGATCCAAAATTGTTATAACATATCCACAAGTTCTTTTTGGGACAACTTTTAATTAGAACTCATGCATGTGTAAAACGTAAGTCTAGTTCAAAGCAATTGATAGGATTTTTTTCCTTCGACAAACCACATTTTATGTTACCCAATCGCGCCGAAACGTATTAAAAAATTACGAAAAACACCGGCAAAACTTGCGTAATCCGGTCCGAACGTTTTACTCGCCTAATTAAAAAAAATAAGGTTTATTGACAGAATTTTTGATAACTTCAGTAATCTAAATTAAGGGTGTTGCATACACCGCAAATTGGAAAATGTTTGCGAAATTGTCAGCGCTGAAGTAATTCGTTTGAAAAACTTTAAACCATCGCAATTTGCTAAATTGCTTCCATTTAACAGTGCATATCATCTGCATTTTGTAACCTTAAGTTTCTTTTTATGTAGAATTAATCACTTTGAGAAATACACATCGCATTTAGGAAATATCGATAAGTTTATTAAATTCGAAACTTTTATCAAGCGCGCTAAATAATTTTAAAACACATCGGGTGAGAACCACCCTGAATTAAATTATTTTGCAATCACCGAGCTGATTGTTTGCAGAGTACCTAAGCGAATAATTAATATCGGCCGATGTCCAGTTAATTAATGGAAATTAACAGGATAAAACAATCAAACGTATAATTGTCAATTTATAGAACAATAAAATGTCTATTGGTTACGAGCAAATAAATTTTCCAAAATTTGCATTGAATTAAATTGAGTAGGTAATTAGTAAAGCAAATTTATTAAGAGTTTTTAAACTTTTTTACAAATGTATAGAAGCCTGTTGAGTAGTTTAAATTATTTAGTGCTACAGACATTTTTTTGAAAATAAGTTTTCAGCCCCTTAGGTTATAAATATTTTATTTTACAGGGGAGCATCAAAAACCACAATCTATTACAATCCGTCTCGATTTTTACAGTCGTACTAGAGCTTCCTGGTTAGAATGAAGAGCAATTAGACGAACGTAAGCGTTCATTACATACTGCAATGAGCGCGTTTGCAATTAATCAATTACCCTGTATACATTTCACCAATGTCCGATCCAGTCTCCTGGTGGAGGTTTTCGACACAAGAGTAGCAGTGAATGGCGGGAGAAACTTTTCGTATAGGATTAGAAAACAGCCGGTAGATGAGTGACGGTTTAGTTCTTTTCTTGTGTCCGTGCTGTGTATACGCTGTCGCTTTTTTAACACGCGGTAAGTGTCTTCTGATTGGTATAATCGGTGCGCCTTTCGCGCGCTCTTCCGCATTACAGCAGCTTTTTTTTTGGTCTCTCCTGCGGAGAGCTTTGTTTCGGTTTTTGGGAGAGCTTCGCGCCCGGCTCGGCCTTGAACGCGTCCGAGGCGAATTTAGGCGGCTCGTCGATTTGTTTGCTTCGGGATTCCCCCGGGTGTGATTCGAAATTTCGTGAATTAATTTCGGTTATTTAATTAATGGGTTTCGAATTTTCGCATAAATAAGTTTACCCTTTCGGAGAGAGGTCCGTTAATGCTCCCACTCTGATCCGCGCGACCTTCATCCCTACTTCAAAAGGGCGGAAAGGGGGGATAATTGGGTGGTAAAGTGGGAGGAATCTTGTTACGATTATTTCGAAAAAAATTAGAAGCGGATATTATACTAATGACGTCAGTTAATTAATGAAAAATGTCAATATGTCCTCGGTTATCAATATCATATTTTTTTACTTTCCATTTTTTATTGTTATAAAAATGTATGTGACATTAAAACATTTATAATTGAATAAAAATTCGCGCCCTGTAGAATAAAACGAATGATTATAAAATAATTCTTATTTTAAAATAGTTATACAAACTTGCGATAGATGGCTTTAACAGTTTTTATTAGTTCTGTATTAAAAAAAAATAGAATTGGAATTTGTACCAAGTTGAAATTTAGAAATATTTACCTAATACTTACTTGATTGTCTGTTTTCCAATACTTTCATTAACTGATAAAAAATGAATTTTACCCTGTATAACTGCAAATAAAACACCGTAAATGTTTCCAATTTATTTAGAGAAAAACTCCGTTTTGTTTATTTTTGTATAATAAAACCTCCATCTAATCGAGATTATTGCCGATTGGATTGGTAAAAAGTAAAAGTTTCGTCAAAGAAAGTTTTCGTTTGATTCGATTCGTTTGAACTATATCGAAATTGGCGATCTCGAATTTCCCGTGGACTTAAAGCGATTAAAAAAATGACACCGATTTTTATCATCCATGAAATACTAAACTAATACCAGCCCAAAGAAGAGATTGTTTAAATAAAATTATCATTAGTTAGAAATTAGTAGTTCAATTCGCCTATAAAGATTCATTAATTCTTTTCTCGTTACCATAGCATTATGAAACAAAGCATTTCCAACGAAAAATCTAAAGAGACTCTGATTAAATAAAAATTAATGGACCGTTGCAATAGTGGAAATTAAATTAAAATCATCAATTTGAAACTTTCGCTCTCTTTTGCAGCCCAAAACTGGGTCGTCTTAAGTAATTCGATATCTCCGGAAATCCAAATAATGTGCTTGAATTTTTTTATAATGAAGTGATCATCATTTTGAATTGTTGATGATTGATTAAATCATAACGCACACGAAATGTAGACGAATTTATTGGTGTGAAAAAGTGAAATTTTAATTATGTAATTACATGAATCGTTTGAAGAGCGTTATAAAAGTAAATGTTCATAAATTTCACAGATAATTAACGTAACTTTAATATTAAGATATTTCGTGTTAAGTAATTTAATGCTTGTTTAGAAATTTTAATGTATGTTCCTCCTTTTTTGGATGTCTTAAGTGTCTTTTCTCGTGTTTTCCTGATGGTAAATTTATTCTTTTTCATCAGGTTTTGATTAATAAATCACTTTTTTTATTCGTTAGAATTAATTCTCTTTGTTGTAATTTAACAATGTACCTACATTTTCATGCTTCATGTCTTTGTTGTTAATGTAATAAATATTGAACATAATTATATAGTGCGGAAAAAAAGGTTGGACAGGAATGTTTGGCAAAAATAATAATTTAAACTAAAAACTAATCATTTTTAACCAATTATTGTTAGTAAAATGTAGGTACTTTCAAATTTTTATTTGCTTTCTAATCGAGTCTTCCCCATCATTAAATTTTATAATTTTTGATAACTTTGAAGTACAATGATAATTCCCAAATTTTTTATAATACAATATTCCATGTTTTCGTTTGATAAAAAAATAATGAGGTATTTTTTTCATTGCTTGGGAAACTGAGACGTTTTATGTTTGAATTAACCTTTTGTGTAAAAATAAAATTAACATGTAAATTGATTTTAGAACTAGTCGCAGTATCGTTTATGCAATTTTGACCTCCAATCAAAGTCGAAAAACTTTTTATATCAATGATTATTGCTTTGTTACAACCAAATATAGTTACTTTTATTTACTTTTCAAAGTTAATTGAAATTAATAATTTTGAATTATTATTAACTAAATATTTATTATATAATTTAATATTAAAAAGAAGTTGCATTAGCAATTTGTATTCCCATTGTGAGGTAATAGTAAAAAATTGTACCTATTATTACAATTATTTAAATTTTATTGTGTACTTGTTTTTCGTCATATCTATTTTCTTTATTCGAAACATCCTGAATACAATATTTCTATTGCTGAAAATTAATTAATATTTGTAATAAGTATAAAAAATAGAAATAGAGTACCTACCGTAGGAAATAATCAGCAAGTAAATGATCGGAAATTCCGTATCGTATGCAATGAAATATTTCTTCTATTAACATTGAACGTTGTAATGACAAAGACCTGTCTCCGGTTAAAACAATAATTCCAGCAATTTTGTAATTTGTCTATTATTCTTGAATAATTGCGGATTTAAACAACACTGATTATGCATGAAAGAAAATGCTTCTGGTGTATTTTGCGATTAACAGATCGAGAAAGCGCTGTAATTTACCGACAAATTGGATTAAATATTAATGTAAAGCTCTTTATTACACTACCTGCACTGTGTTACTTATGGAACTAAACGTTAATACTTATAAAACGTTATAAAATACAGTTAATTAGAATATTAATATTAATTTGATAACATCGGAAGGTTTACAATAAAATTGAATGTACCTTTTGCGAAATTTTGAACACAACTTGGTTAATTCATACATTATTCAGATTTAATTGGGTTAAACCTATTCAAGTTAAAAGCATGGCGAAAATTAACTGCTAATTAATTTTCTAACGACTAAAACAAAAATTTAGTGCTTTGTTCGAACTTCTTTGGGTACTATAAAATATTTGTTTGATTTCTACGTGTATTTACAAGCTTCATTGTTACATCGATTCTGATTTAAATCCTATAAATATTGAATGAGACGATTGATTGTGGTCCTGATGGATAATTGGTAGATAAAAAATTCTAAAATTTAAGAGAAAGCAATTATTGAAAAGTGAAATTTGTAAAACTCGTAGTATTTAATGATCTAGATTTTTCTGTTAGTTTATTTGATTGAATTTTATATTAGAAAATTAAGTATATCGATAAGATAATTTCTACCAAATACAGGAACAATAAAATTGTCGTATTTATTAATTATGGTCTATCAACTAATTATTTCAAAGTCGATTAAAGTACAGTATAATAGCTAAAAAATGTAATGGCTCGTTACTCAAATTTACGTTTGTCTTGGTTCATTCACAGAATTGCACACCCATTCAAATACATTCGTCACCAATAATGCATAGCTGATATAATAACCAATAATTCGTTTATTAATGTCTTAATTGCTTCGCATAATTAAAAGAGAAAGCGCCATTCGGTTTATGAATGAAGAAAAACATTAACGCAAGTTTATTTTTCCGTTACTATTTTTTATTACGCAATTTATACGTACGTTCTACATTTAAATTCATTATAAAAATACTGCCTAATTGCGCATAAATGCTCTCAAAAAATGAGTATCCATTTCTAGTTCGCAGGTAATTGAATAAATTTGATTGAACCATCATTATTTACAATATAAAATCGTTATAGATTTCTTGTTAGAGTGTCTCCTGCGGAGAGAATGTGCACATGTAGCACAAAAGAAAGGGGAATTATTACCACTGAGGCCCTTTCGTTGAGTTTGAAGTTGTTGCTGTGACCTTGATTGCATTGCTCTCTATTGCACGCCGTCACGTTAAATAACTAAAATAGAGCGTTTCGGATAAAAAGGGAGTCGGGCGTGTTGTGCACGATTTATTGTTATTGATTGACCAATGCGATTGGAAACAAAACCGAGCTAATAGGTTGCTCACATCGGGTCGCAAAGAGCTTCAATTCTCTTAGCATGAATCTTAGCTTATCGTGAATGAATTGGGAAATGTGCGGAGTCGAAATTCTATCTTCCGTTTACGAATTTTTATAAGAAGTTTCGTAAATTATTGGCAAATAACTCCCAACATTTCTAAACTTGTTTTTCGGCATTTGCATATTCTCTCAATTTATATAAAATTCGATTCGAAATTTCGAAGTAAATGTTCTGACCCTGCTATTTGGAATTATGTCGAATTTTATTGCACATTGATTAATAGCGAGTGCCTTTGCGATTAATTATGAAAATTTACACTTAATTGTGTCATTGAACGGCGGCTAGGAAGTTTAGAGTAACACAATTGCCAAGTATATTCTCATTAATTCCATCATCATCTTATATTGAAGCTTATCAGATTGAGTTTTTTTATGGGCCGACCTTTACCGGGTAATTATTACGACACAATTAAACTGATGCAGAGATATGTTTTTTTTTCAAATTTTTATCCAAAAATTAAAGTACTCCGACAACCTTGCACGAAATTTTAAAGCTCCTATTTCATCACATTCTAATTGCGCCTTACGCAAAGTACTTCGAATTTCTCCAATTTGTGTAATTGATATCTATTAAAGCGCATTATTATTACATTAAGTTCATCATTCTGCGAATACACGAGGTGTCATTGGCTCCACATTATTACATTTTGTAGGTCTAGGTTCGGTACACCTGTTCAATGTAAACTTCTTTTCCCTACTCTGTCTCACCAATTATATTTTTAAGCTTATACTTTAGCGAAGCGTCAAGATTTTTGTTTCGTAGTGGCATCCTATGAGGTAACAATTGGATGCGTGCGTACATAAAAGTAGCATTAGTTGAGTTACATCGATAGATTCATAGGCTGTTGGTGCTTTGAATTTTTCAGCTGCTCGATTTGTGGTTTCCTTTTTCGATTTCGATTACTTTTGAGGAATATTTTAGGTGCTATTTGATATAAATTTAAACGATCCCAATATACATTTGTTGGATTTTATTTGGAATTTTTAGGTAAGATTCTTTAATTACAATTATGATCAATTATACTTAATAGTTTATCGCGAGTGGTGAGTTATAGGGTAAATTTTTCGAAAAAAAAATCCACACCGGTTATTTTGTGTTGCGTCAAGAAGTGTTTTTTAGAGAAGACTTTTTTATAGTTCACTGAAGTTCGTGTATATCTTAATTCACTTTTACTTTTAAAGCGTACTGTTGTATGAACATTGCGTTTATCTTCTTCGCGAGAACACAATGTATTGCGTAATTAAATAATTTGATAGACGAAAGTGTTAAGTGATTATCGTTTTATATGCAGTAAATGCAAATATTTGCCAAACGATTCTGTTATTACAGTCTATCCAAAACCGGTAATGCACTAAGGTCAACCGCAAAGTGTCTGGGTTTAATTAAACCAGCCAAAGTCTCTGCTTTTTAAAATAATTATAGGTATATAAAGACAATTAACTGATGTACTGACGTATATAACAGAAAAAATAAATTACTGGTATTGACAACTTGTCTGGAATATATAAATATTTACACCAACAATATTTAAAGTTTTTCTGCTACTATAAATTTCATCTATGGAGGATTTTCATGTAGGAATTTCCTTCTGGATTACGCGTAATGCTTAAATTAGCATTTAAGCGATTGTGTTCGGGTTAATTTCTTTTAAATTGAACTTTAATAGTTTGCACAATATTCGTAAAATATAGAAAGTTGAAAGCATGGAATTCGATTAAACATTGGAAATAAATTAGTAACGAATTTTAATTAAAATAATTTTAAATTCTCTACCGGGTCCTAATTTGAGTTTTTTTTTTGACGCGATAATGTGACCTACAATAGCTCGAATAAGTTTGAAACACTCTGTATATTGGTACATACGTTGGGCAATTCTGTTGGACTGGTATTAAAATTGTAAAATCTCCCGAGTATATAAGCCTATCGAGTGAAAGTCTAGATATTTAATACATAGTCTGTAAAGTCCGAATTACAAGTATGTGGCATATGTGTTGATGAATTTTTTTTTGTTTCAGGTTTTTTAAACTACTCTAGTCAAAATGAAGTGTTACGGAAGTCTCGTATGTTTCTTGAGTGTTTTCGTGTTCGTGAGTGCTGCCCCATTTCTAACAGGAGGCGGCCTACAGGTTGGTACTATTTTTATTTAAATTCATTGCGTATAGTATGTTGAATATAACCATGTGATGACGTCACAAGCTGAAATATTGAGAGATTTCTACTGGGCGTTATCACCGTATTTGCTAACATGTGCTTAATTGTGCGCTAATTGTGATTTTTTCGTTGGTTTATATGGAACTGTTGCTGAATATAATCTGCATTTTATTGCATTTTTTACTCAACAATTTTATTGCAACAATACGACCTCCACACAAATATATGTTATTGGAATTTTGCAAATAAATATAGTATTAAAATTTGTATTTTATACTACACCCATATGTATGTTTCTATTTAATTAATGTTTTTATAATGTACACCCATTGTAACTAATCTATTGAATAATAATTCAGTGATTTTAATTTGGGATAATGTAAACACTATTGTTATGTAAAAGTTCACTTTTATATAATTTAATTATATTGTTCCTATTTTTTTATTCTGATTAGTATCTTGGTACAGATCCGTAACGTTCGCATTCACTGAACAGACGAAATTCAGCTGGACTTCCTGTATTCTTTGAAAAACGCAATTGTTGTTTGGAAATTTTTGGTTGAAATAAACACAAAGTATTAGCGAAATGAACCGCATAAGGTCAAGAACGAACTGAGGTTATTTCAAAGAAAACGAAACCTACCGGAGAGTAACATATTAATTAAAGCTTAATATTCATCGCACGTCCAACACCGGGTATTCATCGTCCATTTTGCAATAAAAATATGTATATACCTACATATTCTGGATAGCATTGTTTTGCAGACAAAGCCATTGTGTCGATGTTATTGAAATTTTCATAAACGTGTTTTACATGATCAATCGTCATTATGCATTTTCCACTTGTTGTTCGCCATGTACATATAGATTAACTCTTTATGCGATCTCCCGCAAAAGTTAAATTCCGATTTTACTACAATTTTGTAGAGATATGTTTTAACCTGATTAGCTAATTAACTTTTGAATTCCATTGAGGTGATACTAAATTAATTCCCGTTGAATATATTATGTTATAAATAAACGTTCAAGGCTCTAGATTTGAACAATCTCTTTAGAGCGCTGGCGAAGTGCGAGGGAGAAAACGTGTCAGCCGAAAAATTGATATTTTGCAATGAATATATTATTGTGATAAAATTTAGAACGAGAGTAAAAGCGCGTTGTGCCGTAATTGTAATCCAATTGCATTACCTAATGCTCAATAAAGACAATAGATTATTGAAATCGGTAGGCGTTTCTGTCAATTCTAACGATTCCAACCCAATTAATTAATTCGAATTTTGTGTAATATTGTATTGGGCATTGAGTATTTCAACTAGTTACATTTTTTTGATGTATGATAGGTATAATATAGGAAAAACTTTCCACTAATTTTTATAAACAATTCGTGATTCGAACGATTACTTTACAATAGCGCTCTAATGAATTTAATGGCTACTAAATTACACAATGGGGTTTTGGTAATACATTGTCATTACCGTAGGATTTTTAAGTCTCATATGCAATTTAAATTCCATCCGAATTAACACTGCAATCCATTTCCTACTAGCTCATTCGAGAAAACCAAAACCTACCCATTTAATTATTACATTAATCCTGCACGCGCTTAACAACGCTCGTTAAAAATACTGGTTAACCGAGCCAGTTCCACTTACCTAAAATATTCGAAAGATAAAAACCGAATTTGGTATTAATCGAAGTTGGAAAAATCCGCTGTTAGGTAACATTATTGCGTACCGGACAATCAAATAAACGACGACATTCGTCGAAAACGAAACATTAGCCAGAAGTCCAAGGTCGCAAAGAAAGTAAAGTGAAAGTATGAAAAGAGCGAGTCGAAAAAATTCGTGCAACGCATCATCAATCTTACGTAAGACTGGTATTAATTTTATTAGACAGTAGAGTGTCTAATCCGCGCGTATGGATCGATTTTTTGCTATATTGTGCTTATCCAGAAATCGGTTTGTCCAGTAGGTATCATTTTTTCACTGGATTTAATCCAAAGACGATTGATCTACTGGATTCGTAGATATAAACTCTTTCGATAATGAAACGAATCATACTTCAACTACTTAACCATCTCAATGTTTATTAAATTCCATATTATTTGTTCTCTGTGTAATTAATCCATCCAAACATTCACCTATATATCGCTAAATATTTAATATCCCCCGATTCGCTACTTAAATTGAAACCACCACTTCTTGTATCATTTAAAACCTCTATTATTCATTTCCCTGGATAATAAATCCCTTGATCAATCATATCCTGGATAGTAGATAATTAATTCAGTTATGTTTCCCTTCGTGGATAAGAATCTATCCCAATTGTACTGATATTTTGTGATTAAAACTAACATGAATTTTGAATTGTTACTGTTATGTGAAATGTTGAAATTGTGTGCAAATATTTAAATGATAATTCTATTGGTTAGCTATCCGGAAATGCTGGTGGAAATAATCAAAACGCCGCCGGAGGAGGCGGCTTAGGAGGTTTGACTAATATTTTATCGCAAGTCGATTTACCAGGATTGTTGAGAGGAATAAATAGTTTTGTAAAATTAGTCGGAGTATTCTGTCCGCCATGTTCGCAGGTAAACTAAATGATCCAGTAAAACAAAATAGGTAAAGTAAACCGAAGGTAAGGGCATAAATATGGTGTTTTTAGATTTTAGACAACGTTATCCAAAACGTAACGAGCACGGCGTTTAGAGTGTTCGGCCGAGCGATCCTGCAAGGCGGCGGTTTGGGCGGCGGCGGCGCCAGCTCGGGCGGCGGCGGCGGCGACGCCGGCAACTCCGTGTCGGTCGTACTGCCGACGTTCCCGCCCGACGAAGACGACTACGACGACGAGGAAACCAGCGAAACGCCCTCGTCGCAGGTCGAATCCTCCGAGAAAATCCAGTTAGATTTAAGAGCTAAAAATGACACGGAGAGCGCGACCACATCGGGCGAAGAAGCACCTTTTCTTGTGAGGAACTCCACCGTATTTGCTCTCGAAACTCTCTCGACTCGATCCGCTCCATTCGACCGGTTACTAACTGCATTTTCTTTCTCTTCCAGTCCACCAACAAAGAAGATAGCAATGTGATAGTGAGGAGGCACGCGAGGGTCGCCAGGGAGGTGGCGGCGGAGGATCAAGTGGGGGCCGAATCGGCGCCCCAGCCCGACGAGCTCGACGACCTCGAAGAAGACGACCAAGATAGGAACAAGAGATTCCTGCCCTTCGGAGGTGGCGACGGCCATTCCGGGGGGTCCGGAAACTTCTTGTTCGATATTATCAGGGTAAGCAGAAACGCGCAGGGCTGAAGTGGCTTCGAAACGGAAGAAAGAGCCAATAAATATGTTGTAGGAAATTTCTTGTTTGTGTTAATGGTGTGATTACTCCAAATTGGTCCGCGTAATGATTATTATGTTATTATAACTCTTTCTTCCGTCTTTAACAATATTTTGTAAATATTTTTACTTCCTATAAAGACATTGTACAGTATTTGCCTACCTTATTATATACCTACTATAAAATTATAAATGTTTTTTTAACAAACTTTCTCGCATTGATTTTGTTTAGTTGATATTTGTTTAGTCTTGACGATATATGAGTATATTTTAAATTTAGATACCACGTATTTTTAGAGATATATTTTGAGGTTGCATGTAATACTTTTTTATTATACTTGCTATTACAAGATAGTTTATAAAACTTGGTTATTATTCTTTTTTAATATCCCCGATGGCGTGACGAAATTATTATTAGTTAGAAAAATGCGCAGCGTTACTTCAAAGACAAATAACATGTTGTCGATATCGATTCACAGTTTTTTACGATCCCGGTTTACGGCGAGATTAAATTAAAAATTTCTTACATCGATTTTATTGTGATGAAATCGAAAGTCCGCGGTTATTGCAAAAGTGTATCACCGTGACTAAGGCATTCCATGCACTATTCCATCCAGCGAAATAGTGGGTGCGATATGTTACGAGCTGAAGAAAGGATTCGAGGTATAACCGAGCTTAAATATTAGATAATATGCCTTTTATTCTGTGTAGATTTTATACTTTCGTATTTGTTGTCAAATATTTAAAATCGCTAAATAAAGAAGTTCTTAGTAATAATCCAATATATTTAATCGTACAGTTGATATTTTAATAGCGTAAGAAACCGCTTTTCAATATAATTTACCTACTCTTGAATGTTGAATAGTGTAGGCGGGAATAAGTAACGGTTTGAGGCGTTACGTAAGAGCAAATAAATATGGATAAGTAGAATAACGTAACACTTCTTTTACCTCAAACGATAAATGCGATCGCAAAATTCAGCAGTGTATGAGCAACTTTAATTAATCGATATGCTTACACCAAACCGAGTAAAGAATTTAAGTCTGCTTTCACTGCTCTACTCCGCGATAACATCGACCGTATATCGATGGGGAATTCAGTTGAAATAACGATTTTTTAAACGTCTAGAATCCGATAGACTTCCGTGTAATTACCGCAATTAGACGTCGAGCTAGGCGACCATTGTTACAATTACTCCACCTCGAAAACTGTGAATCGATTCCCCGGATCAACGAAACCGAATTGTTTTTACGTTTAGGATCGAATAGGACTCCTGCAAACCGATAAACCTAACCGAATTTCTTTCGAATAAACACAGTTAAGCTTTTAGAACACCGCTGATCGCGCCGCTCGAATGGTGGGCACCGTCTACAGGATGGTGGCCGGCACGCAGCACTTCGGATGGGGTGCCTCCAGCACCGAAGCGCCCCCATCTTCCGACCACCTCGCAGCTCAATCCTCTCCAGCTGTGCAGGTACTGCCACAATGACGTTGACATGTTTTCAGATAAACCCGAGCCGGGGAAAATTGGGGTTTTGCGAACGCTAATTGCGATAGAAAGTCAATTTAACGGGCCCAATTTTCCTCTGCTCGGTTGCGTAATTAACTTTGGTAGGTAAGTTGTGTTTACGTGTGTGCTTACTTTTGCGAATGTTGTTATTTTCCATATTCTATGCATGTCTGATATTTTTAACACACGGCCGCATTAGTATTTGTAGCTTGTTCGGTTTTTTGCTTACTACATACCTACTTATTGCTGTAAACTGCATCGTTTTTTTTTACTTTCGTGCGGATGAAAATAATCATTTCATATGCAGTTGTGTATTTTTATACGAAATCGTATGTAAATTTCGAATAGGTATGTAATAAACTCGCTATTCTCTGTTGCTTTAAAGCTTTACTAATCATCTTAAACACTTTAAAGTAGGAATACTAACAGGATAAAAATTTTGGTGTGAATGCGTGTATGTGTAAATACATTTTTCATCGTATACTTTAAAATAGTGCTTGGATTGTGTAGTTAACTTTGTATAAAATGCAGTTTGTAAATATATTTTTCTATTACCGATTATTATACAATTTAAATTAAGAAGGCAAACTTAAACGTGTATAAATCTTACGTCGTCATTTTCAAGCACTATTTCCATACATCATATGTGTTAACAACTTCATTTAGCAAATATCTGCCTATTAATTCATCAGTTTGTGTTTTACCTAACCCCATATGACTTGACTGACGATGACAATTTACGCTGTCCCCATCTACAAACCAGATTACCCGTGTCTAAGAGGAGAGGAGCTGAATATGTTGTAAATTTATTATGTTTTAATTCGATCAATATTATTTATTGATTGCCGGTAAGTAATTGCAGAACCGAATATATTTATATTCTTTCGAAACTTGGTAGTTTTAAGTGTCTATAAAATACACTCAATTAGCTTTGCGAAGTCGCAATAAATCAATTAATTGAAAACTACGACAATCAACTTTTTCTTTAGGTGAAATATTTAAGTAGAAAACTAGGTGGAAATATATTACGTATATATTTCATTAATTAATATGAACAGTAGTAGGTAACTCTTTTTTAATCTGCTATTCTTCCCGTAAATTATTTTTACCTATTTCGTTAAATATCTTCTCAATAAATTTCAAAAAGAATAGGTGGTTCTGTCTAATAAAGGAGTACACATCGTTGAAGAATTTAATTTATAACCTTAATTTTCTCGTAATGAACATTCATTTGTATTTATTTACTCCGAACTCCAGAAAGAGGATTTTATGCGAACAAAAATTACACCAGACGTTAGAAATAAATATTAGGATATAAATTTTAATTTAAAGATGCGATAAAACGTTCGCGACTTCCACAAATTTGCAATTCTAAAAAATGTTGGAAACTCTAATCTTATTCTTAGGAAAGAAATCTTATGTTTCCTTGCCATTAAAATTAGTAGTGAAAGGCATTTCGGACTTTCTATGCAGCTGTTTGAATACCTTGCAAAGTGTATTCTCAAACGGAATCAGTATGAAAAATGTGAATTACTCTGTATGCAGAGTTGGACAAAAGTCCGGAATAAAATTGTTAATTCACCGTCGATAAATAATAATTTTATTCCGGTCTTTTGCCTATCAAATGCCAACCCTGTATACACTAATTCATTAATATGTAGGTATAATTCAACCCATTTTTTTCTGATACCATTCGCATAATACCTACATTTGAATTCATTTAATTGTGCAACATAATTGAACATTCACTCTAATAAATTAATATTATTTGTTAAATTCTGATATATTTAACGTTCGAAATTAGCCTGAATTGGACCGACTAATGACTAACCGATATACGTACAGTTTTTGTTAATAGTAAGCGTTCGTAATTATTTATCGGTATATTTCTAAATTTAATTGGCGATACACTGAATTTATAATTTTGTTGGAAGTTGAGCAATACAAAACCAGTACCTGTCTGCGACAAATAAAAGACCAAATCCGATAATTCATAAAGATTTTTTAATAACAGAGGCTGGTCCTTGAACTATTTTTTCTAGCCGAAATTTGTGGATATCGTTAGAAATTGAATTATTCCTCGTATGAATATTTTCTGCTGTATAGTTCATAAAGCTACCCTAAACAAATTTAGTGCATCTTTAAATTATTTTTTATTACCTTATTAATTAGTTTGTGGATGAGGTATTTAGAATGATCGAACTTGATATAGAAAAAATTGTAAATAATATATTGTACAGTCTATTATATAATAAAGTGGTTAAAAATTTGTGTTTAATTTTATTATTTATGTAAATACAGCAGGTACCATTTATCTGAAAGTGCTAAAAAGTGAGAGGGCAATCTAGTATTATGCAATTTAAACAAAACTTGTTTTTTATATTTACAATTTTAAGAGTCATTTTAATACTTTTAAATAAGTGGTCCTTCTACATTCTTTTGTACAAAATCTTTTAGCTACACCTGTAAATGAATAGTAGGTATATAGAGTAGGTAAATATTTGGCAATAATGCATGTACAATTTGCAAATGTTAAATTTCCAAAATACCGCACTCATTATAATACTTTTTGAACAATTTTGCGAGTAAGTGCGCACAGATTTCCTTATAAATTTTTAAATAAAATCATGCATGCGAATGTCCCATGCATCCTCGTTGTAAATTCATTTTCCCAGCTCGCTGGCCCTTCATCTCGATTCATTTGCGCCGTTTAGTTCCGCTGTCGTAAATGCCCGCTGTTAATGGATTAAACGTGTGATCTTTTAGTTGGTGGCCGGTTCCGGAGCGACGGAGGAATCGGACGAGAAAGCCAACTCGCCGGAAGGAGGCTCGATCGAGGCGGACGCGAAGAGCGCTGATCACTACAGCGAAGGAATTCCCGGACCCATTACGAGATTGCTCGTCATCGCCAATAGAGGAGTCGCTAATTTAGTGCAAGATTTGATTTTGGTATGTCGTTTTATCCTTTTGCTCGGATCGCCTTTCGTTGGCCGGCGATTAGAATTAATAGCACAACAGTCCGCGTCCGGATTACACTGCATTTTGTATTAACCTGCGAGGCATGAGTGTTCGATGTTCATGTTTTAACAACGTTTTTTTTTATTAATAAGTGTTACTTACGAAAACGTGATATTTCAGAAAACTTCCAACTCCATTCGTAACTCGGTGGCGGTTACGAAATCAAAAATAACGAAAAAATTGGAAAACTTAACGAATGTTCTTCGTAGTTCCACCAAGAAATTCTAGTGGTTACATTTTTAACACAAAAAACGCATAGGTAGTTGATTGAAGCAATCATCATTTTCATTACTTTCTAACAACAATTCGGAACAAATATAATAAACGCATCTCTCATTAATCAAAAATTGTATACCTACAATATTTATTATATTTGTCTCCCTAAGCATGTTTATGTAGTTTAACAATTTCATATTTACTAACAATTTTATCTACTATAGTACTTCATGCATCTATTGAAAGGGATGGATCTTTCAGATACGATTTATCTACAAATTTTCTCTTCGAAATTCCCTCTTTAAATCCCACCGGCGCGCTCCGCTGATTTTTATTGTTCGATTTATGCTAGATAGCGTTACATGTCAAGGCGTCCCTTTCAAAATCCAGTGCAATGCGGATTTTATGTAAATTTCAATTGTGAAATGCGTTCGTTTAATTGCTCGTTATCATATTATAAATAAACGCAAGATAACTTTCAACTAACCGCTTTATTAACGATGCTTTCGCTTAAGGGCTTGCCAGCTTTAACTAGGTATTAGATATTAGAAAAATGTTTGGTATATGATATTTGTTTTACACCAACAATAGAAGAGAAGTATTTTAGAGTACTTAGTAGTTCAAAAACGTTGAAATTAACTATATCAGAAGTTTTCATTTTTTGTTACGTTGATTGAAAAAGCGCTCGTTTTTCGATGAGAAATGTTTGTTAATGCACAAAAAACGGTTTCATAAAAGCATCCGTTTGTTCTCATTTTTTTTAATTATTCTCATTACTATCGAAACGTCCGTACAAAAAGTAGAAATAAAATATTCGTGTGTACATAACAAACCTTGTTAAACGGTTTTAATTGAGTAGTTACATCGTAACCGATTTCCTTTTCGCCGATTTTAATGAATCTTCGACATGAGGAGTTTGTGAAAAATTAATGAATTTGTTTGTTTTCAGCGCCTCGCCCAAACCAGTGAAAGACTAGTGAACTTCAAGGCTCGTTTGATAACATCGTTGATTTAAAAACTGCCATTTTTCCCGTAGAATTTTTAAAAGCATTTGTTGTACAGACACATTCTAACGACATTCCCACGAACTATTTATCGATGTTTATTTTTCTTCCGATGTACCATCAACAAAATTATCGCCGAAATTCGCGTAGAGTTTTTCGAATTCTACCATTCGAAGCTGTGGGATGTGTGATTAACAAAAATCGAAATTTTTAAATTTATTTATGGATTCCTATATTGTTATATTTTATTTAAATTTGTAAATAGTTGCTAGATTCCATTTTATTTAATTTTATGTGGCTTTACAATAGCCTATTGCAATTTTATGATGTAAATTGAGAGTACTTTCGCCAAAATTTATTAGAAGAAAAAAGGAATTGATGGGACTCGAGCCCTTTCACAAAGTATGATCGTGAGAATAATTTTCTTAAAACAAGAACTTACCTTTCCCTTAAATCTTCACTCTATTTAACTTACTTAATCGTCCCCTTTTGTACCTCTTTATCTATTTTTCTAATTCTCATCTTCATCAAAAGTGTCGATTTCGCATTCTTACCCTTTAAATTCTTTTTTCACGATCAAATATTTGTATGAAATATTCTGAAGGAATACTACAAACTTTTTAATCCAATTTTTGGAAATTTTAACAAAAAATTCTATTCCCAGTGTGGTATGTAGTTGTATTGAAAGTACTTAATTTCCGATATTGTTGCCTATTACGTAAATTAGAGAAATATACTTATTCGTCATTTTTTTTAGTATCTACTTCGCATTTTATTCAAATATTCTGTAATGGAATATTCAACCTGAACAATTGCTCATTCTAAATCTAAAAATGTCAAGAGTGATGTTCTTAATCAGTGAACAGTTGTAGATATACATTTTTTTATTATTTTCTTCTGTAGATAGCTAGTAAAAATTATTTAAATCATTATTGTCGGTTACGAGATTTGTGTTATTACTATAGAAATTTTATTGTAAAAATTAGGCTTATTGATATAAATTTTTTAATTTTTAATATCTCATTTTTATTTCCCTCGAGAAATAATACTTCGAATAGATACCCACATTTATCGAAATGTATTTATTCCATATCAAAAGCTACAATGATGTTACAATTACAGGTATAAAAATGAAAACCTTTGGTTGTTTACTATACAAATAAATTACATAATACATAAGTAGCTCGATAGTACTAGTTTGATTATAAAAAAGTAACAATAAACTTTAAATCTAATGTTTTCAAATACTGTTGGAATTATTCAATCTGTCACTTAAAACTAAAAGAAATGCTAATTGAAAACGGTATAAAAATTCCACCATTATCAAATATCAATGAAGAGCATATTTTACACTAGGTAGCTCGAAACTTAATAAAGTACTTAATAAGGATGTGATTGGTAATCTTCTAAAATTTCCTATAGGTATAGAAAATTCTCCTAACACACCACACCCAATCAGTCTCAACACGATAAGTACTGAACATTACACATAAAAACTAAATTCTAAATTATAAATTTACACGTGAATCAACACATTCATAAAATAAATAATTTGATACTTAATTTACGCTTTTTTTAACACAGACTCGAATACTTAACAATACATTTAAGGCTGAATATAAAGAATTTGGTAGGAGCAAGCTGCATTAAAACCAATTAGGTTCCTCGTTAATCGAACTTAATGAGATGTAGCGTTCAATCTTTGGTAGATAGAAATTTAATTTAATGAGAACATTTCAGTGTAAATTGCACGACTCACAACGCTACATCCAATTTACGTACGAAATTCAACAATTTTCGCTTATTTTGGTAACAAAACGAATCAGTCTATTCCACACAAATTAGCTAATAATAATTTAGCACAACGAATAGCTACCCGGATTATTTGGCACTCTTATGGTTTTACTTCGAGGTTTACTATTATTTTAATAATAACTGGAATGGTGAGTATTTTATAAGATAAATTAATTGTGAAATATTGCACAGTCATTTTTGTTAGAATAAAATAGGTATGAACATGATTTTTGTATTGGTGTCGAGTTAGTATGATCTAAGCAAAATGGAGAAGAGTTCGACTTTTCTTACGGCTGTATTTCCTAAAATAATTGAATATTTTCAGCAATTGAAAACTGCTTTGAGTTCTAATAACTTTTCTTTTCTTCATTGTATTCTAAAAAAGTGTTTATTTTTGGCCCAAGAAACTTAAAACAAAGAAATTACAACAACATACCCTTACATATGTCATTTGTCATTTGATGTTACATTTCACTTTTGTTCGTTTTTTCTAGTCAAAATTTGAAATTTAAAAAGGCCATGTTTTCTAAAATATTGAATATTTTCAGCAACTAAAAACTGCCTTGAGTTCTAATAACTTATTTCTATTCATATATCTGGTTAAAACTCGTATATCTCACATCATACTCCTCTCCATTAAGATAAATTATCTTCAATGATTCCGCTCTAGTCACCTTACTTCGACACACAATATGAAATAAAAATATTTTCCACGTAAAACCATACTTGTATGTACAATTTCAAAACTCGTTCAATTGTAATTATTTACATTTACTGAACATCGCAATGAAGTGATGTGATTCGCGGCGATTCTGCGATCATCTAGACTGCCGAGTGTTTTCCGATAATTTCCCCAGACTTCGAATGGGTGAATTTCCCGTCGAATTCCACCGACATCGGCTGTTGCAGAGGCTCTCGTTCTTCCCTACAAAAATATTAACCATTAGAATATACCAGGGAAATTCCAATAGAACATCAATAGAGTATTTTGAATACTAGTTATTCTTAACTGCAGAATAGGCAAACGTATTTGTAAATAAAAATATCGTGCAATAAGCGCAATTATATTAATAAGAAGACTGCTTTACAGGTGCCCCAAATTGGTGTAAATGATTGAAGAATTAGAGGTATTTGCAGGAAACTTCTACATGCTCTTTTCACCAATTTGAAACATCCAAAACCTAATTAAATTGTATCTTCATCCAAAAATTCGGTGCGCTAAAATATAAACCAGCATTTAATGAAATTAATCATCGATAAACAGGTGCATAAGCGCAAATATTCAACCACTATGTGAGCCATAAAAGTCTACAGAAAAATAACTCAGTTCTTCCAAGCATACTGGAAAACTCATAACCCGTTTGGTCGCATAAATGTCCTCGCATGCAACACGAGCATGCTTTACAGTATAAAACCTTACGTAGGAGTCGTGGTCGTGGCCAATTTAATTGGTTGCGGTAAATTCAAACTGCTGGGATGCGCCGGCGCAGCTTTGTAACTGCAATAAGGCAGGGGAAAACGCCAACTGTATAAACTGAAATTTTCCTTCGTATGTGTACATTTCAATCGGTCACATATACGTATTATAATCGAGCAGTATACTAATGCTTCATAATAAGTACATGTTAAAGTGATAAAGCGAGTTGTAGTAGCCTAAGATACTGTAGTAGAAATTCGCTTGGTGGGATTTACCTGCCCAGTTTCGGGTCCTCGTCGTCGGTGTGCTTCGTCCTGGCGTTGCAGCACATCGCAATCATGCCCAGCCTGTTGACGAAGTAGCAGGTGAGGTCGAGGAGGACGAGCACCACGACGATCGCCGCTATCACGATGCCTATTATGGCGGAGCTGCTCATCGCTGGTGTTTGCATCGGTACGATGGGATCGATTCCTGGACGAAACGAGAATTAATTTAGCTAAGTTAGGACCGGTACCGTTGAGAATATGTTTCCGAGTAGAAGAAGTTTTTGTTAGATAGCCTGTGTGGTTTGATTAAAGTTGGTGCTGCAATTATTAGTGTTTGAATTTACAGTTTAAGTTTGAGTAATGAAATTGTTGGTAATAATTGCAACAGCAACGAAATTGGTGTATTTAGTAGATAGTTTTGTAAACGAAGATTTAATCAAGCATAGATTTCTACACCATAACACCTTTAAGTTTTTCCGAAATGAAGATATTGTAGGTACTAGTTCAATATTTTATAAATAAATTAGAAACCTGCTGCATTTTCATTTAATATTTTCTTCTATTTAGATATCTTCATGTCGGAGAAAATAGTCGAATGAACAATAAAGGAAAATATAACATATAAAAATATCATCCTCAAAATAGTTGCCGGAAAAGGATCCTTTATTTTTGGAAACAAACAGATTTAGCTATTTTGAGAACAAGCTCGATATTTCGACAGTTCGAGATTCTGTCAAAATTTCGAAAACGTAACCAGAACTTAACCAATCCCTAAGTACATTGATCTATTCTAAACCTAAGACAGAAACATGCTGGTTTTCGAATGTAACTGGAACATTTTTGCGTACGAATTTCCTTACGTGGGGGGAAAGAAAATAATGACGGGTATGTACAGTTCGACGAAAATAGTTGTATTTGTGAGTTTTAATTGATGATCGCGCAAGCCACGTCTCCAGCTATTTCTGTCGGTCTGTACATGAAATAGAAACGAAACTGGAGATTCAATCCGTTTTTATTGTATTAATATTTCCGTGTGTATATTGTTGCATTAAATGTATAAAGTTGTTCAAATAAAACGAGAAATAATCTACTTAAAACGCGATTTTCATTTTCCTGAAGCTTATCCATTTATTAATTATAAAGTTAACTCAGGAAGGGTAGTTATTTTTTAAAAGAAGTAATGTACAATGTAAACTTCAGGAAAAAAAATAATTGACATTTTTTTTCAAAAATGTGAACAAATATTTGTAGATACAATTTCTTGTGGATACGAGTACAAATTGTTAGAAATAAAGCATGCATCAAGCACTATAAACAAAAATGTAAAAAGCTTAGGGTCGACTACAATGTTAGATTTCCAAAATGCATCTACGACTAAACGATTCTCAAAAATTCCGCAAAAATCGGAAATTTTCGCAGAATTTCGTAAGCTACGTACACTTTTCGTCGAAACTCCATCGTACACTGGCAACTGTTCTCACTCTAAGCCGCTTTTCACACTTCACAAATTACAAAAAAAAACAAACAAAAAAAAGTGCACGCAAATATATTAAACACAAAAAAGCTGATTTCGATGGGATTTTATTTTTTTAAAAATTGACAATTTTTATAAACATGTAGTACAGATAAAATTCTGATTGATTTCTCATTTAATATATTATTGTCCAACTAGGTTAACACTTTCCGAACGGAACAAACTATAATAACAATGTTCTTGTGTTAAACGGAATTGTATGGTAGATATACAATAACTACTTACGAACTAAAAAACTGCGATTCAGACATCTAATCGATGAAAATTTAATGTAATAATGACGAATAACGTGCAAGACATGCAGTTAAAACGATAAAACAAAACGATCGAATTTGCAGCATATTTGACGAAATGATCTCAGTCTTTAATATTTTTTCCAAACAAATACAGGGTGTCCCGCATAAGAACCTACACAAAGCAGGATAACACAACCAACTTTTCAATTATCGACGATTTTAAGTCACATTGATAGTGTATATGACTTTACTTTTTAGCATTTTAAATGAGATATTATTTTTTTTTAATTTATACCTCCACTCTGAAGGCCTATAACTTCTCATGAATGTTCTCACGCCCCTGCTCTGTGTCGGTTCTAATGCGGGACACCCTGTATAATAATAAACGAATTTATAATTGGTGGTTGCAATTGAAATATGCTGCAAGAACGGCAACAAAACGAAGCAATTCTTTTAAAGGATATACCATATATTCAACATTTATTCGGTCAACAGTTACAATAAGTATTTCGATAAAAATTTTTAAACTATGATTGGCAATTGGGAAATTTTATTACATTATATAATAAGGTATCTTATAAGTATTTAATTCTACTCGTGCTAGCACTCGTTCGCGGAAACGCACAAAATTAACCAACTTTCCGAATTAATCCTACTCGATTTTATTCCTTCGAATCGGCGAAATTTAATTTATTTATCACCTTCCCATTTTCCTCTTCTGCTAATTTAAATCATCAGACATTTCGAGCGTAACATTTTTGAAGGAAAATACACGATACAAAAAGCTGACAAAAAATATCCAATTAAACCAAAATAAGCCAATAAAAACGGATTCAACATTTAAAGCTGCAACAACTGAAGTAATAATTAAAAAAAACGAGTACAAAAATAAAATGTTTGTACGTCATGCATCGGTGCGATATCAAAATAAAATGCTAATCAGAAATAATGTATGAGATGTAGACGCCATGCATTTAAGCCGTTCGTTATACAGGTTGTCCCATTGAAATTTCGTTACATATTCAAGAATATATCAGGACAGCCTGTATGCCTTTGAAAATGAGACACACTGTATATAGACATTTGAATAATAACGAAAATTACGCTATATCGAATGTAATAACGATTTCCTATACGGGTGGATAAAATAAAACCGGTCAAAATTCGATATGATGCAGTCTTTAAATATTTATATACACTTTAATTAATTTAAATCATTGCTTTAATTCCTTTTCAAGGAACGTGCAGATTTAACAAGCAATTGAGCAAATTTTAAATTAGCTTTAATTAATTAAACTATTGATATGCCCTTCATTGAAATATCTCTTTTACTTTATCCACCCCCTCTTATCTACTTTTATTTACACCTCTCGGAGCCGCATTTACTCGGGAACACATTGACGTCGTATAGTTTATAAATAATTTCGGATATATTTCGTTTTTCTAATAAATCGATTATTTTAGCACCATTGATACAGTCGTACGAATATCATCACTACAATAGTCATCGCAGCTTGTAGAAGACGTAACGAGCTTATTGCCGTCGCCGAATTCCAATATAATCCCGAAGAGGCTGGGGAAATTATCAAAATGCGTGAGATTCAGCAACAAAAACATATCGGATATTTACCAAAAAAATAATCATATTTCGTTGCTTTTGTTTGTTTCATTGAGCGCAAGATTTTTGGTAAATATCTTTTGAAAAATCCACCACACTAATCTCGTATAATATCGAAATAAAAAAATAAAAATACTTACTACTTACGAGAAATGCGAAACGAAATTTGTTAATAACCCAAAACAATAAAATTCGTTGTAAAATGAACACAATATAAAAAAATACAGTATCGATGAAACAAAATAAAATTCAGTTTTAATCCATACACGATGAAATTGATGTGAGATATACGGTTTTTAACGTAATAGTAGTTTTCATTTGCTCAAAATATTCAACATTTTAGGAAATATAGCCCTTTTAAATTTAAAATTTTGACACGGGACGTTTAAAGTCGCTAACCAATCACAAAACGAACGATCTTCAATTTGACATTAGTGACATAAGAATTCGAACGAAATTTTCGAAAGAGTAGAAGAAACAAACAAAAGTGAAATGTAACATCAAATGACAGATGACATATCTACGGTTACGTCATTGTAATTTTTTTATTTTAAGTTTCTTGGGCCAAAAATAAACACTTTTTTAGAATACAATAAAGAATTTTCACAAAACGGTATGAAACAAGTTTTTAACTACAATAATTCTTAATGTGATTAGTTAATTACTGGCGACGTATTTTAAACATTTAAAATAAAAAAAAATCGTACTCCTCTCTATTATACTACATCTCTTTAAAAAAATACAAACGGCGCGTATGGATTAAATAATATCAAACATTATTGTAAACTCACGTAAAATGTCACAAAAGCTTACAATACAATAACTAAGCTCCCTTCAAGTTCAGTGCACCATTCGAAATCCCAACTCGCAACTAGCATCGCAGAACTTGAAGAAAACAACACAAAAAAAAAACTGGGAAAATTTGTACTATTACCCCGAAACACAAAAAAAAAAACAAAACATTTGGTAAAAAAAAATCACGATCGTAACTACCACATCAGCGTACGGCGTAATAACAAAAAACCGCGAGCGCCATCGAAACGACCCGCGCACGCGTCGAATCGGCGCCCGATCCGTACCCAAGGTAAGTATTATAGCTGTAATATTCTTTGTTCTCACCTCTGGCCGTTTTGACGCGCAACACAGCCGGCCAGCTGTCGCCGATCGAGTTGCGCGCGCGCAACTCGATCTTGTAGGTCGTGTCCGGCCGCAGCTTGTCCAGCTCGAAGCTGGTGTACTGTATGGACCGCTGGATGTCGTTCACGCAATCGCGATCCCTCCACTCCCCGTTGAACTTTTCAGTCTAAAAACATACGATTACTAACCTACTACTAAACTAAACCAGTCGCTCGAACTACTTACGATGCAATAATCGATCAGGTAGTACAATATGGGATCCCCGTTGTCGTTGGGCACGCTCCATCTCAGCTCGAAGTGGTCCGCGTACGGGCTGGCGGCCGCGGTGTCTTCCCGATTGGCCGTGTTATCGATTTTATTTCGATTCGATTCGATTAGGATCTTCGGCTGCGTGGGCACCGATCGACGGGGCATCGTCACGGATTCGGCGTTTATGAACGGTCCCATTCCAACCTCGTTCTTGGCCGCGAACTGGAAGTGATAGGTTTCCTCCGGAATCAATCCTTCCAGAATGTACGGGGCTCCTGAAAACACACCAGGAAATTAACCACCCTTCGAGCGATGGTCGTTGGCGCGCATACCGAAGCTCCAAGTGTGGTTTCTAGCGTAATCCCACGATAACTCCCTCTCCGGTTTATACCTGACGGTGTACGATTTTAACGGTAATCCGTCGAAGTTGTTAGCCGGAATGATGCTCCATTTGATGGTGGTAGCGGTGACGTACTCTTTGCGCACTTGCGAAACCGATCCGGGCACGAAGCCTTGCTTCAGCTGAATGAACATGCTGGCTTTGCCCAGGTTATTGGAGGCGATGCACTCGTACCGGGTGAAATACCGGCGATCGTTGTGCGGATTGATGATCAAATACGACACCGGCCCGTTGCCGATTTTGCGGAACACGTTGTTGTCCTGGATCTCGATGTCGCCGTATTTCCACATGATGGTGGCGTTCGGAATGGCCTCCGGCAGGCAGGTTAGATTACCAGGTCTGTTGTCCCAGCTCCAAACCGGCGGGAGGTCTCTCGTTCGAGCGAACGTCGGCGGAAATAGGGTAGTTATGTGGCCGTTTTTGTAGGCGACTCCCGCCGTGTTCTCGGCCACGCACTCGTACAGCCCGTCGTCCGATCGCGTCAGATTCGAGATGAGCAACGTCCCGTAGGCCTCGCCCTTCTCGGGATTGTACTCCTGCTCCAGGAATATCCGGCCGTCGTCCAGCTGCTGGCCCACCTTGAACGGCTCCCGTCTGCTCAGCTTGCGGAAGGTCACGCTGGGCGGCGGCCGGCCGTACGCCTTGCAGGTCAAGTTCGTGTTCGCCTTCACCGGGTCCGTCGCGTTCTGCAATTGGAAGATGCGCGGCTTCACCAGCACGTTGACGCGCACCGTCGTGTTCACCCGGTCGACCGAGTTCTCCGCTATGCACTGGTACAAGCCGTCGTCGCTCTCGTACTCCACTCGATTGATGATTAGCTGGCCGGTGATTTTTTTCACCTCGAAACGATCGGCCACCGACAGGTCTTGGCGGTCTCGGAGCTTGATCCATTGGTACGACGGGGGCGGTTTGCCGGTCGCGTTGCACAAGGCGGAGGCCGATTCTCCTTCGACGATGGTTATGGTGTCCATGGGTTGGATCTTCGGCGGTACTTGCACTTCGACCTGATCGATGAAACAAGATAGAAAAATGCTGATTGGTAATAAAGATTGCTAACAAAGGAAGCAATGATTAATATCTAAGTGGAAGATGCATTAAAGAGGAAGCAAAAAGTGTAGAGAATGCGCTTTAATAGGGAAATGCGGTTTGCTGACCTTAATATTCCTAGTTCTGATGTCGCCGGTCATTAGAACGATAGCGGTGCATTTGTACACGCCATCATCGGCTTCGGTGACGTTTTTAATTAGCAATTCCTCGCTGTCGACGACGAATTTCTCGTTAGTGGTGATGGGTAGGTCGTCTTTGTTCCAATCGATGGTCGGCGTGGGGTTGCCTTTAACCTTGCATTTCACCCTGAAGTCACGTCCGACTATGGGATATTGATTTTCCGGTGCTTCCACGAAGCTAATACCGACTAAAAACAAATATTTGTGTTACATTTTATTGTATATCGCGAGGGGAATTCGGACGCGCCGGTCGTTTTAGTGGTACAAGTAATTCTCGATTTACTTACCGTACGTTTTAATGTCCACGGAAGCGAGCAATGGTTCCGTGTTGGCGTAGAACCCGCGGCACGTGTACGTACCGGCTTGGTTTTCCGTTAGACTGGGGAATATTAAAACAGCTCCAGGCTCTCCCGGTAGATGCTACAAGCACACGGAATTATGTACGATGCGGTATTAAATTTCGTACTAGCTTCTTACCTGAACGTATACGGGATTAGCTCTGTTGAAACTATCGATTTTGCGGTCGAATCTATCCCTCCATTCCAATTGCGTTACCAAAGAAGGATCCGGAACGTTCGGTCTGCACGTCAAAGCTAAACTGCTGCCCACCTCTCTGGTCATAACTTTCTCGTTGGGTTGGATTTCTAATTGCGGCTGCTGGGCGTTCGCCCCTAGAATTAACGGGAAAATGCCAAGATTAGTTTACCGGTATAACGTTTCGCAAAACAACTCAAAAGATACGCCTTCGAAAACACAACACCGCGTTGTTTTCTCGGCCCATGTAATTCCTTCCCCCCAGAGCCTTAACGTGTCACGGGGTAATTGTTGTTTATGGGACCATTATACCTATTACTTAGTACTTGACACCCCCTTTGTTATAGGAGACGCGCCGCCGCGGAATTCATTAGCCCGTTTTCGCCTTTTATTTTACTTTCATTTCACGTATGTTGAATGCCCTGCGGGCTCGTGTGTTTTGATAACGGGCGCTTTCATATCCAGTGACTTTTTCTGCTCGATTTTTTAATAATTGTTGGCTGCGTTCGTAATTAACAAAACGTGAAATTCGTGTAATAATTTGCAATATAGGAACAAATTGCAGTCGAAAAAATTGACTGGAAAATCGATACAGTTTTTATGAAAAAGTGTCATAAAAATGTGATAAAAATTCATTTTAGTGGAATTAGGAATCAACCTATACAGCAATAATACCAATTTTATTATCCCTTGAATAATCCTGAAGCTTAAAAGAAAAATTAGAATGTGAAAATGAAATGTCTTTTGGAGTCTCCGTTTCCGGAATCAATTAAAAGGGCGTAATGGCATTGGGAGAGCGAGCTCCACGTGGACCAATTTCAGTTTCAGCGACTCGATTAATCATTTCGAGAATGTAATTGAGATTCATTTTATCGGAGAAAAATCGCATTTCCCGAGGCGATGGGAAAATGATATAATGTAAAAAGTTTGGAACGATCGGTGTTTCGTTGTTTAAACTTCTCGATGCCCGTTCTTTTTGTCGAATTTTTCGCCGTTGCCCTGATTTTATTCATAAATTCTGTTTACTCGGAGAATATCTAATTGAATATTTTATTAGAATACTATTTGTTATTGATTTTTTTTTCGTGTTTGCAATGGTGTAATTTTAAATTAGTTCTGGAGAAGTTGCTTTTTCTAATGCAGGAAAAATTGTATTCGTAATTTCAACAATTTATTTTCCTGCAACTTGGTAAGTTAACATATTCGGAGCGGCCGCCCAAACTGAATTAATTTTCGAGACTTTCAATTAAATGTATATTGTGAATTAAACCGAATTGGAATGGAAAAATGTTATTTTTTACCTCCGGAGTTGTAATTAAATTTCCAGAACTTTCCGCGCCCGCTTAATGTTTTTACTTAAATTAATTTACGTTAAAAGGGAATATAAAATGCCAGTAATTCTTTTTTCGTCCGAGGTGAAGTTTGCATTAAATAATTCCCGTTGGAAATTAAACCGAACATTTTCCAGCGGACTGATTTTTCGACTAATAAGACGAAACAATAAGAATTGCGAATTAATTGGAAGACTTTCGCAACAAAAAGAAAAGTAACACAAAAGATCGGGAGATAATTAACAGAAAAAAACAACCCTCTTTTCCAGCAGAAACGCTAACAAAATATTTTATCCGCTTAATTGCAGACACGTAATATAATTTACGTAGGTAGAAGCAACAAAAAAACAATCGTTTCGAGTTTTCCGTGCGCATTTCCACCTTCCACTGAATAAATCTCGCACGATTTCCCCACACACATTTTACGGTCACACATTTTCCCCATTTTTCTCGAGGATATTTAATGGCCCCGAGTATATTTTTCCTTTAAAAACGCATTAAACTCGCCACATCTCCCGCGCCCCGAACGATATCGAACTTCGGCTCGCCGAAACCGTCATTTTTCACGAAACATGTTTGCCCGAGTTGAGTGCCATGTTTGGTGTGTACGGAATAAAGCAAATGCTATGTAATGGCTTTTGAAAACAGAGATGCGAAGAGATACCCCGTGATTCATGGATGAAAGATGTCTTTAACAGAGGCGTACTTTATTACATTTATCTTATGTAAAAAAAAATGAGAATGTTTAGGACTATTTTTTCAAATTTTCTATTTTAACATATAGGATGGTATTTAATGAATATTTGGATGATTTTAAGAAGAAAAGTTTAAATCAATATATGTCCTAAACCTCTTAGTTTTCGAGCTACAGAGTATTATAGTTTTAGAAAAAAAAATACTTTTCTATCATAATTTTCTTATTACTCCAGATATTATTATTTCTTTTATATTTCAAGGTTTTATTTAATATTCATAACAGCGTATACTTTCTAACAAATAAATGCGTTTTTTATGTTTTTCGTAATTAATTGAGATTCAAAAACACGCGGGACAATGCGGCATTGTTTTGACCAAACAATATGCACGCATTTTCCGAATTTTTTTTCTATTGTAAGTTTTCCTGGAATCGCGAAAGCGGATAGAAAGGCGAGCGCTCTTCCCGCCCGCGACGCGAAAATTAAAAAGGATTCCGCCGCCCGAAAAAAAAAATAGATATTTCAAACTTTCGCGATATTAACCCCGAACTACAAACAAAAATTTTAATACCGTCGGAAGGAGAATCGAAAACCGTTTCCGCATTCCCGGAGCTTCCGAAACTAATTTTTAATTAAAAACCCCTTTCCGTTTCCGGCCGAAGTTTTTTTAACTGTCGAGATATTTAATTCGGGAAACCGAAGAAAAACTAATATAGGAAGACGGACCCGGAACATATTTTCGCCGGAGCTTCTAACTAATTAAAAGCGGGCGAAGGCGATGCCACTTTTCCTTCAGGCTCTTGATGGATAGTCCGAAAATGTCGGCCCTTAATTGATAATAGGCGCCCGGAATCACGCCCATCAACAGCATACGGGCTAATAAAACAAAAACAAATATTGACATATACTTTCCGAGATTAATGTGTACAGATAATTAAAAAAAATGTCTACATCTCCGATTCGCTTTAATCGCCCAAGTACTATTCAAAAACTCTTAAGAAATTTAGCGATAAATCGAATTTATGAACAAGTGGTATTTTCAGAGAGCATAATTAGAGAATTTTTTTATTCTCTTCGGAGAAAGTAGGACCAGACAGTGGCAATTTAGAAAGAACATAAAATAAAATCTCATTCCGAATGGAAAATCTTTTTTAATGTTCCCAGAAAATGAGAATCCACCGCGAAACGAGCTAAATTAATAAAACGTTAAACCGACTATTCCAGGTTTATTTCCTTGAAAAAAATTCACTCTCCCGTTCAGAAAAATGTTGTCGATGTTCAAATAAATTTCCGGACAGTCTCTAAGAGAATAGATAATCCAATATGTTGTGCATATAGAATGGAATTTCTCGTGTATTTCGACCTCGGTGGTCTTTTCAAAGGACTCGACAATCCCCGCAGGACGAATTTGCTCGTGAATCGTCTTCAAAAGGTTCACGAGTATACGCCCGGCTCGCTGTAGTTTTCATATAAATCCATCGGACGTTCCAGAAAGCGATATATGAATAAATAATATAAATTCTTCATTGAAAGCGCCGCTAAACTCGTACGAATTGATACTTATTTACCCTTAATTGTACTTAAAAAGAAATTGGATTTGTTACAAATTAATGCAATTTAAAGCGGGCGCGGAAAGAACGAAACTTGGTAAATTATTTATGTCGTTTGAAAGATTACACTCCGGCTGGAATCCGTTGGTGGAATTACAAAAGGGTTTTATCTTATCGCGGCGCTGATTTCCTCCGGTTCTTAAATAAGGATCGTGCTCTGTTAACACAATGGTTTTTATTTATCGCAGTTCATTCGGGAGCCGGATCGCGCATTGTCGACTGTTTAATACATTTCGGAAGAAGAAAAAAAAATCGTCAACCCGTTTCGTCCTTTATTCAAGTTTATAATTTCACTAAAAATAAATTATCCGCGATTTTAGTGCAAATAGAATCGCCGAATCAAACGTATACGAAAATCCTGCGAGATTTTACAGCGTTCCGATATTTGATATAAACAAATAAACAAAAAGCGAGCAATAAAACATCATCGCAGCTCATTGAGAATAAACATTTCGTTTATCTGAAAATCCAATTTTGCAAAACGTTCGACGAGTTTACTGCCAGCCGTTCCGGTTCCATTTCCCTCTTTTGCCTTTTTATATGGATACTGATTACGAGTTATTTTATCAATAAAAACGCCGAAAGCATACGAAAACTCTCCGTTTCGAATTATCCAAATCCGAGAATCTCAGTTTCATTTTATTTTTATTTCATTCCGAGCGGGTTTTCTGCGACGTTAAAAAACACGCGGCGCTCCACTCGAACGAAATTGCAATAATAGAAACAGCATCAATAATTAATCTAATCAACGAATTCGTTAATATTAAATAATAATAGATATTCAATTTAATTTCCGTGCGACGTTAATTATACGGATTTATCAGATTGTATAAATTACAACGGGCTATCGGATCAATCACCGGCGTTATTATATGGCTACAATATTCACGCCGGGTGATTATCCTTTGTTATACACATTTATCGACCTTCATTTTCGTTCTATCGATGAATATTTGACAAAACGCTAATTTTCCTCCCTTCAATCAAATTCGCATTAATCCGGAATTAATTCGTCATAATTAAACAATCCCCAGTAAGTGTTAATAATGTCCTATTACAAAAATCATTACCGAATCGACTCACATAAAATCAAAGAATTCCGTAGATGAAAAACTGCTGGATATTAACATATAAAATGCACCCTTCACAATCAGCCGCACGTAAACGTTTCCCGCTACAGCGGCGCATTCAAAAATCCATCTAAAACCCAATCTATCTATAGCAAATTCAATTAATCGACGTCTTTAAAACTTCCTTTCGACTTCACTTTCAGCTTTCTTAAGAAGTCTAAAACACCTACCGCTGTTATTGTCAAGCTAATTGACGACCTGACTGATTTTTAATTCCCCTTCAATCTCTCAGCGGCGTTTCTTCTTCAACAAAACGCGCTATCCCCTCGAAATAACTCTCCGAAAGTTCGAGTTTAAATCGCAATAATACCGGAAAAATCGGAGCACAGGCATTTAATTTTATTACACCTCTACGTCTCTGCTTATAACGG